GCACGTGCTTTAACTGATTAGCATATTTATCTTCCTGATGACAGCATCAGCAATACACTAACATCTTAACTACTTCGCACGAATGCAAAACGAATGTTCCTTTCGATGCACTATATCAAACGCACTGTGTGAGAGTTTATTTTCATTCATTGATAGTAGATGTGCCGGGTTAATAATGATCAACTGTCATACATGAAGATTTACTGTAAATTTTACGCGTTTCTACGAATTTATAATACTTTTTTTTTATTTTCTCTACTTTAAATTTCTATACAATGAAATTGAAATCAATTGAGAAAAATTGAAGGATAACAAATTTTTAATATTTTTTATTATTCTATTCTAAATTTAATTTTATTTCAATCAAACTGTTATTGACATTAATTAATTTCAAACTGTATTTTTAATTAACTAATTAATTTCAAATTTAATTTTGTATTTGAAATTATTTAATTACCAATTAATAATTGGTAAATTAATTAATTTGACTTCAAATTTGTTAAATTTTGTATTTTTCTCTTGCTCCTTTTTCAAGATTCGCAGTTTTTTTATTTTAATTTGATTTTAATTTAATTTTAATTAATTATTAATAATTAGATACTGCAAATGTTTTAGTTTCTAAGAATTTATAACATTTAAAAAAAATTTTTAATAAAGTGAAATTGATCCATACTGAACGTAATAAATTACCAATTATTAATTAATTAATGAACCCATTAAACAAATTTTATAGTGACTAATAAATAATAAATAATGAACAATAAAATTTATAAGTAAAAGAAACAATTTCGTTTATTTCAATGTTCAGAATTTTTGAAAATAAATTCGCAAAATATTCCAATAGCAATAAATTTTAGTCTAATCAATTTGATGATAATATGAGCAATTTGAAATAATTACAAAAGAATATCATAATAATTCTAATCAGTAACAAAATAATTATGACACAATGTTATACGCATAACATTTCTTATATATAGATAAAAAAAATACATAAATTGCTGATGTGACAATAAGTAATCTCAACATTATAAATAATTAATTTTTAAATAAATATTTACACTTTGTGTGTGTAAAAAAAAATTCCAAAAAAATCGACTTGTTGATGTTTTTTATTTGCGTTTGACAGATAGCGCAGTGAAGAGTTAATTCTTATTTTGTTATTATTATTATTTCTATTTGTTTATTAATAATTAATTGTTAAATTTGCAATTAATTGTTTAGTAAATAAATAATGTTCAATTAATTAATACACTGAAAAAAATTTATATGATTCAAATCACGGATTACTTTTTTACTATCAAATAAATATTTACATTCTAATGAAATAATTTTTATTTAAGTCAATTAAATTTTTAGTTGATTTCAATAATTATTTGCTTCAAATACAGAAATTATTGGCTCACTCTCTAAATTTGAATTAGTAAAAATGTTTACTAATTTTAAGTAGTGACTGACATTTTGCTTTTGATATTAGTAAATTCTAGTAATAAATAATATTAACTTCCACTAATTTATTAGTAAAATTTACTAATTTAACAGCAAAAAGTCAGTCACTAATTAAAATTATTAAACATTTTGACCAAATTAAATTTAAAGAGGAAATTCAATTTATTCGATTTGAAAAGAAAATTATTTTATTCAAGTAAATATTTATTTGACAATAGACAAGTAATCGATTATTTGAATCAAATAAATTTTTTTTTCAGTGTAGTAATTTATTTAAAATTTAAAAACTTTTTTTCTCTATCTCTTTTAAAGTTTAATGATAAATATTTTAAATAAACAAAATTAAGTGTAAAATAAAAAAGTGAAATATTATTTTTGAACACACTTTTCAAATACAAAGAAATTTCTTGATTCCCTCATCAATGATGATTTTGAAATCTCTCACTGTTGTAGGTATATAGATGGGAGAAGAAAAACCGGTTATGTAAATGAAAATGTATTTCTGAAAAGTGGGTTCAGAAAAACGAGAATCTTTCCGGGTTGAACAATTGATTTGAAAATGCAATTAATATCATAAATTATGCAATCATATTTTGTATATTGTAGTTTTTTATACATCGAGTGTAGATTTTTTATTTTCAATATTTTCTGCCACCAAAAGTTTCGAACTTTGAAATGAACGATTTTTATTTATTTTCTACATAAATTCAAATTTTGTTATGATTATAATATTGCGTCAAATATAAAAAGAATAAATTATAATGATTTTAAATGTTTAATTTTTTTGTTACTTTTTATTGTAGTAATTTTTGAAAATATTTATATCGACGCAAAAAAATTTCGATCATTTCAAAGTTCAGAACTTTTGGGTCCTGAATATGTTTAAGGAATTAAGTTTAAAGATATTGAAAATAAAAAGTTAGTTTAATAATTAATTAATGTAGTAATTAATTAATTAATCAATTTAATAATTAAATAAATAATTTAGTAATTTATAGTCTTAATAAAATTAAAATTAGACTAAAAATCTCAAAAAGCAAATAAGATATAAAAATTAACAAAAATTGAAGTAATTCGTCAATTTATGACAGTACGTTAATTTCCGTAATTAGTGAAAATAAACAATAGTTACTTGTCTTTTGAATCCGAATTACATCCGACCCGGTAAATAAATTTCTCAAATGAAAAATCAAAGTTCAATGTCAGATGACAAGGCAATTCTGAAATTTTGGTTTTTTATTTCTTTTTTATTTCCAAATTGTCATTAAAGAGTTTTTAATTTGTTTTTCATTTTAATATGGCACATATAGTTAAATTTTGTCACAACTTTGAAAGAAATATTCAAAATTTTGAGGTAAAATTTTTTTTTCCAAATTTTAAATAAATTGGGGATAAAATTTTTTCTTTTTGTATATAAATTATTCATTGATTGAAAAAAACGGTTGTTGATATAAATTTTTTTTTATCACAAGTAATTTCTTCTCATACCTGGTTTATATAGAATTTATAATTTAATACATTTTTTTTCCAAAGAATTGAATACATCTCAACATCAGATTGCATGACATCTGCGATTTTGTAAAATTAAATTTTTAGCGACATTTGATTTTGAAATTTAAATTTTCTTATCTCCTTCTGTTCAGATAAAACATTGTTTAGGTTTAAATACTTCCTATTCATATCAATCATTTTATCTAGAAAACACTTGAACTGTCTAAGTACATAAATTGTATTGCGATATCGCATTAAAGGAAAACTAACACATTTATGAAAAATAATGCAAAATAATTACCGTCTGTGCATTATAGATTTTTTAAATTGTAATATTTTGATTTTCATTAAATTTTTTTTTCACGTTCTTTGGAATTTTTAAGATTAATGATAATTTTGTCAATGTTGCTTAATTAAAAAATTGATTAATTTTTCTATTTAGAACAAAAAATTATTATTATTGTTCTTATGAATAAAAAGTTTTTGAGGTTAAAATTAAAAGTGTAATATATAAACGTAAAAGAGCTGAAAGTTTCATTTAAATAACAAATAATGAAGTTTGATCCAGTTTCACTTGCATTTATTATAAGTGTATGTTAAACTGGATTAAAGATTTATAAAAGAATTTACAAACAAAAAAAAATATTTAGGACAATAATTGGTAATTGTTAATTAAAAATTGTTGATTTTAATTTTTTTTCTACGTTTTGAGGAATAAGATTTGAAATTATTTTTTTAATCGGAAATATTTTATACGAATAGTAAATAATATTAAAAAAATTATTTGATACAAATAAATTAGTTGATAATTGACAAGTAATCGTTTATTTGAATCAAATAAAATTTTTTTCGGTGTTTTTTAACTACCTATATTTAAATTGTTATTAAAAAACTTTGTATTTAAAAAACGTTTTTGAAATAAAAAAAATTCTTTTTGAGTCAAACAAAATTAGTTTAATAATTTTATGATAAAAAAGGCGATATTTCTAAAAATAATTATTGCAGAAAATTATTACAAAATAGGTTTCAACAAATAAAAAATATTAATAAAATTATGTTATAGGCATATGGAAATAAATCTAATTTATTCAATTAAATAAATAGAAAAATGTGTTTCAATTTAAATATAAATTTTCTTCCGTTTGGAGAAACTTTTTTAAAATCGAAAATAATATTCTTTCAAGACAATATTTTATTTTATTTATTTTTGTTAAATATCAAAATTAACTGAATTAAATAAATAGAAAAATTTCTTCAATTTTAATATAAAGTTTCTTTGGTTTAGAGAAAAATTTTCCAAATCGAAAAATATTCTTATTAAAGATAATATTTATTTGAAACAAAATTTTTCTTTATCAATGAAAATTTCTCTAAACCGAAATTAAATGAAAAATAAAAAAAAAGTAAATAAATAAGTAATGAAAAAAATTATAAAATATATACCTACTAATTATAGAAATTAAATAAAAAAAATAAATCAAATACAAAAGAAACGTTGAGTTCAATTGAAAGAAATTGTCTGCCTGACTCAAAAAAAAAAAAAAAACTATATTGATACAGTGTAAGATTTTTTTATTAATGTCAACAATAAAAACGTATAGTAAACGACTTAAAAAAAATTTGCTTCCACTCATTTATTTAACGATCGCGAAAATTCCTTCTTATTTTGTTAAATAAAAAAAAAAGAGGTCGGATTTTATTATGTCAATAAAAATACACATTCGTGACTGAAAATAGTATTAAAAAAATGACTGATCAGAAGACAATGATTGTTACCTTGAGGGTGGAAAAGTAATAAAAAAAATTTATTCACTATTAATTATTATAAATAGAAAAAAAATACAATAGTTATAATTAAGTAAAAAAAAAATTTTTTTTTCCTCAATTTATATTATAATTTTTCCGATAGCACTTGACTTCAATGTGCGTTTAATAATATAAGTTGATAAAAAGAATGACAGAAGAAAAGTTACAAATGAATGAGGTATTAAGAGAAAAATTCGCCGGCTTGATAAAATTTCGTTCATGAAAAAAATAAAAATAATTTTTTGTGTACTTACAAAAAGCCGATTAAGCAGAGACTTATAGTGGATAGGCCAGACCGTTCGGCTAAAGTCTAAACCGTACTAAAATGCTGTTTGGTAAATGTCCTGGCACATGCATTCGACCTCTATACGGAAATAGTCAGGCAGTGTTCGTGGTGTGTGGGTAAGAGGCGAAGTAGTGGGGAATCATCAGTATGCTGCCATCTCGTTTTTATATTGTTATACTACGTGATAGATTAACAGCGTTGATATTTTTTTAATTTAGAGCGCGGGAGAATTTTTTTTCTTTTTTTTTCATTGTTGTACACATAGTGTGGTTTTTGTCCAGTAGAAGAGGTCGATTTCGGTCAGCCAAGGGTGGAAAATCAGTGTTATCGACCAAATATGAGCAGAATATTGGACTTATTGCCAACATTTAAAACGAAAATTATTCAAAAACATCAATAACTTCATTTTTAAATAAATATTTAATCATTATTTTTTTATAGAAATTAGGATATTCAAAAATTTGAAATTCAATAATATTAAAACTTGCTACTTTGTTACTGTAACTTCTTCATAAATTGTTTTCATCATTACAATTATTCATTTCTAGAACTTTCAACTAAAATTCTTCAATTTTTTTTTTTTTTAAATTTTCGAAAAATTTCTTTGTGAATTTTCAAATTCTTTTGTTTACAATTTAATTTTTACGAAATTTCGATTATTCTGACATTCTTCAATTAAATATATTAGAAATTAAAAACTTCAAATAATTAAAAAAAAATTCCATTAAACTAATTGAGAAAAATTAATTCTATAGAATTCTTAATTAAAAGTATGAAAAGTTCAAATTTTCAAAGATTTTAATTTGAAATTCATTGTCAAATCAATATTTATTTAGAAAATTCTACGAGAATTTAATTATTTAACTATAAAAATAAATATTTTATTAATCAGTAGAATGGTTTTTAAAATTGAATTTTCATAAAGAATTTCATCAACAAATTTTTAAATAATTGAACTCTCTTGACAAATTTTAATAATTTTTTTGAGAAAAATTATATTTTTCAAAAAATTTGATGAAAATTGTATTAAAAATAATTGAATTTCTGCCAAGAATTTTATTAAAAGTTTTGAAAATAATTGAAATTCGGAGAAAAATTTTATGAATTATATAAAAATAATTGAAATTTTGTAAATTTTCAGAAATAATTGAAATTCTGCCAAGAATTTTATTAAAAGTTTTGAAAATAATTGAATTTCGGAGAAAAATTTTATTATTTATAATAATAATTGAAATTTTGACGAGAATTTTGTACATTTTTAAACCTAATTGGGATTTCTGCGAAGAATTTTATTAAAATTATTTTGAAAAAAATTAAATTGTTACGCACAGAATTTCATTCAAATTTTTGGAAATAATTTTATTCTTTAAAAAAATTTAATTAAAAATGTATTGAAAGTAATACTTAAATTTTAACAAATAAATTGTAAAAAAAACCTTCTTAAAATAATTGAATTTCTTTTATAAATTTTAATAAAATTTTTTAGAATAATAACTTTTTTTGAGGAATTCCATTAAAATTGTATTAAAAATAATTGAAATTCAGCATTGAGTTAAATATTATTTATGAAAATAATTAAATCTCTTTAAAAAATTTTATTATTTATGAAAATAATTTGTAAATAATTTGTAATATTTATAAATATAATTTAATTTTTTCGAAGAATTTATTAAAATTTGAGAAAATAATTGAATTTTTGATAAGAATTGTATAACGAATTAAGAACAAAATTTAATTATTTCGTGTTTGTTTAAAAATAATTGAATTTTTTCGAAATATATGTTTAAAAAAAATTGAATTCTTTCATGGAATTTTATTAAAATTGTACCTATTGAAAATAATTGAATTTTTGGAAAGAATTTTACTATTTATAAATATAATTGAATTTTTTGAAGAATTTATTAATATATTTTAGAAAAAAATTGAATTTTTTCGTGCAATTTTTTTGAATATAATTGAATTTTGGGAAAGAATTTTACTATTGAAAAAATAAAAAAAAGGTCGTTAAATTTTGCAAAAAATTTTACTATTTATAAATATAATTACAAATTGAATAAAATTTATAAGAATAATTGCATTTTTCGAGAAATTTGATGAAAATTGTATTAAAAATAATTAAAATTCGGCTATGAATGTTATTATTTATGAAAATAATTGAATTTCAGAGAAAAATTTTATTATCAACAAAGATAATTGAAATTTTCACAAGAATTTTTGTAAATTTTTAAGCATAATTGGATTTCTGCGAAGAATTTTATTAAAATTTCTGAAAATAATTGAGTTTCAAAAAAGAAATTTACTATTTTTAAAGATAATTAAATTCTTGTCAAGAATGTTATTATACAATATGAAAATAATTGAATTGTTTCGAAGAATTTTATTATGTTTTTTAAAAATAATTGATATCCTGTAAAGAATTTTGTTATATTTCTAAAGATAATTGAATTCTTGCGAAGAATATTATTAAAGTTTTAAAAATAATAATTGAATGTCTGAAAAGAATTTTATTATTTATTAAGATAATTGAATTCTTGGCAAGACTTTCGTATAAAAATAATTAAATTACTGGGAAGAATTTTCTTATTTACGAAAATAATTGAATTTTTGAGGAAAATTTTACTACATTTTTTTTTAAATAATTGAATTCCTGTTAAGAATTTCATTATTTACGAAAGTAATTGAATTTTAAAAAGAATTTTTGTTAAAATTTTTTAAAATATTTGAATTTTTGAAAAGAATTTAATTAAAATTTTTGTAAATAATTGAATTTATGCGAAGAATATATTAAAATTTATTTTAAATAATTTAATTTATGGAAAGAATTTTAATATTGACAAAAATAATTCAATTTTTTACAAGAATTTTATTGTTTACAAAAATAATTGAATTTATGAGAAGAATTTTATTATTTACAAAAATAATTGAATTTTTGAGAACGAAATTTTATTATTTACGAAAGTATAATTGAATTTTTGAGAAAAATTTTACAAAAAGTTTTGAGAACAATTAAATATTTGAGAAGAATTTTATTAAAATTACTAAAAATAATTGAATTTCGGAGAAGAATTTTTGCAAATTTTTAAACATAATTGGATTTCTGCGAAGAATTTTTTAAAAACGATTAAAAAAATAATTTTATTCTTTAAAGAAATTTAATTAAAAATGTATTGAAAATAATACTTAAATTCTAATAAATAAATTCTAGCAATGGTTATTAAAATAATTAAATTTCTTTGATAAATTTTTTAATAATAATAACTTTTTTCGAGGAATTCCATTAAAATTGTATTAAAAATAATTAAAATTCACCATTGAGTTTTATTATTTATGAAAATAATTGAATCCCTGTAAAAAATGAATGAAAAATTCAAATTTTCGAAGATTTTAATTTGAAACTTTTACAAAATTCAATTATTATCTAAAACTTTTATTGAAATTAATTTTTTTAATTAATTTTTAGTAGAAAATTCTACGAGAATTCAATTATTTAAATTAAAGCAGATAATTTATTGAATAATTGAATATTTCTTAAAATTTAAATCTTATATACATAATTTTACCAACAAATTTTTAAAAAATTGTATTCTTTCGAGGAATTTTAATAACATTTTTAAGAATAATTATTACATTTTTCGAGGAATTCGATTAAAATTGTATTAAAAAGTAATTGAAATTCTATCAAAATTGCTTTTAAATAATTGAATTCTTTTGGGGAATTTTATTAAAATAATATATATAAAAATTATTAAATTAAGAAAAATTTTTTAAAATAATTGTTGCAATGAATTTTATTAAAATTTTGAAAATAATTGAATTTTATTACTTTTGAAAATAATTGAATTCTTGTGATGAACATTGTTATTTATGAAAATAATTGAATTTTATTAAAATTCCTGAATAAAATTGAAGTTTGTTGAAGAATTTTGATTTTTATTAAGATAATTGAAATTTTGACGAGGATTTTTGTAAATTTTGAAATATAATTGGATTTCTGCTATGAATTTTATTAAAATTTTTGAAAATAATTCAAATTGAATTTCTGAGAAGAATTTTACTACTTTTGAAAATAATTGAATTTCTGCAATCATTAATAATTGCTTCAAAATACAATTTGTTTTAGTGTTTTTAACTAAAATTTTTCTACAAATCCATTATTTTTAATAATCATACATATTAAAAAATTTAACTAATTTCAGAAGAATTTTAGTTTAAAAATTTTTTTTTTAAATCTAAGTTTTTTTATATGTATTTCTAATTAAATTCATTTAAAATTGAAATTTTACAAAATTTTAAATCAAAATCTTTTAAAGTTCATCTACTTATGAAAATTGTAAACGCAATTCTTTTAAAATTGAATTAATTTTGAAATATTTAGGTAAAAATAGATTTCAAGAATATAAACTTTAGAAAACAACAATTTTTTTGATTCAGTCAAAAATATTTCTAATGTAAACGATTTCAGTCAAAAGTGGACTGAAAGTAAGATTTATTTTTTACAGTGAGGAATATTAGGAATAAATAATAACTCATCAAAAACCTGTAACGACTATATATTTTAAAACATATTGTCAATTGGGGGATAGACATTATAACAGATAAACTATATCTCGAAATATAAGATCTCGAAGATATCCTTCCAAACTTTTCGCAAGCTCAAGAATTCCCTGTCTTATTATTATTATTATTATTATTTTTTTTGTCTAAACATTAGATAATATCGATCGTTCTTTTATTTTCTATATACCTAATCAAATTTAAGTATATATAATTTTTCCTATTAATAAATGATGGTAATAGAACAATGAATTTTCAAATGTTAATAACAAGGAAGTCGAGCGTTTGAAAGTTTGGCAATATACAGGTGCGTTTAGCATCGCGCAGAAAAATTTGTTCACAAAGAATTAACAGATGATTTTCATTTTTTTTATTTACATACAAATCAGAATATTTTGTTTCAATTTTGAAAAAAAGAGAAGAAAAGATACTAATTATATTTTTTTTTCTAAATGATTGTACAACAACAACAAAAAATACACACTAAAATAAATCAATTTTTTTCTACAAACATATCTCTTCTCTTTTTTTCCTTGAAACAAATTATCCATTACTTGTTTAAATACGATTATAATAACGTATTGTAGATTTTCATTTTTTTGGATAAAAAATCATACTCCTTACAAAAATAATTCTTAGATCATTTCTAGATATTTCTCGAGTAATTATTTTTATAAAGAGTAATTTTGCAACATAATTAAGCTTTTAAGATAGAATTTCTTCATATATATATAATATATTTATATAAATATTATTTCCATATCCACCAGGGAATGAATGAGAATTATTTTTAAATATCTATATAAAAATCGTTTTAACAATGACAGAAATCTCTTGTATGTTTATATTTATTTTTTATTAGAAAACAATTTATAGAATAGATTTTTATTTTTTTAAATAATTGACTCGTTGTTATAAGTTTTACTTATCATCGTCTCTGTCATTTTATAAATAAATTTTTGTTTGCATTAAATTAGAGACATTTCCAAATAATAATCAATTTAATTGACTATTTTTTGTGAATTTCGTATTTCATATAATAATATTTTTAAAAACAATAAATAATAATAATAATACTTCTCATACTTTTTTTTACAGAAATCATTCTTTTAACTTGCACCAGACTTTCATTTACAAAAAAAAAAAATAAATGTTTTAATTAAATAAAAAGGAATAGAAATCATTTGTACACGCTTCGTTTTAAATTATAACAAATAGGCATTATATGAAAAAATATTTGTACTTTACGTTTGTACATTTCGGCTGTAATTGTTTTGAATCTGTATAAAAATGATTTTTCAATTTGAAAATTTTGCGCGTAGCAAATAAGAAAAAGAAGCAATAATTTCACTCACTCCCCAGTGGATAATTTTGTTTTCTTGTGAATTTTCGTTTAGCTAATGTTTATAATTTAATTATTTTTTTTCTTGTCTTATGTTTTTCAATTGCGATAAATTTTTTCGGCTTTTGTATAATATTATTAAGCTACCTATACAATATAATAATTGTGCAGTCCTTAATTGCGATCTAAATTTAATTACAGGGTTTTTATTTCACTTATTTTCTTTGATATAAATAAAATTGCGTGTGCATACTTGTTAATAATGTGATTTTTGTATTACATAAAAAAAACCCCGATTTTCTTTTTATTTTAATATCTAGACTTTGGTATATTAGAATCGAAAATTTTTCTGTAATTAAATTTAATCATGTAGATTAATTAATTTTTCTACGCTTTCAATAATTTCAAGCATTCGATATTACAATACATGCATTCATCTTTTTTTCCGCTCAGTTTATTCTCAAAAATCGTACGCCTATTTAAAAGTTCGTTTTAGCGTCTCTTTTACAAAAATTCACCGCTTTTTTTTATTTTATGTTAAATATAAACGCAGACATTTTAATATTACGTTTAGAAAAAAGAAAATGTTTAAAAAAATTTTTCTTAATCAGAAGATAATTTTCTTTTTTTGTAAATAATTCTTTTTCAAAGACGCATACATTGAGGATGAATTTTCGTTTAGAGATTGTATTTTTTTTCTTCTATTTTATTATTCTGACCATGGTAACATCCTGGCGCATTGGAATTAACAAGAGATTTACAATAAACGGTCATTACTCTAAGACAAATGTTTAGGCACTTTCTACGAGTGTAAACCGAGATCGTATTTGTTTTCTATTCTCAATTCTATTAAACGAAGAATATAATTAAAATCAAAAACCAATTTTTTACAAAATCCTCGTTGGTCAATAAAATTGATTCCACAATCAGTTTTTCAGGTAGATTTATTTCGTCAATCTCTATCAAAAAAATTTTTCAATTTAATAAATTTATAATCGTCGTCGTTTTAAATTTCTATTTAAGTAAATTTATTTTAATATTTGCAAGAAAAATACATACGAACACAATTTTCTTTTTTGTAAATAATTATCTTAGTAGCAAAAATAAAATAATTGAAAACTAAATTAATTTTTTATTAATTTTTGATAGAGATTGCAATAGGCTAAACTAAATATATTTCCCTATCTATTTCTATACAACAATATAGTGTTGAAATATCGAAAAATTCTTTTTTTCTGGTTTCTTTAAACAATAATATAAATCTAACGATAATAATAGAAGCTTGTTTATCTCTCAAATATAATTTAGGATAATATTAATATAAATATAATATCAATGTAAATATAATATTATATAATATATAATATTAATAATATAAATATACAGTGGCAAATTAATTTGCAGACTCTCTAAACGAGTGTTCATTGAAAGCAACAAATTCTAAAATTCTGCGCATATATAGTTAAAAAAAATAATTACATATTTCAATAACAGTTTTTCTCCTTTAATACAAACTTAATATTTAAAAAATATATATATTTATATCTAGTTGTCTATGAAAAGCATGAGATTCATTTAAATATACTCGAGAGTAAATAGAATTCTATTTTTATTCTAAATACCGCACCGTCTCGATTAAAATCACTATAATATTTTAATTTCAAGAAACGTTATTTTTCGAAAAAACGTTAGAAGAAATTCTTTTTTTTACTCGAAGGTATAGCCACCATGGTCGAAGTACCAATTCTTAATACATGACATAACTATGCCTAAGGTGATGATTGAAATTTTTTTTATTGACATAGTAATACTCATTTGTTTTTTTCTTTAATTTTTTCAAATAAAAAATAATATAAAAACATATCAAAAATTAAATGCGCAAATAACAATTATAAAATATGTAAAAGAACGATTTTTGTTTGTTGCATTTTTCATTAAATTAAGTTGTATTTTCATAATTTTTAAGTTACTCGATATGTTTTAATAAAAAAATTTATTAACCTTTTTTTTTGCCTCCCTTGTTGTTACTTAAAATTCATGAAATTACAAACCAGTAAATTCGCGATAACAATTATTTATATTGTAATTTACGTCTTCAATATGGAAAATAGAAATTCGAAAGAACGAAAAACTAAATTTTTTTTTCACTTACATTTACGACTTAAAAATGTGATTCTTCTTTTTATTAATCTATGTAATTTTCTCTCTCCTAAACTAGATAATTGTTTTTTTTTTCTTCTTTTTCCTAAGCAATTCCATAATTTCAAAAGAAATTATCATACATACTGCAAATTATAACTATACAACATCTGTTTCTGAATATAAAACAGAAACACTTAAAGAATACTCAGTCTAGTAAATATTTCTATAAATTGTCAATAATTATAATTTAAAATTATAATTTAAAATACTCAAAATTGTAGATATAGAGAATTTTCATTTTTTTTTGGTAAATTCTTTTTTAGTAGAAAAAAACAAAAAATGTTTTTCGAATAAAAAATAGTATTAAAAATTGAAAATTAAAATAATCATTTGGATTATTGACTAGAACTTCTTGGGGTGGATTTTCATTAGTTTTTTTCTATCTTTCTTTCCCTCTTTCTTTCTATTTGTTATTTTTTTTGTCTTTTTTCGAAAAACGTAACGATTATTCTTTCGAAAGAATTGAGTAAATTGAGTTCAGTCGGACTTACTGTATTTAATAATAAAAATCTTACGGTGTTGTCGACGTTAAAAAAGTTGGATCAACTGCTGCCACTTTTGCAGTTAGAAAAGCGTGCATGCAGAATAATAAATTCTGTAATTGGGAGCATTCCAATTCCTGAAAAATTAACGATTGTTGTAAAAATTGATATACAATTTTTATCGCTTTTCCTTTAATGAAAAAATAAATTTTTAATTTCTCTAAGAGAAAAATAAATTAAAAATTTTTCTGATGAAAATAAGTACAAATTTTTCTAAAGGAAAATAAAAATGTACATAATAAAGTTTTGAACGAATGAAAGAAAATTTATTTGTTTTTCCAATTTAAATTATTTAAAAATTAGGTATAGGTATTTCGTCAAGTATTAAAAAAAATAATTTATAGGTTTCAAAACATTTTATTTGTATTTTTTATGTTTATTTCAGTCAATAATTTTCAAAAATATTTACGTATAGAAAAAATTCTTCGTTCAGAATATTTTGTACTTAAATTAAAATTTCTTTAAAATAAATAAATAGAAATTTCACCAAAAAAAATAAATTAAATTTTTCTAAAAGAAAATGGAAATTTCTCTAAAAGAAAGGAAAAATTTCTCTGAAAGAAAATAAATAAAAATTTACCTTAGTTTCAATAGCAATACTGTCATGTTCTTGGAAATGTAATTTTAATCTACTTTTGCCATCGTCACTGGACCCACGAAGCTGGGAAAACTTGTACCTCCAAACATTATCCGTCATTCCGTCGAAAGCAAGCGAAAAACCTTGAGACCATTCCAACGTTAAACCCGCTGTTTTGCCATTGAAAGTCACTGGAAATGTTTTGCTCTAAAACAAATTTTTGTTTAATTACTAAACTTGCTTTTTATTAAACGAAAAACTTAAATAAAATTTAATTAAATTAAATTCAAATAAAAACTTGAATTAAATTCAAATGAAAACCAGAATTGAATTGAATTATATTCAAATAAAACCTAAATTAAGTTCAAATAAATTCAAATAAAAACAAAAATTCAATTCAATTCAATTGAAATAAAAACTTAAAATAAATTTAAAAGTTAAATTTAATTCTCTAAGTGAAAAATTGCTTTTCACGATAAAGAAAAGGAAAATAAGAGAGTTAATTTTGAAAAATAAATAAATTAATAGAGACTAACTTTAAGATGTGTGACTGCGGAGCAAACGGCTGTGTGCCACGCAGCTTCCACTCGCAATAATTCTTGCCTCGTTTCCACGCTAAGATACCTTGGAGACTTTCCTGGACTCTGCGCTAAAAAACAATGCTGACGCTCGTCAACATTTTCCGATTCCCTCATAACACGAAACATTGTCTGATATACTTTAAAAGTTAATGCACATCGTGACCAGTCTCCTATGTTGCACTGTTGACAAAAAAAAAGGAAAAAATTACTCTAGAGAAATAATTTTCAATTTTAAAAAATTAATCAACTTTTAAATTTAATATTATTCTCATTTTATCCAGACGGTGATATATTCAGGGGAAAAAATTAAAAAAATAAGAAAAAAAGGAGAATAAAAATGAAAATAAAAAATAAATATTTAACTCTTTTTTAAATAAATATTTAATCATTATTATTTTTCCATAGGAATTAAAATTCTTCAAAAGATTTAAATTCTAACTTTTTAAAATTCAATAAATTTTAAAAATATTATTATAAAATATAAAGAAATCGAGTACTCCGAGTCGAAGACTCGGAGTAATCGATTTCTTCATGTTTTATAATAATTAAACATGACCGAGTAATAAAATCATTATTTTATATCATAAAAGAATATTATTTCTGTAACTTCTTCAAAGTTATTTTCATCAATTTAATTATTAGTTTTTAGAATTTTTAAGTACCTAAATATTTCTTTAAATAAATTATTTTTAATAATTTTCAAAAATGTTTACAAAATTCCATTTTACATGAAATTTTGTTTATTCGAAAATTCTTCAATTAATTATATATTAGAAAATAAAGGCATGAAATAATTTTTTTTTTTTAAATTCAGTTAAACTTTATGAAAAAAATTAATTCTGCAGAACTGTTAGTTAAAAGTATGAAAAATTCAGATTTTCAAAGATTTTAATTTTATAACGAATTAAGAAAAAAATTGAATTTTTGTAAAGAATTTTATTATTTCTTAAAATAATTGAATTCTTTCAAAGAATTTCATCTTTAATAATTTTAATTGAAAATTTTGAAAGAAATTGAATTTTATGAAGAATTAAACATTTAATTATTGAATTTTATTAAATTATTTTAGAAAATAATAAAATTCTTTTTAGAATTTTATTTAAATTTTCTAAAATAATTTAATTCCTTGAATAAATTGTATTAAAATATAGAAAATAATTCAATTTTTGCAAAGATTTTATTAAAAATTCTTTAAAAAATTGAATTGTTTGGAATGATTTATTAAAATTTTAGAAAATAATTGAATTTTTTCGAAATATGTCATTAAAATTGTATTAAAAATTATTGAATTCCCATGATGAGTTTCGTTATTTATAAAAAATTATTCAATTCTTGCGAAGAATTTTCTTAAATTATTTTAAAATAATTAAATTCTTTAGAAAAATGTTATAATGAATTAAGGAAAAAATTGAATTCTTTCGTGAAATTTTATTAAAAATAATTGAATTTTTGCAACGATTTTACTATTTAAAAAAATAAAAATTCTTTTGTTAAATTTTATTAAAATTTTGTTAAAAATAATTAAATTTTGGCAAAAAAATATACTATTTACAAAAATAATAGAATTCTTCCGAAGAATGTTATTATTTCTTAAAATAATTGAATTCTTTCAAAGAATTTCATCTTTAATAATTTTAATTGAAAATTTTGAAAGAAATTGAATTTTGTGAAGAATCTCTTTAAATTAAACATTTAATTATTAAATTTTATTAAATTATTATTATTATTAATTAATTCAATTCTTACGAAGAATTTTCTTAAATTATTTAAGAATAATTAAATTCTTTTGAAAAATTTTATAACAAATTAGGAAAAAATTGAATTGTTTTGTGAAATTTTATTAAAAATAATTGAATTTTTGCAACGATTTTATTATTTAAAGAATAATTGCGAATTATTTTATAAAAAATTTTCAAAAAAATTGAATACTTTTATGAAATTTTTTTAAAATTGAATTAAAAATAATTGAAATTCAGCTATGAGTTTTATTATTTATGAAAATAATTGAATTCCTAAAAAAATTTTATTATTTACGAAAATAATATTGAATCTGTGTAAAAAATTGCATATAGTTTATGAAAATAATGGAATTATTACGAAGAAATTTCTAACAAATTTGAAAATAATTGAATTCATTGTAAATAATTGAATTCCTATGATATTTTTATTTAAATAATATAGATATTGAAAATCATTAAATTGAGAAAAATTTTTGAAAATTAATAATATTTTGCCAAGAAATTTATTAAATTTTTTGAAAATAATTGAATTTCGGAGGAGAATTTTATTATTTATAAAGATAATTTAAATTTGAAGTAGAAAAACATTTTGTTCATTTGAACATTCAAAACTTTATGATCGTGAGAAAAAATTAGATCATTCCTTTTTTGAAAAGTAAAATAAAAAATATAATTTCTAATTAAATAACTAATAAATAATTAATAATTATTATAATTAAATACTATTTTGTATAGTAAATACAGTTTCCATTACTTTATTTAAAAAAATAAAAAAAATTCCAAGAACGAAATAATAATTCTCGATAAGAATAATTTTTGTAAAAAAAATCTAATCGTAATTTAATACATACGGGAGGCGTTTCAAAAAGTAACAAGTCAGGTCCTTTAAGAGCTAAAAACCTTGGCCTGTAACTCTGCCATGGTTGATTGCTATTGCTGATGGCCTCATTTACCCAGCCCATATATTCGATTCGCTCGCCTACTCCAAAGTTTCGATTATATAACTTCATCTGCAAATGAAAAAGGCAACAGTCATAAATTATTTTCCCTCGATAGCGAAATTATTATCATTATTCAATAATACAGCATTAATAAATTTTTCCCTTTTCAAGAAAATAAAAAAAATTTTCCCTCCTTTAATTTAAATTAAGAAAAAGAAGTTTAGAAAAAGAAAACACTAACTTGAAAATGAGTCAGTCCTGTAATATTATCTGTAATAAATTTCAGCCACTGACTGAGAATGGCACTATCATCGCAATGTATTATTCCAGTTCTGGCTCCATTTAATCCTCTTACTTCGAAGGCATTCCGCCTCAATTTATCAGTACCAAATATATATCTCGTAACATATGCCATCATCAAGGGAACTGAAAAAGAAGATTTATTTCTTAATCAAGAAAGAAACGTTTCAATTGGAAATTTTCTTTTTATCCACTAATAATCTTTATCTAATAATTTTTAATTATTATTATTTTTCATTTTTTTAAATTATCAATTAATAATTATCAAATAGTTATTCTTATCTAATAATTTCTATCAAATAGTAATTTTTATCGAATAGTAATTTTTATCGAATAAATAATTACATTAAGAGTAATATAATTCGACGGAAGGAGAACATAATCAATGAACAACGGATTTTGAAAATTAACATTCGAAATTATTCACGAATTGCTTGTAAATTTATGCAAAGTTCAAGGATCTGAATTAATTATTATATTCTCAGTAAAACAAGAAAAGGGAAGAAAATTTTCAAAAATCGATTTTCAAATAAAAAAGAGATAAAATTATAGTCTATACAGTAATTAAGTATTCTTTCAATGTCTTGTAAAATTGTGAGAATTATGAGAAAAGTTCAATGCGCTTTATTAATAATAAAAAAAATGCAGAGTGAGATTGGTTACTGGAACAATCACTAGCTTTTCATTATGTCCAGTCGTTTGAAAAGTTTATAGCGCGAAACATATTCAATGAATAAATGTGTCACAAGAGATATATAATAATACAATATAAATTGTTTTACGAATCGTTAAAACAAATATATTTGTTTTTATTATTAAATGCCTTTGATACTAAAAATGGATGCACACCTGTTATTAGATCGACCCATTTTTTTGTGTGGGCGGAACTTGCAGATGCATTCGAACCATGTCTACTGTGACTGCATTTAGGACTTCCTGGCTGTTTACTGGGAGAAACCCATCCATCCTCTGCAGTGCCATTTGTTGCATTGTCCAATTTCTCCTCTTTTTCTTAATAGAAAAAAGAAAATTAAATTATTTTTAATACAATTTTCATAAATTATCTCGAAAAAAAATTCAATTATTCTCATAAGTAATCAAATATTCTTCACAGGAATTCAATTATTTGCAAAAATTTTAATAATTTGTAGAAATTCAATTTTTTTCAATAAAATTAAAAAAAAATAATTCAATAAAATAAAAATAATTCAATAATTTTTATAGTTAAATAAAAATAAAATTCATCGAAAGAATTCAAAAATTTGAATAAAAATCTCTATTAGAATTCAAATATTTTTCAAAAATAAATCAAATTCTTTTCAAATTCTTTTCCACGGAAGAATTGAATTATTTTTTCAAAAATTTTAATACAATTCTTTGCAAGAATTCAATTTTTTAAATAAAATTCTATACAACTTTGAAGTTAGTTGTTGTTTGATTTTTTGTTTCTAAACTTTTTTATAATTTTTCTTTTCAAATATTTTCAATTTTAAAATTAATGTATTGAAAATCATCGAATTATTGCAAAGAATCTTATTAAAATTTTTAAAAATCCTAATTAAATTCTTTTTAAAAAATTTCTTTGAATTTCTTTAAACTAATAGAGTTTCTTTAATAATTTTAATTGAAAATTTTGAAAGCAATTTGATTTTATGAAAAGGAATTTTATTAAAATTTTATTGACAAAAAAAATTAATTCTTGCGAAGAATTTTACTACCTATTTATAAAAATAATTGAACTGTTTCGAAGAATTTATTAAAATTTTAGGAAATAATTGAAATTTAAAGAAATATTTTGAAATATTTGAATTCATCCAAGGAATTCAATTAAAATTTTTTTAAAAATAATTGAATTCCTGCAAAGAAATTTACTATTTATAAAATTAATTGAATTCTTGCGAAGAATTTTACTATTTATAAAAATTATTGAATTTTTTCAAAGGATTTATTAAAATTTTAGAAAATAATTGAATTCTTTAGTAAAAATTGAATTTTTTCGAAATGTGTTAAAATTTTTTTAAAAAATTCAATTCATCCAAGAAATTCAATTAAAATTTATTTGAAAATAATTGAATTCCTGCAAAGAATTTTACTATTTATAAAATTAATTGAATTTTTTCAAAGGATTTATTAAAATTTTAGAAAAAAAAATTGAACTTTATCGAAATGTGTTAAAAATTTTTTTAAAAAGTTGAATTTTTTCGAGGAATTTAATTAAAATTGTTTTGAAAAGAATTGAAATTAAATTCTTATGAAGAATTTTATATATTTGAAAATAATGAAATTTTTTTGAGAAATTCAATTAAAGTTGTTTTGAAAATAATTGAATTTCTTTAAAGAATTTTATTAAAATTAAGTATATTCAAAATAATTGAATTCATCACAATAATTTTATTAGTTTTTGAAAATAATTGAATTCTTTCAATTTTTTTGACGAATATATTGAAAAAATGCATTGAAAGTAATTTAATTTTTATATAGAATTTTTTAAAAATATTTTGAGAATAATTGAATTATTTTTATAGAATTTTAAATTCTTCGTGAAATTGAATTTTATGGAAATTTTTGAAAATAATTAAATTCTTTCGTGTAATTTTATTTAAATTTGATTAAAAATAATTCAATTGCTGCAAAGAATTTTAATACTTATAAAAATAGTTGAATTGTTTTGCTTAACATTTGCTAATTTTTTATGAAGTTCGTTATAAGATTTCCATTATTTTCAATGCAGTTTTAATTAAATTCCTCGTAATAATTTAATTATTTTCAAAACAATAGTCTTAATTTTTTATGTTTTAGAATGTTAAATTAAATTTACAAGTTAATTATCATATTTAATTAGAAATAATTTTGTTTAATTAATTTTTTTTGTTATTTAATCTTCAAAACATTAAATTAAAATGACATCAATTCTTTATATAGATCTTGGCCATTAATTTTAAATTCAAAATTTATCAAAAAGAATTAAGAATCAAAAATAATATTTCAAACTTCGAACAGACATCCGGACTACAAAAATTATTATTATTATTATTGATTTATGAATTGAAATTCAGAATCAATTCTAATCAAGTAATTAGAAATTAAATATACTAAATAAATATAAATAAATAGTTTTACTTATTAATCATTTAGAGGAGAAAATTAATTACCATTTTTCTGTAAAAATGGCTTCGCTGCTCGATAATGTTTAACTGTCAAAACAACCAAGTCGCCAGCATTTCGAAGTATATTCACGGCATCGTCATGATTGCAGGCTGTGATGTATTCCCCATTCACTGTTCGATAATTGTGCAAATAAAAAGATTATTCTTCAATCAAAAACAAAGCAATAGTTGCTATTTTAACTCTTCGAATTAATCAATATCGAAATACTCAATGTTTTATTCAATAAGTAATAAAAATTCGTAACTATTTTTAACCAATTCAAAAAAAAAACTTTCAATTATTAATTAACTAAAGCCAAAAAAAATTAATTTTTTTAAAGCCAAAAATTTTATTATTATTTTTTCAAAATAAAAAATTTCTTTAAATTTTTTTCTATTCAGCAAATATATAGAAGTTTATCAATTTCAATTGAATGAGAAATAAAATAAATAAAATCGGAAATTGAACGTTCAAAACTTTAGGAACACAATATATTCTATTTTTCTTTATATTTACTTTTTTATATTTTTCAGTTAATTTCAATTAATTATAAAACTATTAAAAAATTATTTTCAAACTGTAGTTGAAATTTTTTTCCTTTATTTCAAATTTTCAAAAACTTGAACAATTTTCCATTTGATTCAAAATGAAAAGATGTAGATAAATAAAAATATAATTTTAAAACTAATTTTTATGTTAGAGAATTAATTTTTTTTTTTTTGATGAAAAAATAATTCAAATTTCGAAATTGAAAGAAAGTAATTCACCTTTTATAATAGCGTCTCCAACGAAAAGTTGACCACATTGATCAGCTGCCTGTCCTTTATAAATCCTGGATATCAAAACAGGAAGCTTGTGCTCAGCTCCTCCTTTTATACTCAATCCTAAGCCTCCAACTTTTTGCCTCGTTATCTGAACCATTCGCTCTTTCGCATCCACTGGAGGTTTATTATGATTCGTTGCCTGCTAGAAACCATTATTACATTTTTAAATTTTTCTTTTCAAATCCCCTTTCTTTTTTTTTTTTTATTAAATCCACGTATACTTTAATTTTCCAAAACATAGAATTTATCCAATAATTCCGATTAAAATTAAATGTGAATTTAAAATTAAAAATTTAAATATTAAAAAGAGGTAGAAAAAAATATTCCGTATCTAAAGGAAAATTTTATCCGATTAATATTCAAATGGTTTAAAATTATTCAGACGATTATTAATTATTTACATGCAGATATTTTAACTTAATTTTTTGTTTGTTTAATTTTTTATGAGAATGCATTAGTAGTTTGACTCTCACGATTCACTTGTATTTATAAACAGGATGATAACGTCAATTTTAATTATCTTAACAAGCTATAATTTAACAGAGTTAATATTACTTATAATCGGAAGACGGTAAATGAAGTGCATAGATGTACACGGTTTTCCAATATTTGATGGAATTTAATTTTAGATCTATACCGTTTTTTTAATTCAAAATGACAGTGAGTTAAGTGAGTTTTGTCGATAATTGAATTTCAAGACAGCTAGCAGTTATAATTAAAGCATTTTATTCCGTAATGTATGAATTTATTCAAATACCAAGAGTAGAGATATCTATCCGTACAGACTTTAATATCGATTTACTTACTTGCGACGAGAATAAATTTATCGGAATAAAGGAAATCGTCAAAATAAAATATAAATTTATGTAAAGTATAGAAAATAAAATTAACATAAAGTAGAAAAAAATGTTAAGTAGAAAAAAAAATTAAGTAGAAAAAAAATATTGAGTAGAAAAAAATATTAAGTGGAAAAAATATTTAATAAATAGAAAAAATAAAGAAACAGATAAAATAGAGAAAAAAAATTGATTATTTTTCTTTTCAATTTTTGAATTTTAAAATAATTGAAATTCTAATTTAATAGGTTTAAAGATTAAAAAGTAAAAAAAATTAATTTTAGCAAAATTGCTTTGAATTAAAAATCAGTTCAATTTGTAAATTTAATTGTAAATTTATTAAGTTGAAAAATACGATTAACGGTATTTATTTTTACAAAACACTGGATTTTATTTATTTTTGTTTCCTGATTTTTTTTAACTTTTATAGATTATCGAATTTAAAATAATTTAATTCTTGCAAAGAATTTTATTAAAATTTTTGAAAAGAATTGTCTTGTTTTAATAAAGATTAAAAACATTTAAAAATAAAAAAATACTTTCAAGAAATTTTTTTGAAATTGTAATGAAATCAATTGAATTCTTATAAATAATTTTATCAAAATCTTTAAAAATAATGGAATTCTTCACTTAGAATTTTATTAATATTTTTCTAAATAATTGAATTTTACTTAAAATTTTCAAAATAATTGAGTTCCTACGAAGAATTTTATTAAAAATTTTCGAAATAATTGAAATCTACTGAAGAATTTTATAACTTAACTTACAAAAATAATCCAATTCTTGCTACGAATTTTATTAAAATTTTTAAAAATAATTGAAATCTTTTGAAAAATTTTATAACGAATTAAGAAATAAATTGAATTCTTTCCTGAAATTTTATTGAAAATAATTGAATTTTTGCAAGGATTTTACTATTTAAAAAAATAATTGCGAATTGTTTCCTAAAATTTTACAAAAAATTTTCAAAAAATTGAATTTTTTCATAAAACTTATTAAAAATTGAATTCCAGCAAAGAATTTTATCATTTATAAAAATAATTGAATTCTTTTATAGACTTTATTAAAAATTTTAAAAATAATTAAATTCTTTTGTAAAATTTTATTAAAATTTTGTTGAAAATAATTCAATTTTGGAAAAAAATGTTACTATTTACAAAAATAAAAGAATTCTTTTAAAGTATTTCATCTTTAATAAATTAAATTGAAAATTTAGAAAGAAATTTAATTTTAAGAAGAATCTCATCAAATAAAACATTTCATTATTGAATTTTGTTAAAATTTGTAGAAAATAATTAAATTTCCTAAAATAATTTAATTAATTTAAGAAATTTTATTCAAATATAGAAATTAATTCAATTTTTGTAAAGATTTTATTAAAAATTTTTAAAAAATTGAATTGTTTCGAATGATTTATTTAAATTTTAGTTCAATTATTTTAGAAAATAATAGAATTTTTCGAAATATGTTATTAAAATTGTATTAAAAATTTTTTAAATTCCCATGATAAATTTTTTTTATTTATAAAAAACAATTCAATTCTTACGAAGAATTTTCTTAAATTATTTTAAAAAATAATTAAATTATTTTGAATAATTTTATATCGAATAAAGAAAAGATTGAATTCTTTCGTGAAAGTTTATTAAAAATAATTGAATTTTTGCAACGGTTTTACTCTTTAAAAAAATAATTGCGAATTGTTTTATAATATTTTATAAAAGAAATTTTCAAAAAATTATATTCTTTCATGAAATTTTTTAAAATTTGTATTAAAAAAATTGAATTTTTGCAAAGAATTTCATTTATAAAAATAATTGAATTGTTTCCAAGGATTTATTAAAAATGTTTAAAATAATTGAATTCTTCTAAGGAATTTTGTTAAAACTTGTCTAAATAATTGAATTTTATTAAAATTTTCAAAGCAATTTAATTCCACTGAAGAATTTTATAACTTATGAAAATAATTAAATTCTTTCGAGGAATTTTATTAATATTGTATTAAAAATAATTGAATTTTTGCGAACAATTTTATTACAATTTTTTTTAATTTATTAAATTATTTCTATAAAATTTTCTTGTAATTGTATTGGAAAATAACTAAATTTTCCTAAAGATTTTTATCAATATTTTTAAAAATAATTGAATTCTTTCAAGCGATTTTAGGCAATTTTTTTTAAATATTGTAATCTTTTGAGAAATTTTATTTCAATTCTTTCGAAAATAATTGAATTCCTCCAAAGAATTTTATTATTTATAAAAATAAGTGAATTCTCGACAAAAATTGTATTAATAATTAATTAATTAATTAATAATTAATTATTTAAGCGAATTTTTGAAAATTCTGAATTAGAAATCATTGAAAATTTAAAGTTTATATTTGAAAATAAAAACATTTTAAATTTGCACCAATTTGAATATTTTGAAATCAAATAAATCATATTACCTCTAAATCTTCTCTTTGAAGTTTCAAAATCTCCATCGATAGGTATAAACGCATTGGAATTGGTTTACTTTTGCCATCGCTAACTGCCACCATCCCCGTCCGCACCTTTTGTTTAAAAAATATATCCAGATTAATGAATCATCAATTTTAATCGCTAATTAAACATTTTTTGTATTCGCATAAAAAATATATTCCAAAGTTCATTTGTCTCATCTTTCATTCAATACTATTGTAATATATAAATACTAAGTAACAAATAATTTAGGATAAACTGACTTTCAATGAAAATAATTAATAATCGAAATAAATTTTTGTAATTTTCAAATAAATTATATTTTTTAATTTAAGTTTTTTTATTATATTTTTCAATTAATTTTAATAAATTGAAACTATTTAAAAATAACTTTTTTAATTATGAAAATTAAATAATAAAATAGATAAGTAATTAAAAATAAAATTCACTCTCTTTTAATTTTCAAAAAATTGAGCAATTTACCATCATTGAAATTATTTTGACGCATTTGACGTTTAATTAATTTTAATTGAATTTCCTTTATTAATATAAATTTTCTACCTTGCTTATAACAGAATGTTTAATTAACCCTTTGAGGACGAGAATTCTGTATAAATACATTTTCATAGATCAATCTTTTATCGAAAAATAAACTAATAATGGTAACTTACAAAACCAGAATAATTTAATTAAAATTATTATTACATTATTATAATCTATTATAAATTATTATAATTATTATAAATAAATAAATAAATAAATACCATTTATAACTTGCTTTAGAACAGAATCATTAATTTTTTATACTCTATTTTCCATTATAATTATTTTTCTCCTAAAAATACTATTTCATTTTCTCGTAAAATATAAAAAGAAATACCACAAAAGAATACCGCGTCTTTTTATTCGTGTTCATTGAATTAAAAATAGGTACTTTTAATAAAGGATTTATAAAATCGTTAAACATTGTGTATAACAAGTTGATGAGTGAAAAGAACAAAAGTCATATTGCTTAAGTAAACATCGATAAATTCGATTCTTTCTTATCTTCTATTTTTTTTAAATATAAAAAAATAGGCATTTAATGCAAAAAATATGAAATATAAATTAAGGGCAATTAACGGTCATAAATTAAGGTCGACGTTCGATTGAAAAAAGATTGACGCGCATGGCAACGTAGTTCAAAAAGAAATTTTTTGTTATATGACTCCAAAAAAAAGGGAAAATTGCCTACGATTCAAAAACTTAAAATCAATTTTTCAATTAAGGGAAAAGTGGCAAAAAGTCAGTTTAGCCTAAACAATTGCTTTGTTCTTTGGGAACAATTGTCAAAAAATTGACTTTTAAATTCGTGCAGATATATATGACACTAGTAATTTTCATCCGGTATAATTGTTCTGTCGATGTGGTAATAATTTTGGAACAGGCATGTCACGAACACATTCTATTCCCCGTAACTCTGTTATTGATTGCAATGATCGTGTTGAATATAATGAAAAAATTTGATATATAGGGACATAATTTTTTTTTGTCAATATTATATTCACCTTTAACTTCTGATCAATCTTCTCCTCGATCGGAGTACTCATTTTCGTTGAATTGATTCTCATAATTAATTACTGATACCACAATTCATCCATTGGCCACAAATAGCACACGCTGTCAAAATTCAAACGTAGACAATTACTCCAACATTGAAGGTGCCACATTTTTTTCTTTTCCCTCTTCTTCTTCTTCTTCTTTTTTTCTTTCCCTTTTTCTTTCTTTCTTTTCTTTTCTTTTTTTTTTTTACTATAAATCGTACGTTGAACTCACAAATGAAACAATAATTTCCGTAAAGTCTTGAAAAGAAATTCAACTGTCAATCAAATTGACATTTGAAATAATATCGATGATTCTCTACACTGTCAGTGGTATTTAATATTTATCCACATTGAAGAACCATTCTTCTTGGTCGTATATATACACGAATCCCGGGTTTTAAACACGTTCCCTTGCGTTCACGTCGGAGAATCGTCGTGAAATGAACTCAACTAAACTTCTCTAATGGAACTCCAGATAGCGTGACAATCCGACTCATGTTACGTGCGGAGTTACGTTATTTACGCGCAGGCGTAAGATCCGCGATTTGATTTGATGTTCAATCTTGGTTTAATCCTTTGAAAAGGAAGGCGGAAATATTCAAATAAAACAAGTTAATTTCCGTTAAAACGGAGGGAAAAACCTCACGAATAAGAAGGATCAATTAATAATTAATAATATTAATTAATTATTAATCCAACTAAATTCGCAAGTAAACCCAATACATTTATTAAAGTCAAAAACATTACACAAGTCGAAGTTATTCTTATGACTATTTTTGGGACTACTCTGAAGTACATTACGAAAGAACTCCAAAGTAGAACTGAATTCGTGAGGGAGCATTTAGCCCTTGGTCCATGGCAAAAATCTTTGCGCATGCCCTGTTATAGAGTTTGTAAAGTCTATGGAGTGTTCAGAATCACAACACCAACACTGCACTGCACTAATACACGTATAAACATACTCTACGTATTGAAAACATGTATCACAACAAGTGAACATAACCCTTTTTCATTCACACTAATTACACAATTATTAATTATTTACATCATATCTAGTAACAATAAATCTCTTATACTGCACTCATCATATTTAAATATAAATAACAATTACAACGATAACCAATTTGATAATATATCATAATATAATATTATTATTATATTAATACGTTACAAATATATATTTATATTCAATACCATAATATTACAACACTCAATTAGATGAAGTTTACTAATAATATCATTTTCAAATAATACATTCATATTGCATAATTAGCAACAATATAATATTATTGTCAATTGTTCATAATGTTCATATTATACAATTGATAATTAAAGTTCGTCGCATAATGAAAGTCTATGTGTACGTGACTTTTCGAAGCCTTTTCTGTGGTCACAAGTATGGTAAACACATGTTGCATTGTCCTATGGAAAAGGACACTTGAGATATTTTTTATATTCTTTCGAGGGTTTCTCGGTTTTATGACTCTAAAGAAACTAGAGATTACATTTTCTTTCGCTATTCTACTTGATTTATGACAATTCTAAGAAATGTTGATTTTCAAATACATATTCAGAATTTGGAAACTATTAAACCGTGAAGTATTATATTTTACAATAGTCAAACTTTCTTGTTTAGTCTCGTCAATAATTGTCTAAAGTCGTGAGAAAATACTAAAAATAATTAAGTTTATTAACGAAATGTTATAATTCGCGCTTCGATAACTTGTAAATCGATATATCGAAAGTTAACGAGCGAGATGGTAGTCGCTCGTAACACTCACAAAATGGAATTATTCAAAAAAAATTTCCAACACATCTGTAAAGAAAATAAATAACTAAAATTATTATTATATTATAATATTCGACATAATCTGTCCTCACGTAAAGTTTGTGTTGTTTTATTCCAATCATTTGTTTTATAGTTCGAATTGTTATGTCAAAATTTTGACAGTTAATTTGCAAATAATAAAATAAGTGGAGTAATCAGAAACTCAATAAAGAGGTACATATTACAGTTGCAATTTTTTAAAGTAATTAATTATACTACGAATTATTTATTTTTGTATTCAAATAATTGAATTCCGATATAAGAATTGTTTTAAGAAAGAATTTTAGTTAAAACTTTAGAAAATAATTATCATAATATTTATAAATATAAACAAATATTAATTTCTTAGCTTCCTTATAAGAATTAAAAGTTTTGAATAATATGATTCAAAAAAATTCATCGCAGAATTTCAATTATTTTTAATACAATTTTAAGGAAATTTCACGAAAAATGTAATTATTCTTCAAAATTTATTAAAATTCGTCGAAAGAATTTAATTATTTAAAAATTTGTTGATAAAATTCTTTGTGAGAAATTAATTTTTTCTTACAAATATTAAAAATTTTTCACGAGAAATCGAGAATTCAATTATTTAAAAAACTTTTTAATAAAATTCTTCGTAAAAATTCAATTAATTTTATAAATTTTAATATATTGCTTCACAAGAATTCAATAATTTTCAATAATAATAAAATTCTTCTAAGAAATTGAGTTATTTTCACAAATAAAGATAAATCTTTACAAGAATTCAATTATTTAAAAAAATTTTAATAAACTTCTCCTTAGATATTCATAAATAGTAAAATTCTTGTCAGGAATTCAATTTTATTTAAAAACTTTAATAAATTTCTTCTCAAAAATTCAATTATTTCTCAAAAATTTGAATAAAATTCTTCTCAAAAATTCAATTATTTTTAAAAACTTTAATCAATTTCTTCCCAAGAATTTAATTATTTTCATAAAAAATAAAATTTTTATCAGAAATTCAATTATTTTAATAAATCTCTTTCCAAGAATTCAATTATTTTAAAAAATTTTAATAAATTTCTTCCCGAGAATTCAATTATTTTGATAAATAATAAAATTTTTGTCAGGAATTCAATTATTTTTAAAAACTTTAATAAATTTCTTCCCAAGAATTCAACTACTGTCATAAATAATAAATTTCTGCCCAAGAATTCAATTATTTTCATAAATAATAAAATTTTTGTCAGGAATTCAATTATTTTTAGAAATTTAAATAAATTTCTTCCCAAGAATTCAATTTTTGTCAGGAATTCAATTATTTTAATAATGTCTTTCCAAGAATTCAATTATTTTCGTAAATAATAAAATTTTTGTCAGGAATTCAATTATTTTAATAAATAATTGAGTTTTGTAAAGGTTTCAAATTATAATCTTTGAAAGTTTGAATTTTTTTCTACTTTTAACTAAAAATTGTGAGGATTCAATTTTTTAAAAAAAGTTTAATGGAATTTTTTTGAAATTATTTATTTTCTAATATATATTTATTGAAGAATTTCCAAATAATCGATGAAATTTCGTAAAATTGAATTAAAAACAAAAGGATTAGAAAATTTTCAAAAATTTTTTTCAAAAATTAAAAATAATTAATTTAAAGAAGAATTTTAGTTAAAAATTTTTTAATAAAACATAAAGATATCGATTGCTCTGAGTCGAAGACTCGGAGTGATCGATTTCTTCATGTTTTATAACAATTTTTTTAAAAATTGTTTAATTTCAAAATAGTTTGAATTTGAATGTTTTGAAGAATTTTAATTTCTATGAAAAAATAATAATGATTAAATATTTATTTAAAAAAGAAGCAAAAGCGTGATAACCCTGTAAATTAATGAATATATACATTGTTTGCTATTTGAAATATATTATTTATATTTTAAGTCACATTTAGTGTAGAATTTTATAAAAAAAAAATATGATTCAAAAATTCTAGAAAAAAAATATTTTAATTTTGGAAGACTTGTAGTTGAAATTGTAATAAAAATTTTTTCCCATTGTTTTACATTGAAAGTATTTCGAAATTTTAAGCAAATAAAGAACAATATTTAAATATTTATTATTGTAGTTTTGCTGGTTATAAAATAAATAAAAAACTTAAATAAGGGGGATAAAATTTTAATTTTTAATTTAAAGACAAGTATTTCTAAAAAAAGAAAATTTATATTCTTTGACATTTTTTTTTACATTTTCTTTTTAAAATAAATTAGATTTATACACACATATATTTGTTGCACTAATTAACGTTTGAATAGATTTATAAATAATTGTATTTTTCACGTTATCTCAGATTTAGTAAAATTTTATCTACAAAAACTAATAAAATTCTCATATTCGATAAAATTTGACATAAATTAAAAATATTATACAAAAATAATGGTAAAAATTAATCAAAAATTAATAAATTTTCTCTAGATTTTTTTGTTTTTTGGTTTTAGTGAGAACAAGATTACCTAAATAATTGTTTTTTTTATCGTCAAAAGACTATTTTCTTTAGGAAATCATAGGCTGCGTTAATAACACCCCAGCTAATGAATGATCTCATGTAATTTAAATGAACACCTTTATAAAAGCTGGTTAAACTTCGATTTCTAGCAATGTACAATTCACGAATAGCTGTGGTGAATTTATCGAAATTACCGCCAATTTTTGTTTGCATATGAATTTTTATCACATTAAAAGGATAAAAAACTGTGCTCGTAAAACCACCAATAACGGCGCCATAAAAGAAATTTTTCAAAAGAGACTGCCTGTCACCCATTAATTCTTTCGATTTATCTCTAAGTGTGAAAAAGGTAAGATTTGAAAGTCCATTTCTATAAATAATGGGAACAAATCCACGATAACACTCATGAACACCATAATTCGTTAAAATATACCTAAAAGCGTGTGTTGTATTTTTAAATTTATTATGATAACGATAGTCTTGTAATAATGTTTGCACTCTTTCAAGTGGCATTAATATTGCTTCAGTTGCACCGGCAATATTTGCTGCTAAAATTTTTGCTAAAACCTCATTTCCCGTTAGTATACTAATTCTTTCTTTTGAACCCTCATAAACACTAAACATTATGCTCAATGAAAGAGTTTTTTGGCAGAGTGGAGGTAAAATTCCTCGATAAAGAAGACTGAAACCTTCTTGTTTCAATTGACGAATGGCATCACTCGCTGGTACACCATCCAAAATCTTGAAAGAAAATTATTTACACAAGTAAAAAAAAGAATAAACAGGAAAATGTTAAAATGTAGTCAATAGAAAAAATAATCAACCAACCTGTCTAAATATGATTTTATTTATGGGATAAGTAACTGTAATATTAATAACAGCCGATCCCCAACCGCACACGAATTCACGAAGATCATTTGAATTTGGCTGAAGAAGTGAACTAAGTTTAATTTTCTTTTTTTTTGGTAACATATCTGTTTCAATTTTCGTATTATCAGCTGCTTCCACTTTTGGAAAGGGCCATGTCTCTTCGCATCTTCTCCAATCCATATTGAATACAGATGTATTTCTAATGAGAAAAACAGAAAATTTTTTTTTTCAATTTCAATTTCAATTTTTTGAAAATTTTATAAAACAATTAACAATTCATTTTTTAAATAGTAAAGTCGTTGCAAAAATTCAATTATTTCGAATAAAATTTCACGAAATAATTCAATTTTTTTCTTAATTCGTTATAAAATGTTTCTAAAGAATTTAATTATTTTAAAATAATTTAAGAAAATTCTTCGCAAAAATTTAATTATTTTTTATAATAATAATTAATATTGTATTTTTAACCCTTAAACCGCACCCTGGGTGTGCGACACCCATATTCTAGCATTTTACTCAAATATCTCGTTTAAATTCGTAAAAATTGAACATGTGTTGATATTGGACAGTACATTTTGTACTAAACTTTATGTTTCGTGAGTGACATTAGTCTGCCAAGTGTCTTTGTGTATTTGATAACTTTATGAAGTTGACGGCGAAAAATTTCTGCTTGTCTGACACCCAGTTTTTGGTTTAAGGTAATTTCAGTAGTTTTAAAAAACTCTTTTTTAATTATTAAAATTAAATAAATCATTATGAAACCTATTTTCCTTCAAAATAGATGTACTGAGCTATATAAGATAATTTTTCCAAAAGATAATATCCTATTCCAGCTTGGAGAACACACTTAAAAGTCCCCGGGTGTCGCACACCCAGTGTGCGGTTTAAGGATGGATTCGTAAGTGTGCGGTTTAAGGGTTAATACAATTTTAATAATATATTTCGAAAAAAATCAATTATTTTCTAAAATTTTAATAAATCGTTCAAAACATTTCAATTTTTACAAAAATTTTATTAAAATTTTTTCAAAAATTGAATTATTTTCTATATTTTAATAAAATTTCTTCAATGAATTAAATTATTTTAGAAAATTGTAATAAAATTCTGCGATGAATTTAATTATTTTCTAAAAATATTAGTAAAATTCAATAATTAAATGTTTTATTTAAAGAGATTCTTCATAAAATTCAATTTCTTCCTAAATTTTCAATTAAAATTATTAAAAATGAAATTGTTTGAAAGAATAAAATTGAATTATTTTTATAAATAATAACATTCTTCGGAGGAATTCTATTATTTTTGTGAATAATAAATTTCTTCGATTGAATTCAATTACATATTCTTAAATTTTTTAATAAAGTTCTTTGCAAGAATTCAATGAATTTCAATTTGTTAATATTAAATTTGAAAATATTTAAAAAGAAAAATTATTATTTTTACTACTATTATTATCATTATTATTATTACAATTACTATTATTATTATTATTAACATTTTCATTATTACAATTCATATTTTCTCCGATCATATCTACTATTGTTTACATTTTGACAAGAGTGATTAATACAAAAAAGAATTTCTCTAAAATAAATAACACAAATTTAGGACAAAACAAGATAATTATTATATAATTCTAACCTGTACAATGTCCAATTGATAAAGATTTATTCTTCACATATTTTTAAGACGTTTCCATTTCACCAAAATTTTTTTCAACTGCCTCAAAGAACATATTTTAAATCCATTAATTATTAATTGTCACAGTTTACTTCTTTCGTTAATGTATTGAGATAAAATAGCTGATAATTTTTCAACATGATAAAACTGTGTTTTTATCCAAACAATTGATATTATTTATCTATTTATCTTTAAATTTGGATAAACAGCTGATTACTGTCACACTTTATCGGGGTCGTCTCAGGGATGGGTTGTTGAGAAATGTCAGAATTTCACGGAACCTCTGTTATTTCTACATTCTCGTATTTTCAATTTTTTCTTTCCGCAAAAAAGAGATATAATTATAAACAATATAAACGATAAATAGAGATATTTAAACAAAGATTAATATTTTAGTAATATTGTTCAATGTTAATTTGCTAAAAAGGAAGTAACTTCCTTTACACGCACTTGTGGACATGACTTTAAGTAAAAGTGCGATCACATGACCATAATATTGCAAGGAAGTTTCCATGAATGTCAGTCTGTCAGATTAATTTTTATTATTCTGAGAATTTTTCCCCATGGTTTTCGATGAAAATTTCTGAAAGATTTTAAAGTGAATGGAGTAAATAACCGGTGCTGTACTACCTTTTCCCAATGAAAAAGTGCTTTGCAACGTGTCAAAGATTTCCAATCTCAAAACATCATTGAATATTATTCCAACACATTTGACAGATTAGTGTGGAAATATAATTGACAATTATTGACAGAAGTCTGTAGAGAAAATACAAAAAAGTAAGAGGTAGGTATTTTTTTAACCTAATTATAACAAAATTCCATAATATAATAATATGTATTTTCTATTATATGACGTTATTAATGAAACTCAATTTTCAAAACAAAAATTTAATATTCCTCAACATTATTTACATTTTAATGAATTAATTGTTTTCTTTCAATTTTTAGCAATGCGTCAAATGAAAGGAAAAACGAAAGAAACCAACAAACAAAAAAAGGAGCGTAAAAAAGAATTTTTAGAAAACAAGCAACGTGTATTCACACTTGTTTTACCAACAATAGCAGCAATTTTTTGTCTAATTGCTGCATACGTTTATTTTAAAACCCGTCCAAAGGCAGTTGATTTTTGATTAATTTGTATTAATTATGCGCTCATATTTTTTAATAGCATCGCATGTATATTTTTATCATTCATTTTTAATTCAAAAACACATGCGAATATCAAATTTTTAACTTGATTTAATAATATTTTGTGCAAAAAAGAAAAAGGTCCACGTTTCTTTGGAAATTAAATGTTGATTTATCCTGAAGAGACAAAATACAATATCGTAGCATTTAGCTTGACTATATAGCTTATAAGGATATGAAAAAAATATATTTGTTACTCAAAGAGAAAATGTTTATAAATATATTCTTCGACTTTAAATGCCTTTTATAAAAAAGAGAATTAATTCTATGTAAATGATATAAAATAATCTATATATTATTATTGCAAGTATTGTGAATGGTGTATATTGGGTCCAAAGTAATAAAATATATTTATGTTTATTTATCTGTGTTATTGTTTTAAAAAAAACCGTTATTTTTTCCGCAATCGCAAATTGTAAATTTTTTATTCAAAAATCAAACTTTCCTTTGGTTTGAAAGTTTGAATCGTTTGAAGTTTAGAAATCTTTTAATGAAAAATTGTTAGTTAATTTCAAAAATACGTGTTTTTTTGTAATCTAAATAATTGTTGATATTTGTTTATAAAAATAAACCAATCAGAGACGACCACGCGTGGAGGATAGTGTGATACGTGTAGAACACTGATATACACTTGTCAGTCTTTAAAAATGGCCGCGAGAAGAAGGAAGAACGATTTCATTTTTTCTCTTTTTATTTTAGTTTTATCGTACATAAGTAATATTCAAGGTAAGAAATTGGCATTTCTAATTACTCTAATTTTCAATTATTCCAAATTTTCTATTCATTTATTCATTCTATTGTATTATTTTCAATTATTCTAAATTTGACAGCACTAAACTTTGCTGATGGTTTAAAAATGTTTTCTTAACTTATAAATCAGTTAATATTTTAAGTGTTATGATTTATTTAAATTCCATTCTATTATTAGTAGAAGAAATATATTCTTTTTTCTCTAAAACGGATATTTGTTGACAATTAAGAGACTTGTTTTCGAGACAAACATAACCTTACTTTTTCTTTATTACTTTGTGTCATTAATTATTAAAGAAAATTCATCGTTTAGAATAAATAATTTTGTTGAGAATAATAGAGTTGGAATTAATTCTATCTTCGTTAATAGTTAATTTTTTAGTATATTATCAATAATTAACGAACACAATAATTTTTTCTTTTAGGAAAGAGTACAAAATATGTGACATGTGGCTCGGTTATAAAATTAATGAATATTGATTATAAAGTGAGATTACATTCTCATGATATAAAATATGGAACTGGAAGTGGTCAACAATCAGTCACTGGCACTGAATCTAAGGACGATGCAAATTCACATTGGTTAATTAAAGGAGAAACTAAAAAACAATGTACACGAGGGTAATTCTAAACACTATTAATGTTTTTTCATTATTTTACTGATAAATGTAATTAAATTACGACTCGAACCTAAATAAACTGAAAATTTAGGTTCGAAAATTAATTTTCGAAAAATAAGGGAAATAATTTCAGGGTTGCTACGCAACCTGAAAACCTGGAAATGTCTGGGAATTCTATAAACCTTAAAAAAAACCTTAAAAAGTCAGGGAATTTTGATCAAAATCCTGGAAAATTGTTGTTTTCTAAAGTTATTTCGTTTATTCTTGAAATCTAATTTCACTTAAATATTTCAAAATTAATTCAATTTTAAAAGAATTGCGTTTACAATTTTTAAAAATAGATGAACTTCAATTTTGTAAAATTTCAATTTTAAATGAATTTAATTAAAAATATAAAAAAACTTAAATTTAAAAAAAAATTTAAAACTAAAATTCTTCTGAAATTAGTTCAATTTTTTAATATATATTTTAATTGATTATTAAAAATAATGGATTTATAGAAGAGTTTTAGTTAAAAACACTAAAACAAATAGAATTTTGAAGCAATTACAAATGATTGCACAAATTCAATTATTTTCAAATTAATTAAATTTCTTTAAGGAATAAAATTATTTTCAAAAATTTTAATGATATTCTTTGCGTAACAATTCAATTTTTTTCAAAATAATTTTAATAAAATTCTTCGCAGAAATCCAATTATATTTAAAACTTTACAAAAATCCTCGTCAAAATTTCAATTATCTTTATAAATATCAAAATTCCTCGACAAACTTCAATTTTATTCAGAAATTTTAATAAAATTCAATTATTTTCATAAATAACAATGTTAATTACAAGAATTCAATTATTTTCAAAAATTTTAATAAAATTCATTGCAACAATTATTTTCAAAAATTTTTCTCAATTCAATAATTTCTATATATCTATTTTAAAATTTCCCAAAAGGAATTTTGATAGAATTTCAATTACTTTTTAATACAATTTTAATTGAATTCCTCGAAAAATGTTATTAAAATTCGTCGAAAGAATTCAATTTTTTAAAAATTTGTTGATAACATTAAGTACAAGATTTCAATTATCTTTATAAATAATAAAATTTTTCTCCGAAATTCAATTATTTTAAAAATTTTTAATAAAATTCTTGGCAGAATTTCAATTATTTTTATAAATAATAAATTTTTTCTCCTAAATTCAATTATTTTAAATACTTTTAACAAAATTCTTGTCAGAATTTCAATTATTTTTAATATAATTTTCATTAAATTTTTCGAAAAATGCAATTATTATTATTAAATAAAATTTATTAAAATTTGTCAAGAGAATTTTTAAGTATTAAAAAATTTGTTAATGAAATTCTTTATGAAAATTCAATTTTACTTTAAAAAACATTCAATGGATTAATAAAATATTTGTTTTTATAGTTAAATAATTGAATTCTCGTAGAATTTTCTAATAAATATTGATTTAAAAATGAATTTCAAATTAAAATCTTTGAAAATTTGAACTTTTCATACTTTTAATTAAGAATTCTATAGAATTAATTTTTCTCAATAAGTTTAATGGAATTTTTTTTAATTATTTGAAGTTTTTAATTTCTACTATATTTAATTGAAGAATGTCAGAATAAACGAAATTTCGTAAAATTAAATTGCAAACAAAGGAATTTGAAAATTCACAAACAACTTTTTCAAAAATTATTAAAAAAATTGACTTAAAGAAGAATTTTAGTTGGAAATTCTAAAAACGAATAATCGTTTTATAATAATATTCTTATATTTTATTGAATTTCAAATTTTTGAATATCTTATTTTTTATAAAAAAAATAATGATTAAATATTTATTTAAAAATGAAGTTATTGATGTTTTCGAATAATTTTCGTTTAAAAAACCTTGAAAAATTCCGTTTTTTAAACCTGAAAAAGTGAGGGAATTTGAAAAGAGTAAAAGCGTGGCAACCCTGAATTTAGAATAATTTAATGGAAATTAACTCAAAATGAATTTACAGAAAACCAATAAAATGTGGAGGAACAATTCGTCTCGAGCATTTAATAACAAAAAAGAATCTTCACTCTCATCATGTTAAATCGCCTCTTAGTGGAAAGCAAGAAGTTTCAGCTTATGGAGACACGAGAGGAGACGGTGATAGTGGCGATCACTGGATGGTGATTTGTGATAACGATTTCTGGCAAAGAGACACACCAATAATGCTTCAACATGCGGATACTGATTCGTAAGAATTTCTTTTTACATAAAAATTATAGTCTTTATTCAGATACTTCGAAATAACTAAAAAAGAATGGATATTTTTATTTTCATTCCATTTCGACACATTTTTTTCAATTCTCCAGTAATCTCAATTTCTTAATTTTAATTCAGTAATTTGAATTCAGTAATTTGAATTTAGTAATTTTAATTTCTCTTTCTAATCGATGAATTTAATTTCAAAAGGTATTTATCAGTAACCGGAAGGACGTACGGTTCTCCAATTGTTGGACAAACCGAAGTTGTTGGTGAATATGCGCAATATCACGCCGAATGGCAAGCAATGGAAGGTCTTTTCATTCATCCCACTGATTTAAAATCTCATCATCATGAACACACGGAGCTTTAACTTTAAAAATAGTTTTTGAAATTTTTAGAAAAATTAATTACGTGAATTAAAAAGTGAGTTGACACTCACATAATTTTCAAATTGTGTGCTAATTAATTCTTTAAAATTTGCAACCAAAATAATTTTGTTTTTTGAATGAAAAAATCAAGTGCGAATGTTTTTATATTAAATATCATTTTTTTCTCTTGCTTAGAAAATGTATATTTATAAAAAAAATCAATAACTACGTATTAAATACTTCTAAGATTATTATATAAAAGATTTTTAATTCTCATGAGAATTCTTTATATGTACACTAGACTGATAAATGACGAATATTACATTCATAAGCGGATATATAGATAAGTAACAGATGTTCAATTGAAATATCGCTTCAAAAAAAAAAAAAACCTCAATAACTAGATGTATTTTTTAAGCGAAGATTGTAAATATTCTAATTTCAATATTTATTAAACTTTGACAAATTCCTCATAGAGAATTTCTGCGTGGATTTTTAATACCTTATTTACAAATTATTTTCAAAAGAATCATTTTATTTTTTGCATTTTTTTAAACTAATTTTCAGCTCAAATTTACACTTCCTTGAGATAACAATTATTTTGATATTTAAAATTTACTAAACTATCGAAAGGAAATAAAATATTTACAAGACCATAATGTCCGAAAATTTCTGTAAAACTCTCCTTTTTCTGAATATTGAAACTATAGATTTGTTTCCCCATGAGACATGCATATAATTTCCAACTGCCATAGGAAATTCCAATGCAAAATGTTGCGACTAATGCATCGAAGAGTGTAACCAAAAGTAAACATGATTCCTCATCGGAAAATAAAAATCGAGCCAGTGCAATAGGAAAACAAAAACTTAACAAAACATTGAAATTACTCGATTCTGGCCTAATAAAATGATTCAAATGTGCGTATAAATAGGGGCCGAGTATAAATATCGAATAGAGGCAGGAAAGCGATGAATAGAAACATAAGAGAATAAAATTTCCCATATTTTGACGTAAAACACAAGTGCCCATAAAGAAACAATGATGATCACGAAAATGATAACATTTCTCGCACAAAGGACAATGAATAGCCATTTTACGTGTGTAATTTCGACATTTTTCACAATACCAAAATTTCCTCTCTCTTTCGCTCGATATAAAGGAATTTGCTCTACGATAATCTATATTTAATATTGTACTTTGATTTAGATTTTCTGCTTTTAATGTTGAGACATTTTTTCCAATTTTCCAAGCTGTGTACCAATTTAATTGCAATTGAATGCAAATAAAGAGATAAATAAACGAGATCCCATCGCTAATGTACATTGTGACAAAATTTGAAATAATACTATAAATAAATGCAATTAATGGACAAATCTTTAAAACAATAAAATAAAATTTCCTCATTGTTTTCGTTTTTTTGAGAAATTTTTGTGCAAGGCAATATGTTTCTAATTCAGCTGCTTGTATATTTATCTCGTTTTAATTAGCTGAATATATCTGTAACAATAAAAGTTATTGTATTTACTCGCAAATATTAAGTGCGCGGTACGAGATATTCCATTTATTATTGTTATGCAAATTACAAAATTTATTATTTTCAAATATAAATTTTCTATTTTCATAATCAAAATTTAAAAAATCCACTTATTAAGTACAAAATTAATTATTACTGTTCATATTATCAAAAATTTTAATACAATTTCACGAAAGAATTCCATTATATTTTCTAAAATTTTAATAAATCCTTCTGAACAATTCAATTACTTTTTTTTAATTGTAAAATCTTTATAAAAATTAAATTATTTTCAAAACAATTTTAATTTAATTCCTCGGAAGAATTCAAATATTTGAAAAAAAAATTTAACACATTTCGAAAAAATTCAATTTTTTTCTAAAATTTAAATAAAATCTTCGAAACATTTCAATTTTTGTTATAAATAGTAAAATTGTTAGCAAGAATTCAATTAATTTTATAAATAGTAAAATTCTTTGCAAGAATTCAATTATTTTCAAAAAATAATAAAATTCAATTCCAACAAGAATTTAAAATTCTCTAAAAATAATTCAATTATTCTCAAAATATTTATTAAAAAAATTCTATATAAAAATTAAATTATTTTCAATGCAATTTTGAAATATCTTCTACAAAAAAATTGAAAGAATTCAATTATTTTCAAAAAATAATAAAATTCTTGTAATGAATTCAATTATTTTGAATATATACTAAATTTTAACAAAATTCTTTAAAGAAATTCAATTATTTTCGAAACAACTTTAATTGAATTTCTCGAAAAAAATTTCATTATTTTCAACTATTTCTATAAAATTATTTATAACAATTTAATTATTTCTTAAAAATTTAATAAATTCTTCGTGGACATTTCAATTATTTTTGTAAATAGTAAAATTATTCGCAAGAATTCAATTATTTTTATAAATAGTAAAATCCTTTGGAGAAATTTAATTCTCTTCAAAACAATTTTAATTGAATTCCTCGGGAGAATTTAAATGTTCAAATATTATCATGAAATTAATTTATTTTCTACAATTTTTATAAATTCTTCGTGGACAATTCAATTATTTTTATAAATAGTACAATTCTTCACAAGAATTCATTTATTTTCAATACAATTTTAATAAAATTCTTCTTCATAAAATTCAATTGCTTTCAAAATTTTCAATTAAAATTATTAAAGAAACTCCATCAGTTTAAAAAAAATTCAAAGAAATTCTTCAAAAGAATTTAATTAGGATTTTTAAATATTTTATTAAAATTCTTTGCGAGAATTCAGTTATTTTCCTAAATAATAAAATTATTTGAAGGAATTTTATTATCTATTATCAAATTTTTTGATAAATTTGCAACAATTCGATTTTCAATACATTAATTTTAAAATTGAAAATAAAAGAAAAATTATAAAAAAGTTAAGAAACAAAAAAGCAAACAACAACTGACTTCAAACTTCGAACAGATTATTATTATTAATTAATTTTCCAACAATTGATTATGCAATTTTATTTTTTTAGTAATGAAAATAAATATCCTAACCTATAAAATCAGTTCTCGTGATTTTATACCTTTATTATTTATAGTTTATATAATATGGACTTACATATAAAGGCTCGGACCAGATAAATGGTTTGAAACAATGTAAATTCATTGAGAATCATTTTAATATAAAGGTATAAAATAAATAACGTTAATAACTTTCAGTTTCATTGTTGTTGTTGTTGTTGTTGTTATTATACCAGTGAATTTCTGGATCGCTGCGGTCCTTTTAAAAACTCAATTTTTTAAATTTCGCGCCACATACGAACGTAAGTTACGTTACGATCAAATATCTTTTTTCTGGATTTGAGTTTCCGTACCCTGTGTATACTTCTGCAAAAGTGACGTTTACGACGTGTAATTTTAAGAATCATGATTTTTTAGAGATTTTTTAAAGAGTTTTGAGAGAGAAAAGTTTTTGAAAATTCATAGAACTGTGTAAGAAAAGTGTTTAATTTTCATTTTACATAAAATGTGGGCGGATTCTATTTTAATCGTATTTATTAGTGTGTGTACAGCCCTTTTGGGTGAAGGTAAATTTATTTTCTCTAATCTTAAAAAAATGCAATCTTTATTTGTAGATCTAATTCCCAAATCTAATAATTAAAAAATTACATTTTTCAGGTTTGACATGGCTAATGGTGTACAGAACAGAAAAGTATCAAAAATTGAAGCAGGAGGTTGAAAAACAGAGCAAAAAGTGTAGGTTATTTTTGCTGTTTGTTTTGCTATTAGATTTGTTAATGATAATTAAAATTTTTTAAATAATGTAGTTATTTAGTAGTAAATTGAATTTTCTTGTAGTTTGAAAAAAAATATATTTTTCTTTATTTCGTTACAGTGGAGAAGAGAAAAGAAGTACATGGCGATACATTGGATAAACAACAGAAGAAGAAAATTGAACGCGAGGAGGAGAGATTAAAAAATAATAACAGAGATTTGTCACTTGTGAAAATGAAATCAATGTTCGCGATTGGTTTTGCATTTACTGCCCTTTTAAGTATGTTTAATAGCATTTTTGATGGACGAATTGTCGCAAGGTTACCTTTCGTTCCAATAAGTTGGATTCAAGGACTCTCCCACAGAAATCTGCCTGGGAACGATTACACTGAATGTTCTTTTATATTCTTATACATTCTTTGTACAATGAGCATAAGACAGGTAAAATATTTTTAATTGTTACATTTTTACTGTTTATTACTTTACTAGTAAATGATACGCACGCGGAACGCGGTATTCCATTTCTTTTTATTTAAATTTTGTAGATTTAAAAATTTTATATTTTCAAGAATAAACATCAATTTTTGAATGATTACAGATTCAAAATTTAAGGGGATGTCAGAGTCGATTGAATTTTTACATTGAGCTTCAATGGAAAAATCGCATCGACTTTGACACTGCCTTAAAAAATTCACTTATCAAGTACATAATATTAAATATTCTTGTTTATTATTATTCAAAAATTTCTCATAACATTCGTCGCAAGAATTTCATTTTTCTCATAAATAATATTTTTTTAAAGCAATTGAATTATTTTCAATACAAGTTTAATAAAATTTCTCGAAATAATTCAATTATTGAAAAAAATTTGATAAACTTCTTGAAATGAATTCAGTTATTTTCAAATTTTTTAATAAATACTTTACAAGAATTTAATAATTTTCAGTACATCGACAATTTAATTATTTCTGAAAATAATTGAATTCTTAAATAGAATTTTATTAAAACTTTTTTAAATAATTAAATCCCTGCGAAAAATTTATTATTTCTACAAATAATTGAATTTTTACAAAATTTAAAAAAAAATAAGTGAATTTTTGAGAAGAATTTTATTAAAATTATATTATTTAAAATAATTGAATTCTTACGAAGAATTTATAAATAATTTAATTTTTCCTGGAATTCAATTATAATTGAATTTAAAATAATTGAATTCAATGATTTTCAGTACATTAATTTAAAAATTTTAAACATTTAAAAAGAAAAATTATTTTTATCATTTTATTACTTTTATTACTTTTTACTGTATGTTAAGTGCTGAAATCATATTTTGTTCGATTTATATTCAATGATATAATTTGTTTTTGTAAAGTAAAGTTTTTTGTCATCTATAATTTTTATCGAAAATTCATATAAAAGAATAATTTTTTTTTCCTTACAGAATATTCAAAAAATGTTGGGTTTCGCACCTTCACGAACAGCGAGTAAACTCAGCGGTGGAATTTTTGGACCTCCGCCACAACAATTTAAATAATTCCAACATTCTTTTTTAATTCAAACTCATTCTTGCTCATGTACCTTGAAAATTATTTAATTAGAGACAATTATGTAAATATATTTCCACAAAGCCTGAAGACTGTTAATTATTGTTTAACAAAAAGGAAACCAAGGCATTTAATGTTCATTTTTCTTATAATGAGATATAAAGTTCAAAATAATTAACATGATTTTTGTCATTTCTCCCAAATCATTTTTTTTGCATTTAGAAAAAATTTACATTTTGCAATTCTTTCGCTTCATACTTTAAAAAAAATTCAATAATAATGTTTTCATAATTTTTAATTAAATAACAATATTTACATTAAAAAAAATTAATTTGTAAAAACAGAAAAAAAATACATAGAAATGAGTACTATTTCATTGAAATATTAATCTATTGCATTGATTTTACACAACATTTCTCTCTCTCATCGGTTCTAGTGTAATGAATCTTTCGAAGGACAAACGAGTTAAATCGATTGTAGTGTATTCTGAATCGAGAATTAATTCGGCAATTGCTCGGCCAACAGCTGGCGATTTTTGAATTCCATGACCACTGAATCCAGTTGCAAAGTAAAAATTCGGATAATAGGGATGAAGACCAACCACTCCGTTCTGATCGAAATGATTGTATTCATAAAATCCGGCCCACGAGGATTTTACCTAAAAAATTATTTAAGTAACATAAAAAATTTGCAATGATAATAAATTTTTAATTTTTGAATTATTTTTTCTGAGAAAAAAATAATTTTTCCTAAGAATTAGCACACCTTTAAATTATCGAATCCTTTCACTCGTTTAGCAAGAATTGGCCACACATGATCATTGAAAAATTCATGATCAACTTCAAGATCATCAACGTTTGGTTCCTCGTGCTCTTCACTTGGACATCGGCCACAAATGTAATTTCCTCCTAAACCTTCTCGCCTAAAATGTGGGTAAGTAAACATTTTGATTCTCGTATATTGCAAGAAAAAGTAAATAAAAATCCCTCAGAATAAATTTTTACCTGAAATATGTTCCAGATGGATCGATTGTCATTGGAAGATTAATTACTGGACCGTCAGGACTATGGAAACAGTAGACAAATCTCTTTCTATAAAAAAAGAAAACAAACGTTTCGAAAATAATCAAACTTTGACAGAGTAACTAATTTTATTTTTAAGGGGACCCGCACCTGAATTTTCAACTATCTAAGAACATAGTTCAAAACAATTTTCTTGTATTTTTTAACACTATTTTCAATCAAAAGTCAAATGCAAAAGAAAAAAATTAGTTGCTTTCTTTTTCTAATATTATTTTTAGTAAAAAATTGATAAAAAAAAACAAGAATTTTTTAAAGATTTTTCCTGAAATTTTGATACTGTAACTTTTGATAAAATTAATATCTATAAAAATAATCGTTGTATTCCGGTTTAAAGTTAGTTGCTGTTTGCTTTTTTGTTTCCTAACTTTTGAAATAATTTTCCTTTTTAAATGTTTTATATTTTTAAATTAATGTACTGAAAATCATTGAATTCTTTATAAAAAAAATTGAAAATAATTGAATTCATTTTAAGAATTTTATCAACATTTTTTTCAATAATTGAATTCTTTCGAGAAAATGTAATTAAAATTGTAGGTATTGAAAATAATTTAATTCATGGCAAGATTTTTATTAAAATTCTTTAAAATAATTGAATTTTTTTGAAGAATTTATTTCAATTTTCTTAAAAATAATGCAGTTTTTAATAATAAAATTCTTTTTAGGATTTCACTTATTTTCAATACAATTTTAATTGATTTCTTCAAAAATTACAATTATTTTTTAAAATCTCCAAAAATTTCAATTACTTTAAAAAATAATTGAATTTTTCACAGAAGTTCAATTATTTAAAAAAATTTTAATAAAATTCAATTCACGAATTCAATTATTTTCATAAATAATGAAATTTTCGCTGGAATTCAATTATTTTAAAAAACAATTGTAATTGAATTCCAGGGAAAATTAAATTATTTTTTAAACATTTTTTTTTAATTCTTCGATAGAATTCAATAATATCAATAAGTAGTAAATTTTTCACACGAATTCACTTATTTTAAATACAATAATTTTAAATAAAATTCTTCTCAAAAATTCACTTATTTTTAAAATATTGCAAAAATTCAATTATTTGTAGAAATAATACATTTTTTCGCAGGGATTCAATTATTTAAAATAGTTTTAATAAAATTCTATTCAAGAATTCAATTATTTCTAGAAACAATTAAATTGTCGATGTACTGATGTAATTATTGAATTCTTGTAAAGTATTTATTAAAAAATTTACAAACAATTTTATTAAAAACTTTTGAGAATAATTGAATTGTTTAGAAAAATTTTATTACAATTTTTAAAAATAATTTAACCTGTTAGAGAAATTTTATTAAAATTATCTTCAATGTAATTAAATTTTTTCCTAGAAATTTTATAAAAATTGTATTGAAAATAATTGAAATTCTCAGAAGAATATTTTCAAAAAATAATTGAATTCTTGACAAGATCATACAATTTATAAAAATAATTGAATTGTTTCGAAGAATTTTATCACAATTTCTGAGAATAATTGAATTTAAATAATATTTTTAAAAATAATTGTATTCTTTCGAGAAATGTTATTAAAATTGTATAAAAATAATTAAATTCCTTCGAAACATTTTATTATTTACGAAAATAATTAAATTCCTTTAAAGAATTTTATTATTTAAGAAAATATTTTCATTCCTGCGAAGAATTTTCTTATTTATATGAACATAATTGAATTCTTGTGGAAGATTTTACAATTCATAAAAATAATTTAATTGTTTCGAAGAATTTTATCTGAATTTTTGAAAATAGTTGAATTTTTTGAAGGAATTTTACTAAATATTTAAAAAAAAATTATTTTTTTAAAAATTTTTTTATCAAAATTGTTGAAAATAATTGAATTTATATTAAAATTCTTGAAAAAGTAATCGAATTTAATTAATATTTTTAAAAATAATTGTATTCTTTCGATAAATTTCATTAAAATTGTATTGAATATAATTGAATTGTTCTAAAGAATTTTATTATTTATGATATTATTATTCTATTATTTATGAAATTCTTGTGAAAAATTTTATTAAAACTGTTGAATACCTAATAATAAATAAGAATATTTCATATTCTGTACTTAATAAGTGAATTCTTTAAATTTTGAATCTGTAACCATTCAAAAAGTTTTTAATTTTTCAATTATTTACAAAAAATGCTTCTTTTTCCACAAATTTCAATATTTTTTTTATGGTTCTTGTTTCATTGTGTTTCTTACACTCTCTTTTACATTTAAGGGTATGGTTTTTATAACATTTTAATTTTCTCAAAAGTTACAGTGTTTTTAATTTACTAATTTAGTCATTTTAATTTACTAAAAAATGCTTCTTCTTCCACAAATTTTAATATTTTTTTTATGGTTCTTGTTTTAATGAGTTTCTTAAACTCACTTTTACATTTAAGGGTATGGGTTTTATGAAATTTTAATTATATCAAAAGTTACAGTGTTTTTAATTATCTTTTGATTCAGTTTAAATTCAGGTGCGGGTCCCCTTAACTATTTTAATTTTTCTACAGTTAGAGGGAACAGAGAAAAAGTCAGAATTCTATCTGAAAATCAAGGAAAATCGAAATCGAATTTTTGTGGCAAATTGTTCAATTTAAAGATTGTTAAAAATTACCTTGGTTCCACCGGTAAAGGAATGGATAAGACACCTTTACCAGTTCCGATTCTCGCTAATCTAGCAACTTCTCCACTATTTGGACCAGCTGCAATCACGCACTGAGAATATTGAATTGACCTCTGTTTACCATCAGAAGTTTGAATCTTCAAAAACAAAAGGTAAAAGGTAAATTAAAAATTCCAATTTAAAAACAATATTATACAATGAAAATTGGAAATTTGAAAATAATTTTCGCACAAAAAGCGAGACTATTAAGTAAAATTCACTTACGACCACACTTTGAGCCAATTCGTCAGATGTTTCTTTTGGATCAGCGAATTGAACGTTAGATAATTTATTAAATAGAAAACCAACTACTTCACCCTCGACATAATAGATCTCTTGACTGAGACACTTTCTTTTGAGTGCAAACAAAAAACTCCATGGATCGAACCAGCCTTCTTTTTCAATTCCAAGACAACCCAGAGCAATGCCATCAGTATTCATCCATGGGAATTTCTCCTTTAATTTCTCCGGTTTAAGAAGAATATTCTTTGCGCCCAATTCACGTTGTAATTTTGCATTCTCTATCATGTCTTCAGCACCCTTTTCCGAGGCTAAAAATAAATAGCCATATGGACGATATTGTATGTCAACTGGTGGCTCGCCAACAACTGACAAATTTTCATTTATATTGCGAATAAATTCAGCGCCAAAAAGGGACATTTCAATATTCTCCTCAAGGGAAAATTGCTGTCGAATTCCTCCCAATGACAGGACAGTCGATGCCTTTGAATACTGTAAAATAGAGAAAGGACAAATTAATATCATTTATCAGAGTTGCCGTAAAAATTTAATATTAGTTTTCCCTTTTTGACTTTTTCCTAGAGAAAAATATTGAATTAGGATTTTCAAAAAATTCAAATTCAAACCTTTTTTTAAATTTAAGAACTTATAAAAGAATATTATTATAAAACGTGAAGAAATCGATCACTCCGAGTCTTTGACTCGGAGTGATCGTCTTCTTCATGTTTTGTAATAATATAAATTACCATAAAATTTTTCAACAAAAAATTTAATTATTTACAAAAATCCTAATAAAATCCTTTGCAAGAATTTAATTATTTTTACAAGTAGTAAAATTTATTTTCTATATTTCATAATAATAATAAAGATGGACCGAGTGATAAAATCTTTATTTTAAATTATAAGAATATTGTTCCTGTAACTTCTTTAAAATTATTTTCGTCACTTCAATTCAATTATCATTTTCTACGATTTCTAACTAAAATTCTTGTTTAAACCAATTATTTTTAATAAATTTTGAAAAAGTTCTTTGAGGATTTTCAAATCCATTTTTTTACAATACAATTTTAAGAAATTTCGATGATTCGTAAATTCTTTAATTAAATATATCTATTAGAAAATAAAAACTTTAAATAATTTCAACAAAAAAATTCGCAAATTAAAGATTCTTAAAAAAAAATTAATTCTACACAGAATTGTTAGTTAAGAATATGAAAAATTCAAATTTTGAAAGATTTTAATCTGAAACCTGTTCAAAATTCAATTATTTCTAAAAATTCAAGCTGTAATGCTTTTAATATTCAATTATTATATCTAACATTTTAACTGAAATTCATTTTTGAATCAATTTTTATTACAAAATTCTACGAGAATTCAATTATATAGATACAAAAAAGTAATTTAATGAATAATTGAATGTTTTTTAAAATTGTACTCTCCTAAAGAATTTTATCAATAAATTTTTAAATAATTAAATTCTTTTGACGAATTTTAACCAAGTTTTTAAGAATAATTGCATTTTTCGAGGAATTCGATTAAAATGGTATCAAAAATAATTAAAATCATGCGATGAGTTTTATTATATGTATGAAAATAATAAAATTCCTGAGAACAGTTTTATTATTTATAAAAATAATTAAATTATTGCGAAGAAATTTATAACAAAATTTGTAAATAATCGAAATTCTGGGAAATTTGTATTATTTATGAAAATAATTGAATTCTTCCAACGAATTTTATTCAAGTTCATAAAAATAACTGAATTTCTGTGAAGAATTTTATTATTTATATAAATAATTGAATTCTTGCAACGAATTTTATTCAAGTTTATAAAAATAAATAAATTTCGGTGAAGAATTTTATTATTTATAAAAATAATTGAATTCTTGAAAAGAACTTTGTTAAATTTTTTTTAATTATTTGAATTCTTGCTAAGAATTTTATAAAAATCTTTTAAAATAATTTATACTTTTCGATAAATGTTATGAAATTTTGTATTTTAAATAATTGAATTCGAATTTCGAAATTTATTAAAAATTTTGTACCTAAATAATTGCATTCCTGTGAAATTTTGCCAAAAATTTTATTAAAATTTTCAAAAAATAATTGAATTTCGAAGAAGAATTTTATTATTTATAAAGATAATTGTAATTTTGACGAGAATTTTTAAAAAATTAATGAAAATAATTGAATTCTTTTGGAAAATTATAATGCTTTTAATATTTAAATACTAGATATCTCAAATTTTTTACTGAAATTCATTTTTAAATCAATTTTTATTAGAAAATTCTACGAGAATTCAATTATTTAAATACAAAAATAAAAAATTTATTGAATAAGTGAATGTTTCTTAAAATTCAATTCTCATAAAGAATTTTATCTACAAATTTTTAAATAATTGAATTCTTTTGACGAATTTTAATAAAATGTTCAAAAATAATTATACATTTTTCGAGGAATCCGATTAAAATTGTATTAAAACTAATTGAATTGTGAATTTCGAAAAGGGCTCAACTCCGAAATTCACAATTTAATTGAATTTCTATAATTTATGAAAATAATTGAATTATTGCGAAGAAATTTATTTAAAAAATTGTAAATAATTGAATTCCTGTGAAATTTTTATTATTTATAAAAATTATTAAATGTTGGCGTTGAATTTTATTAACATTTTTTTTTTTAATAATTGAATTCTTTTGGAAAATTATATTAAAATACTAGATTCTCGAAATCATTAAATTGAGGAAAACTTTTGAAAATAATTGAAATTTTGCCAAGAATTTTATTAAAATCCTTGAAAATAATTGAATTTTGGAGAAAATTGCTAATTAAATTCATTGAAAGTTGAAATTTTATAAAATTTAAAATTAAAACTTTTTAAAGTTCATCTATTTATGAAAATTGAAAACGCAACTCTTTTAAAATTCAATTAATTTTGAAATATTTAAGTAAAATTTATTATGTATTCATTAATTAATTTCAAAGTAATAATTTTATGATAGTTGTTGAAGAATTACGTTATTTAAAAAGAAATTATTGTCAGAAATAGAAAAAATTGAAGGTTTTGTATCAGAATTTGTGTCAATTTCACAGTTAATGAGGCAAACCAAAAAAAAAATACACAAAAATCCAGAATTTTCTTATTTAATTTTTTCTAGTAATTTTAATAAAAATCCCTGACTAATTCTACTTTCCCTGACTTTTTCCTGAATTCCCTGACCTGTGTCAACCTTATTTAGATTTCTAGTGTTTTTCTTTTATTTGACCTTTCTATTGTTATTAATTATAGTATTATAGTTTTATTATTTTTATCTATTTTGTTTATTTTATTTATTATTTTTATTTAATTTCATTTATTAATTTAGTTAATTTTATTTTATTAATTTAGTTCATTTTCATCCTACCGTCAGGTCTTTCTCGACAATAACAATTTTCAGTCCTTCGCCAGCTCTTTTCTTGAGAAAATGCGCAATCGAAGAGCCCATAGCGGCGCCTCCGATTATTAAGATATCACACTCAATTGGACAATCGAAAGGATTGTCATCCTTTGTCCAAGTCATTTTTCGATCATGAAAACGAGAATGCTCTGGTTTCATGGTAAACCATCGATTCTTAAAATTAACTATATCCCTTTTTAAAATTCTAAATGTTTTATCAATTGGATGCTCAGGTTCGTCTAATTTAATTTCACTTGGCGCTTTTATTGGTTCAATTTTTGACTCGCCTCTCCTTTTTACAGTCTAAAAGAAAATATTTTCGATTAAATTCAATTTTACTTACTATTAAATAATTTAAAAAATATGAAAATACCCTGAAAATGATAAACATAAAAAATATCAATTGAAATGTTAGAAAAAATGTTTTATGACAATTTATTAATTACTTTGTATTTAGATAAATAACCAATTTGTTATATTTTTTAGACAAAGAAGAATAAATATAAAATTTGAAAGAGAAATCAATAAATTTCCCCTATTTATGTATTCATCTCGAAACTTTAGGGGCAAATTTGGAAATGGGACGAGACATATAAATCTTATGCACTTATCATTTGCAAGGTTGCACCTTATCAAGATAATAAAGAAAAACAAATTGTCTGTTGGAAAATTTGATACAATTTTTTAACTCCAACTGTTATCACTAACAAAGTAAATCATTTGTAAACATTTCGTTTTTTTTTAATTAATGAAAATTTTCTTTTCTTTGTATGAATGGGAAAATTTTCAAAAAGAGAAATAAAAATTATTTGCTAACAATTATTTAATTTAGCAATCGTTTTTTTCTGTTTATAAAAATTAATAAGAAAAAAATTTTTTGGTTATGCGAATAAAAAGAAATACTAACCTTCGATGAATAAAATGCATTTGACAGTCTCAGAGGTACAGAATCTTGGAGTCTGTTTATAAAAATTGTGCTCTTTACAAATCTAGGAATCATTCTTACACCTTAATACTTCTAGAGATTGTTTTCAAATGAATAACAATTACAGTATATCAGTTTTGAAGCGGTTCATATTATTATCAAAAAAATAACTCTCCGGGAGTAGGAGCGACACAATAATCACGTGGTCTCTTTGACACAACAGAAAGACCTAACCTAACTTTACGCATATCTTTTTGTGAACAAAAAAAAAACATTTATTGTTGATTGGCTCAAGATTTTATTACTGCCAACATAAGGTAATAATCTCGACTGGTTTTCTGTACAATTAATATTAATTCAAGTTCATTTTTTCTTGCAAGAAAGGGAGGAGAATCTTTTTTTTGCAACGAGTAAAAGATTTAGTTTCACAGAAATACCGAAATAGTCGAAATTGAAAGTTGTAGATTCGTTTATTTTTTTTTCTAATTGTTGTGACAGTGGGAAAGTTTCGTTCATTATTGGCGGTAAAGTCAAATGTTTTATGATATGACAGTAAAGAATGTGACATTCTTGTGAAAATAGACAATTCCCTGGTAGTGTAAAAACATCTGATCTCTGTCAAGTGTAACATTAATTAAGTTAAACTATTCAAAAGAGAATTACATGATAATACGATGTTTTTGAATATAATTTTCATGATTCGTGACGTTTGCATATATGTAGCTATTAAAAAGAGCGAACGTGCTGCTAACCATAGCAACAAAAATCATTTCATATAGCAAATGTCATTTTAAGTAGTTTACATCTTCTCCTTGTTTTTTGTGAGTTGGCACATCATCGTTTAGTGTCTACGAATAATTGAAACGCTCTCTTAATGTGGAAAGGAGAAGAACTTGTGGCTAAACAAAGGACGTGCCTATATAGGAGTGGTTTGAGGTTTGGAGAAGATTGCCAGAACGCAGAAAGAAAAGGACAGTTTAAATACTGAGGGAGAAAGAGTGTCTGTGTGTGTCTCGAAAGCTTTTATCTTTATTATGCGTTATTGAGTGGATTTGTCAAGAAAACCAGAAATGGCTGCCAACGAGCATCAGCAAAAGGTATGTATGTGTGATTATAATTGCCGCATTGAATATTTCATTCTAATATGAATGAGAAATCTACGTGGGCAAATTTTGTGTTTAGAAAATAATGTAACGAAGCTCGACAGTCATTACGATCCAAGTCAGCAATATGTCAGAAAATTCAACAATGTCGAAAAAACATGATATTTTTTGAATAAAAAATATGTCGGATTTCATTTTTCTGAATCATTGAAAGTGAATGACAATTTGGAAATATTGATGAATATTGTTCTCACTTTTGTTTTTTATTATAGTGGGATTTTTATTTTTTTAATTTATTTTAAAAGGTAAACGAATAATGACAGATCATTTCTCTCTCGGCTAATACTAGTAGTCTTTTCGATATTTATTTACATCTGGAATAACATCTGTCAAAGTGACAGTTTTGACTTGAGTTTGTATAACTAAATAATTGTAATTATTCACTTAATGACAAATCAATGATTTAGGTCATCTTTTTATAAACAGGTGGTTGAGTTAGATATTTTTTTTATATTTGAAAGAAAAAAAAATTCTTTTTCCTTCTTTAGAAAATCATTATTCTTGTTATCAGTTATTGGTTACAGAAATTTCATTATGATTTTCCCTTTTCATATTCTCGAGAGGCTAGAGAGTGTTGTTTTTTTTTAACTTAAATATTTTCTTAAAAATGAGAAATTAATTTTTTTTTTTTGTTTAAATAGACTTTCACTGAAATGAAATAGGAAATTAATTGAAATTCGAAAGAATCGGAGCAAAGTGACGAAAATGTGAATGAAAATTCGTGTCCTTGCTTTCTGGACGTGTTTGTACAGGATGTTAATATCATTATATTTATAAACGTCACTGATAGTGGGGACTAATATATTTTATAAATCATTGGAACATTGACATTTCTTGTTGTACAAAATGTTACAATCTTATGCGTATATATATGATTTGTTAACTAAAGTATGTAATAAGACTAAAAATAGAATATCACTGGAACAATACATTCATGCACTAGTAACTACTTCAAAGTTAATTGTCCTCATATTGTGAAAGGTTTCAGTCACATACCATCGGTGTAAAAAAATAAATTTCATTCAATTATAATATAGTTAGTTAATAAGAAGAAAAAAGTTTGTCGACGGACATTTCGTTTTCTCGAAGAATTTCCTTTTACATTGTATAAAGTGGAAGATCTTTAAACATATGGTACATTTTATAAATTTCATACATTTTATATAATTTATAAATTTTATACATTTGATACATTTGATAAATAATTTCCGCAATTCTTTTTCACTTTTCAGAAGAGAAAATTAAATTTCCATGTCAAGCATATTGTTTAAATTCATCTATTTCATCAAATAGAAAGTTAAAAATATAATTCACACAAATAAAAGATTATTATGAAATATAACTTTTCTGTGAGTAAATTAACATTTTAGTATTTGCATTTCATGTGCATATTTTATATTCATAAACACTTACACCAAACAACTTTACATTTACATTCGAAAGTAATATAACTACTGTAATCGGAGAGTTAATAATACTAATAATGTTTATGAACATTATCAAAAAAAAAGAAGACTTTTTTGTTTTTCAATTTTATATCATTTTTCCTGATAGAAAAAAATTGTAAAATATTTTTTTTTTTTGAAGGAAAAAAATTTAGATAGTTTTAAAAAAAGTTTGAATTAAAAGAAAAAGACTTATATTGAACATTTGAATGATTCGAATTGATGATTTTGCAGTTTCTAGATTTTTTCCAATTCCTTCTCTTGGTGTTCGCAGAGTTTTCATAAATACAATTGACTTTAAAAAATAATATTACTAATAAAAATTGTATATATAGTATATAAATGTATATAATATATATACTTTATGTAACTTTATATAGCAATTATGCAATATTGTTTAGTTGAATGTGAAACTAAATAGAATACTAGGAAAAGAAGTGAAGATAAATCGTAATTCAATCGTCCGTCAACTGAATGTGATAAAAAGATCGTTAAACAGTTCAATAGTAGATTCTTGATTGGAAATAAAAATTAATCACGAAATATATTTTACCGATATTGAAGGGAAAAGAAAATAATTTTGTCTTCGGAAGAAACTTTCTCTTTCCTTTTTTTTTCTTTTTTGTTTCTCCTTACCTTTTTTGTTTCTTTTTCCATTCTTGTTTATTTTTTCCCTTTATTTCCTTTTTTTTCTTTTTTGTTTCTTTTTTTCCTTTGATTTCTTTTTTTCATTTTCTGTTTCCTTTTTTTCTGTTTTTCTTTTTTTATTGTTTTCTCTGTTTTATTTTTTCAAAAACAAAAACTGAATCGAAAAAGCGTGAAAGTAATTGATAAACTATTTGTTTTGTTAATAGGAACAACAGGAGTCACGAGAACCTGCTCATCATGCAAGAAGACCGATGAATGCATTTCTAATTTTTTGTAAACGACATCGCGGCTCGGTTCGTACAGGTTTTCCGCATTTGGAAAATCGAGCTGTGACTCGAGTACTCGGCGAATGGTGGGCCACACTTAATCCTGATCAGAAACGTTCCTATACAAATTTGGCTCAAGAGGTAAATGATTAATTGAAAAATTAATACAAAAAATTTAATTAATATAAACAATAGAATCAAATTTATATATTAATAATCGTTGCGAATTTTTGTTGCCTGTTCGCAGTTTGAAGTCAGATGTTTTTGTTTGTTTTTCTGTTTCATATTTTTTTAATAATTTTTCCTGTTAAATGTTTTTAACTTTTAAAATTAATGAAATGCTACTTCAATGCTTTGAGAATTGAAAAATAGCAAAAATTAATTAAATAAAATAATTATTTTGGATTAAAAATTATAATTTTTGCAAATTTTATCAAAATCTTTGATAATAATTGAATTCTTTTAAAGGATTTTTATTAAAATTTTTATTAAAATTAAATGCTATAAAAAATTTTTATTGAAATTGTAAACAAAAACAAGTGAATTCCTCCAAAGAATTTTATTGTTCATGAAAATAATTAAATTCTTGCGACGAATGTTATGAAAAACTTTTGAAAATAATTGAATTGTTGGGACGAATTCTATTTGAAAATTTTAAAAATAGTTTAATTGTTTCGAAGAATTTTATTACAATTTTTTGAGACAATTGAACTCGAGAAATTTAATTAAAAATGTATTGAAAATAATTAAATTCTAATAAACAAATTTTTAAAAAAATATTTAAAAATAATTGCTTTCTTTTAAGAAATTTTATTAAAATTGAATTGGAAATAATTGAAAATTATTTCGAAGAATACTATTGAAGTTTTTAACAACAATAATAGAATTCTATCGAAGATTTTTATTAATTTTTTGATTATAAAAGATTTTGTTAATAATTGTAATTAATAATTTTGTTAAAATTATTCATAGAAAATTATATTCTTTTGAACAATTTTTTTTAGAGTTTTTGCAAATAATTAAATTATTTTTAAGGATTGCTTCAAATTTTTTTAGTCTAATGTCATTTTTTTAAACAACTTTAATTAAAATTTTGAAGGTAATTGAATTTTATCAAGAATTCAATTATTTTCAATAATTGTAATAAAATTCTTTGCAAAATGTCAATTTATAAATAATAAAAATCTTCGTAAAGAATACAATTATTTTTATATAAATAATAAAATACTTTTTAGGATTTCACTTATTTTCAATACAATTTTAATTGACCTCTTCGAAAATCACAATTATTTTTAAAAATAATTTAATTTTTCACAGAAGTTCAATTATTTAAAAAACTTTTAATAAAATTCAATTCACAAATTTTAATTATTTTCATAAATAATGAAATTTTTTCTGGAATTCAATTATTTTAAAAAAAACAATTTTAATTGAATTCCAGGGAAAATTAAATTATTTTTTAAACTTTTTTTTTAATTCTTTGAAAAAATTCAATAATATCAATAGATAGTAAATTTTTCACAGGAATTCACTTATTTTAAATGCAATAATTTTAATAAAATTCTTCTCAAAAATTCACTTATTTTTTTAAATTTTGCAAAAATTCAATTATTTGTAGAAATAATAAATTTTTTCGCAGGGATTCAATTATTTAAAATAGTTTTAATAAAATTCTATTCAAGAGTATGTAGAGGTACTGATGTAATCATTGAATTCTTGTAAAGTATTTAAAAAAAATTTACAAAGAATTTTATTAAAAACTTTTGAGAATAATTGAATTATTTAGAAAAATTTTATTACAATTTTTAAAAATAATTTAACCTGTTAGAGAAATTTTATTAAAATTATCTTGAATGTAATTTAATTTTTTCCTAGAAATTTTATTTAAATTGTATTGAAAATAATTGAAATTCTCAGAAGAATATTATTATTTACAAAAATAATTGAATTCTTGACAAGAATTTTACAATTTATAAAAATAATTGAATTGTTTCGAAGAGTTTTTTATCAGAATTGTTGAAAATAATTAAATTTTTATTAAAACTCTAAAAAAAATTGAATTTAAATAATATTTTTAAAAATAATTGAATTGTTTCAAGAAATTTAATTAAAAATGTATTGAAAATAATTAAATTCTAATAAGTTAACAAATAACAAAAAATATTTTGAAATAATTGCATTCTTTTAAGAAATTTTATTAAAATTTGGAAACAATTTAATTTTTTCGAAGAAATTTAGTTAAAAATGTATTAAAAATAATTAAATTCTAATAAATAAATTTTATCATAAATTTTTGAAAATAATGTAATTCTTTTTAGAAATTTTATTAAAATCGTATTGAAAATAATTAAATTTCTGCGAAGTAATATATTATTTATCAAAATAATAAATTATATGAAAAAAAGATAATAAAATTTTGTAGAAATACAAATTTAATTATTTCAAAGAAAATAAAAATTTTTTCATAGAATTTTATGGAAATTTTTATAAGTAATTTAATTACATTTAATTTAATTACATTAGATTTTCATTGAAATTGCATTCAAAATAATTGAATTCCTCTGAAGAATTTTATCAACATTTTTAAAAATAATTTGATTGTTTCGAAGAAAATTTAAAATCTTTCGAGAAATTTAGTTAAAATTGTATTGAAAATATTTGAATTCTTATAAAGAATTGTTTCAAAATTGAACTTTTTCGAGAGATTTTATTAAAATTTATGATAATAATTGAATTCTTGTGAAGAATTTTATTAATATTTTAGAAAATAATAAATAATAAGAAACTAGAAACCAATAAATTGCAAATCAATGTTTACCTTTAATTTTCACAATTTTATCAATTATAATAGAAAATATTAACATTTACTATCTCCTTTTCTTTGTTATCAATTAAAAAATAATAAACATTTATTATTTCCTTTTCTTTGTACTTTTATTACGAAATAATTAACATTTATCAATAATTATTAACGTTTTCAGTATAAAGATGCTTTTCTAAATGCAAATCCGGACTTCAAGTGGTATAAACTGCCAGCACCACCGCTTCGGACATTATCAACGAGACCAACGAATAAAAAATCAGAAGCAGGATCTAGTGACAGTGGTCACGATGAGATGAAGGGGGAAAATTCTTCATTGGATTTTCCACATACCGAAAGAACAGAAGGCGATGCCATTCAACCGGGCAAATTAGCTGATGAATCGCAAATCGGTGGTCTTAGCTCATTATTTACACCGCAAAAAGTTCAATCAATTGATAATGATGAAATAGCAAATCTCACAACACCGAAAGTAGAAACAGATAATAATTCCACTCCAAAACCGCCAAAAAAACGTTACACCGAGTTACCTCTTTCAGTGGAACAAAAGGAGGATTGTAAAGCCGATTTATTTGGCGATAAGAACAAAACTAGAAAAGAATCAAATAATAATCATCACATGGTATTAATTTCTTTATCAATATAAAACTATTTTTTTCTACCTTAATTTTTGCAATTTTTTGATTATTTGTTATTATTATCAAACGTTTAAATGAACGTCTATTTTTTTATTCGCTAAAATTTAAATTTCATTCGAAAATATTTTTTCAATTTAGAAAATTAATTACTTTCTATAAAACAAGAATTTATTTTAGTAACATTTTATTCTTGTAATTTTTTGAAAATATCTAAATAGAAAAAAATATTCGTTCACATGAACGTTTAAAACTTTAGGAAAATGTTAATTTTTATACTAATTAATTGCAGTAATAATTTTAATGTTGTGTAATTTTTTCTCGAAATATTTATTTCCTTTTTAGTTGAAATGATTTTTTTCCTTCTTCAGGAAATGGAGGACGGACGAAATGAGGGTAATTCTTATTTTGAAGATTCGAATGCAGATGAGCAGAATTTTCGTGGTGAGAGAACATGCAAAGGTTTGCGTTATCAAAAATTTCTCGCTGAGCAACAGAGAAATTTTAATTCCTCAACTCAACCGAATAAACGTAGGAAAATATCGGGAACACGAAGTATTCCAGAAAGAACTGAGGGGAGAAGAAATTCAATTTCATCGAATGTTAGTGAAAAAACCGATTCTCTCAGCAGTGAAGGTAACAGTTCACGTGGAGATTTAGAACATCTTGTTGAAAGGTAAATAGAAATATTTTTTTTTTTTTACTTTTGTCGATAGTTAATTAATAAATATAAAATTTTTTAGTGCCGAGGGAAATATCGAGGCTTCAAAACCAGAAGATACAGAAACTGAAGGAGCCGGCGGAGAAATGGATTTTGGTCCTTGGAGTCACAAGCGATTCAGGGCTGAGTAAGATTTAAAAATAATTGTTTTATATTTAGAAAATGGAAAGAAAAAAAAGTGTTTCTCTTTTCGAAGAATTCGCTTAATTAGAAACTGTTGCGATTTTCAAGAAGACAGTATTTATTAACCAATTTTTTTTTGTTTATATTTTTCAGGGATTTTAATTTAGAGAAAAAAATTGAAGCACTCCCCTCATTGAGTTTAGAGGAATTCCAGGAAAAGAAAAAACAGCAACGCACCAAAAAGAAGAAAATTTTACTTAAAGGAAACTCGACTTCAACGAATAAGAAAAATTACGACAATCTTCTATCGGATAACGATAGTATACAAAATAATCAAAAAAATTTAAGGCCTTCTGATGAAATGAAAGAGGAGGAGAAAAATCTTGTTGGAAGTCAAAAGCGAAAGGCACGAAAGGAAAATATAACACGAAACGCTGCTCTGACCACTTTATCTAAACAAAACAATGACCAAGATCCAAGTAAATGTGAGTCACTTGAAAATAATTTTACAAATTATTACTTTTAATTTTAACATTTTCTTTTGCTTAAACAATAATTTAGAATAATTAAAATGTAATTTTTTTATTACAATTTTTTATTTTTATTTCTTTTTTAATTTATTTTTTTATTGCTTTACTTTATTTTTAATTTTATTTTGAATATTAAATACTACTGCAAATATTACGTGCGAAACAAGGTATTCAGTTTATTATTATTATGCAAATTACAAAATTTTTTATTTTCAAATATCAACTTTAAGTTTTTAATAATTTCAAACTTAAAATTCTTTAAATTCAGTTTTTATGTACCTACACAACAAAATAATAATTTTTTATTATTTTCAAAAATTTGAATAAAATTCTTCTCAAAAATTCAATAATTTTCAAAAATTTGAATAAAGTTCTTCTCAAAAATTCAATTATTTTCAAAAATTTGAATAAAATTCTTCTCAAAAATTCAATTATTTTTAAAAAAAATTTAATTCAATTTCACGAAAGAATTCAATTATTTTTAAATATTTTAAATAAAATTTTGGAAAAAATACAATTATTTTCTAAATTTTGAATAAAATTTTTCTAAAGAATTCAATTATTTTCAAAAATTTGATTAAAATTCTTCTCAAAAATTCAATTATTTTCAAAAATACATTATTTTCAAATAGTTAAAAGATATTTTTTAAAACAATAATTCAATTACTTTTAATACAATGTTAATAAAAATTTCTTTAAAGGAATTAATTTATTTTAACATAGTTTTGAAAAAATTTATTTATGAAAATATAATTTTTTTCAATACGATTTTAATTAAATTTCTTGATTAAAAATTTTTCAGAGGAATTCAATTATTTTTAGAAATTTTGATAAATTCTCTAGAAGAATTAATTTATTTTCAGGACAATTTGAATTAAAATTGCTGGAAAGAATTTAAAATTTTTTTTGAAACAATTGAATTAGTATTTTTACTAATTTTATTATTTTTTATTTTTATTAGTTTTATAAACAATAAAGTCGTTCACAGTAATTTAATTATATTTTAGATACAATTTTAAAAAAATTTCTCAAATGAATTCAATTATTTTAAATAGGTAATTTTTTAAAAAATTCTTTATTAGAATTTAATTATTTTCAATTTTTCTTTCAATTTCAATATTTTTAATTACATTTTTTGAAAGAATTAAAATATTTTTTAATAATTTTCAAAGAAATTCTTTAAAGCAGTTGCATTTTTTTAAATTCTAATAAAATTGTTCAAAAGAATTTAATTTTCTATCAATAATTTGAATGAAACTTAATAATAGAATTATTCACTACAATTATTAAGATAGTCGATTGTAATCGAAATATTACAGAGAAATTCTTTGAAAGAATTAATTATTGTCCAAATCTTTAATAGTAGGTATTCTTCGAAAGAATCCAATAATTTCCAATATTATAATAAAATTTCTTGAGTGAATTTAATTATTAAAAAAAAATTGTAATATAAATAATTCTAAGAAAAATTTCCGTATTTTCTAAAAGTGTCAATAAAATTCAATAATCCAATATTTAATCACAATTATTAACAGACACGATTATTTTAAAAACTTGGATGCAATTCTTAATAAAATTCGTTTACTTTCAAAATCTTCCATTTAAATTTAAAAAAAAATTTATTATTTAAAAAAATTGAAAGAAATTCTTCAAAACAGTTCAATTATTTTCAAAAATTTTGATTAAATTCTTCACAAGAATTAAATTATTTTTAATAGGTACATTAATTTTAAAATTGAAAAAAAAATTATTAAATTATTAAATAAAATTTTTAGCTTGGTGCGCTTCACCAGATCTTGAGGCTCTGGCGTGCCTTGCAACTGTTGCAGCAAATCGTACAAAACTCACAAAATCGTAAGTAAAATGACTGAAGTTCGATAAAAATTACTTTCTTGTAAAATCGAAGAATTTATAGACGGATTTTTTTTTTGAAAAAAGAAAAGGAAATGGCGATGATAATATTATTGTACGATAGATACAAACGGTGCTGCTACTTTTTTATAATCATGTTGTCATCTTTGTCGCTATCACCATATATATATATATATTATATATATCGTTGTACCACTGTGGAAATCGCTATTGTTATATTGAAAAACAAAAAAATATTTATCGTACACGCAAAATTAAAGAAAAAGCGAAATAATATCAACATACATAAGACTTCCGTAGTTTAAGAAAAGGAAACGGTATTTTATTTTAGTGAATCGTGTCCAAAAAGCAAAATATTGCCGATTTTGTAAAATTCCTTTTTTTAAAAAACAAAAGAAAAAGAAAGAAAGAAAATCCTTAATCATTCTAAAATTGATATTAGTGTACATGAGAAAAAATTTGCTACTTATCTAAATTAGAAATTTTTAAATTCTTGTTAAATTTAACAAAAATTGTAAATATTAAAATTTTTTTCTATTAAGATTTTGTGTTGCGTAATTCTAAGATTATTATTATGTATTATTATTTTTGCTTAATTCGGTTTTTTTTAAACAAAATAACGGAACTAAAGTATTCCTTTTTTTTTTGAAAATCGTGTAAAAATCATGTACATAAGTATAAATATTTTTAATCAGATAATGAAGAAAAAAATGCACTCAAAACGTTGACGAATATCATGAAGTGATTTTATTTATTGATGAAGAATATAAAAAAGAAACAAACTAACTTTGATGTTTATGTATTTCTTCAAGCATTTTTTAATCGAAAAAAAATAAAAATGAAGAAAGGATGACTGTAAAGAAAAAACAACAATGGCCATAATTATTGACGTGTATTGTCGTTAATTTTAAATATTAAAAAAATCGAAAAACTTTTTAAAAAAGAATTTTAAATATTTTACGAAAGTTGTTGTAAATAGCGATTGTGCAGTATTACAAAAAAAAACAAATCCCTTTACGTTGCAATTAATAATAAAAAAAACGGTAGAATCAAAATGTAAATTTTTAATTTTTAAGCAGTTAATTATAAATACAATATATACGTGGATCGTATACGTACAGAAAGTTTTGTAATTTTTCAAAATAGAAAAAGAAAGAGAGAGATAGAAAAAGAAAAGAATGAAAAGTATCTCTAAAAAAGATATTATAGAGAGAGAGAGAGAGAGAGAGAGAGAGAGAGAGAGAGAGAGAGAGAGAAAAAAGGGGAATGGAAATGGCTTCTGTATGAAATCCATGAAAGAACAAAAGCAACTTCCACTTGACAGAAATAGTTTAAATTTTTGGATACTTCCCAAACTGATGCAAAATTCCTCTAATTAAAAAAAATGATGCTAGATTTGTGGAAAATTTTTTTTCATTGCTTTTTATAAGTTAATAAAATTGTAGAAATAATTAAACAGTAATTATAGAAATGATTGAATTTTTTTTGTGATTAGAGAGAGGGAATTTTTTTTAGAGGGAATTTTGTGTCAGCGATAATTTACCTCAAACAGTGCTAAAGTTCTTCCGCGGAAAAAAGAAAAGATTATTCATTATAGTTAAATTAATAATCTCGTTTTAAGTTTATAAGCTCAAATTGTGTAATCTAGAGCTTTTTATTTTAGGGGAATTTTTAATGCAATTGTTATCTTAAGTCACAGTTAGTAGGAGTACACCAAATTTTACCATTTTTTTTTTGCCTCATTCTGTATTTTAGTTAATTTATCTGCGAAAATGAATTTTCACTTTTATTCAATTTTTTCTATTTGAAGAAAAATTTTTCCTTTTTAAATTTTCTTCTAAAGATGAAATAGTTCTAATTTTTAACTCCAAACTTTTGTTTCGAGTTATGCAATATTTGACTTTTATCAATTTTTAACTATGTAATTCTATTAATTTAATCAATAGCAATTATTTTTATTTTCTTTAATAGAAGAAAAACAGTAAAATAACGCAGATAAAATTCCTGAAAGGAATTTTTTTTACATAGAATTTTACCTTTTGCTAGTGTCTAGTAATCGTCGTGAATTTTAAAGCGCCTTGAATGTTTCGAAACATTTTTTCAAATTCATCTATACAATTTTAAAAAGCGAAATAATAAAAAGCTTGTTTAGAGCGAAATAAGAGAAAAATACAAAGTGCAAGGAAAAGCTAATAAAAAAGCATAATAGTAAAAAAAAGAATTCTGAAAATAATTTGTAAAAATTTTAAAATACAACTTCAAAAGTGGATTTTTTGAAAAAAATTGCTAAAAACGATAAAAAAAGGCAATTAAAAAAAAAACGAAAATTGTCAATCCACATAATAATAATATTAATATAAAGAGTAAGACTACTTATATATACAATATATTTATAATATTTATATGTATATCATCTAAGCAACCTAAACTGATGTTTCAATTTGGTGTTTTTGTCAGAGAAAGTAAGATAATCGTCTGTGATTTTGGCTAATGGAATTTACAACGTTTTATATTTTTCTACATTTAATTGTCATCTTCAGTTTTGCTTAATGGAATTATAAAAATAAAACAGAAAGCAAATCTTTTGACAACTATTTTTAGAGAATTAAAAAGAAAGAAAGAAGGGATAAACAGGACTTTTGTTAAAGTCATTTGAAGTTGAATAATGTTTATATTTCAAACGTGCCTTGATAATGAGAGAAGTTATTTTTAAAGAAAAGAAAAAATGATTGAAACAGATTGAATACAATTTTTTTTCTCGCTTCTTTTTTTAATCACAATTTGTTTTTCTTTTTAACTTGCGGACCACTCGGAGAAAATAATATTCCGAGCACTCCTATAATATAAAAATAAAATAAATATATATGAAAAAAACGATTGGGCACTTTTAACGATCCATTTGGATTTCACTGCACAAAATATCTTTGTAATAGCTTTAAAAATTGTAATTTTTAGTTAATAATTTAATATTATAGTAAAACTATATAAATATATATGTTATATACACGTCTGTAACATATTGTATAATGTTTATAATAATAAAGATATAATATTTTGATGTAAAATGATTAGAGAATGACTACATTTATTTCATTTTATTCATTTTATTCATTTACTTCATTGAAAACAGTAATAAAGAATCATTACTATTTTTTTTTAATTCTCTGTATACATTTTTCGGAAACAATAAATTTCTCGTCTTTCTAACATTCGACTAAAAGTGAGGGGATTCAACAAAATTGTCGCTTTTCTACAATATATATTGAGATTTTTTTTGTTATTTTGATTTGTCGATAAAATTGTGATTTTTCACACATCACTATAATAATCACTGAAATATATTTTTTTATTGAAATATATTTATATATATAATAATATATATAATAATATAATATAATAATATATTTATACAGTATAAATCTTCTCTAGTCAATAATTTCTCAAACCACTCTGTATACATAATCTTGAAAATTTTTTAAAAGTGTATAATATATTAAATAATTTGTGTCTTAACAATATTTATAAGACTCGTGAGAGGTAAAGATTTTTTCTCGTTTCTAAAAGGACGTAAACAATGAAAAAATCCATTGTTCTCTTTTTTTTATAATATAATAAGATTTGATATGAAATTGAGAATTATGTCAATTTTATAATATATATAACGATAAGCTCGATGTTGAAACAGTTGTTTCTCAATTTTCTTATTAATTATAATTTATATATAATAACTATATCTTACACATTGCAGCATTTACACATGAATTCGGTAAAGAGTTCATTCGATTTTAGTCGAAATTAATTATTTTAAGTCAATCAGGAATTATTTTTAAAAAAAAAAATTCATTTAGTAATTTACATATTTAAAAAAATACCTAAGATAATTATTATCCTATTTAAAATAGGATAAATTTTAAAAATTCGTAAAAGAAGTTATACATTTTTTAAGTTCTATCAAAATACCTATCAGATTTAAAAAATATATATTTAAATAAAAAAACTTTCGAAAAGTTTTTTTTTAAATTAGTTTTCTACCAAATAAATTATTTAATTTGGTAACAGTTTTAAAAACTAATTTGGATAAAAGTATTTTTTTTTAAATTCGTGCAATAAACGAAATAAATATACCACTATGATTATAATTAAAATTTCGTTAATTAAAATTTCATTAATTTTAATTTCATAAATATTTAAAAATTTTCAATAATTATAATTTTTAATATATTAAAAATTAGTTTTTTCTTTGTAAAAATAGGCACATAGAATAAAAGCATCGAATGGAATATCAAAAATTTTCAAAACCTAATCTCCTAACAAAAATTAACTTCGATATAATCGATTTATAATTATATACAGATTGTAATAAAAAATAATATAACGTGCTCTAATTATAAATGACAATGTTATAATGAAATAACGATAATGGCAGTGTACTTATTTTAAAGCAGAAGTACACACACACACAAAAATAAGTACTTGCTTCATGAAAGAATTCACAATTCTTTGACTTTCCATTCATTTCAAGTTTTCTATTCTTTTTTACAACAATAAAAATCGGTAATATTAAACCAAAATATTACGGAAAAACACTTAAAAATATTCATCTCATCACTTCGAAGATGAATAAAAAGTGGTTCTTTTTTTTATTTGTCTTGCAGTCAAGATGATTCCCTTCTTTTCTTTTATTTCCTTAAAATATACTAGGAAAATTGACTTATGATATGAAAATGGACTCCTTAGAATATATGCTATTCGTGTAGGAAAATTGTATTTTTTTTTTTTTTTAATATTTTCTAATAAAATTTTTTTTCAGTCTTTTTGGGATATTTTAGGACGAAAGACATTTTTTTTAAAAGAAGAATATTTTCTTAAAAAATAAATTATCTAGGAGAGAAGAAAGTGATGCTTTATAAAACAATGTGAATTGTTAAAAATTTGATAAGTACGTTTGTTTTCCTTTTTTTGGGAAATTGGTTAAAAAAAATTCACACCGAAGAAGTGGAGGGAAAAATTAAGTTAAATATAGGAAGAGATTAAAATTAAGTTAGGTTGCCCTTTTTTCTGTCTTAATAATAGATTAAAATTTTGCTTAAGAATTCTACTTACGAAGAAATTATTTTATAAATTAATATCGGGTGTATTGAAGAGCACTTTGTTTCTAGCGATTACTTAATTTCATCGCGGAGATCATTTGATTCGATTATTATTTTTATACCCACACACCGTGAGGATTTTTGCTAGTAGGCACTGCAGTTTCTAATTGTCTTGGAGATCCTATCATTTTTCGTGTACTGCCTGGTCGCTGTGCGCCTAAAAATTAAAATTTCGTTGTTGATTTTAAAAGACGGTAAGAACAAATATTTCTTTGGAATTTATTTCAATTTAATTTTCAGTATTTTATTAAATAATTATTAAAAAGGAAAATTACCTTCCAAAAGATGTTTAACCTGCTCGTCCTGGGGACCAACAGTTAAACTCTGTAAATTCGCTTCCTTCATGTCGGCCACTAATCGTTCGACCTGTAATTTTTTCTCCCCAATCGCAGATTCCAAACTGGCAACTTCCATTTTCAACGATTCAGCGCATTGCGTCGATAATTCCGCCGAGCGTTTTATTTGCTCGACTTCACTTTGCAAATGTTCAACTTCGCTTATCATTTTGCGCTCCAACATTTGATGTTCATCGGTCTTGCGACTGATATTGTGTTGCTCTATTACCAGTTCTTCCATTACCAATCTGTCAAAAAAGAAAGAATATCATTATTATTACATAATTTCAAAATTATAATTAAATATTAAAAATAAACTTCATTTCGATGAATTTTTTTACTATTACAATGAGAATAAAAATTTTTTAAAAATTAATAAATTACAGTAAATTTATTAGTTTTTCTTCTAAATATTGCGACAAATATTTAATTTTATATTTCCTTGACTTTTCCCTGATTTCCAGACAAAATTTTCACTTTTTTCCTGACCCTAAAAATTATTAGATACTCAAAAAAATGTTCTATTACATTTACAAATTTCTTTAATTGTAAAATTATTCGAAAAGATCAGTAACTTTTTTTTAAATAAATATTTAATCATTATTATTTTTCCGTAGGAATTAAAATTCTTCAAAACATTCATATTCAAATCTTTTTGAAATTCAATAACTTATAAGAATATTATTACAAAACATGTTTTGTAATAATTTAAATTACCATAAAATTTTTCAAAAATAAAAAAAATAAAAATTTGTCCTAATAAAATCCTTTGCAAGAATTCAATTATTTTTACAAGTATAGTAAAATTTCTCAAAAAATTCAATTATTTTTAAAAAAATGTAACAAAATTCGTTGCAAGAATTCAATTATTTTTTTAAATAATGAATCGATTATTCGGTAATTCATTTTTAAATCAATTTTTATTAGAAAATTCTAGAAGAATTCAATTATTTAAATTAAAAAATAAATAATTTATTGAATAATTGAATATTTGTTACAATTGAATTCTCATAAAGAATTTTATCAACAAATTTTTAAATAATTGAATTCTTTTCACGAATTTTAATCAAATTTTTAAGAATAAATTACATTTTTCGAGGAATTCGATTAAAATTGTATCAAAAATAATTAAAATCCTGCGATGAATTTTATTATTTTATGAAAATAATAAAATTCCTGAGAACAGTTTTATTATTTACAAAAATAATTAAATTATTGCGAAGAAATTTATAACAAAATTTGTAAATAATTGAATTCTTGCAACGAATTTTATTCAAGTTTATAAAAATATTTGAATTTAGGTGAAGAATTTTATTATTTATAAAAATAATTGAATTCTTGAATAGTACTTGGTTAAATTTTTTTTAAATAATTGAATTCTTGCGACGAATTTTATAAAAATCTTCTTAAATATTTGATATTTTTCGAAAAATATTTATGAAATTTTGTATTTTAAATAATTGAATTCGAATTCGAATTTCGAAGAAATTTATTAAAAATTTTGTAAATAATTGCATTCCTGTGAAATTTTGCCAAGAACTTTATTAAAAATTTTCAAAAAATAATTGAATTTCGAAGAAGAATTTTATTATTTATAAAGATAATTGTAATTTTGACGAGAATTTTTAAAACATGTTTGAAAATAATTGAATTTCTGGAATCATTTGTAACTTTTCCAAAATTCCCTGACCTGTGACAACCCTGATTAGTTTTTTAAATTGAAACAACATAAATGTGAAATATTAATACAAAATGTACCTAATTTTGTTCTTGCACTGAAGAAGTTCCGTTTCACAATTCGCCAATTTTGATCTCAAGAGCGTTATTTCTGATTTGAGAGTTTTCTCCTGCTGCTTAACGATTTCGTTTTCCTCCTCTACGTGTGCTAATTCTTTCAACTATATTCAAAGAAAGAGAGAACGAGAAAAATTAAAAAGAAATTAAAAATTGTTATTCAATTCAAAATTTGGAGGATATTAACTGTTTTTTCCATAGTAAAAGAAAAAAAACCGTCTCTTTTCCCTTACACACCTGTTCCTCAATTTTACGACCAGCAGTCTCAAGGCGGCTTACTTCCTGAGCAATAAAATCCATTTGATGCATTTGTTCCCTATTTTTGGTCTCCCAGTAAAGTATTTCCGCATCATACTAAAAGTAATTTTATTTTAAAAAATTTGTTCACCAAACAACAGTTTACTATATTTATTTGATATTTTTACAATTATTGCATTTTAAAAAAAAGTCTTCTGTCAATTATATTCAAATAATTTTTGATAAAAAAATCACCTTTGTCATATCTGCTTGCTGTGAATTGAGTGTGTCCTTTTGTCTATTGACTAGCCTAATAAGCTCAACATATCTTTGACTGTACGCGGTGCCAGCCGCATTTTGTGATTGTCCTGTTACTTGGTTCATATTTTGACTTGGGCTTCTACTTTCTTGAAACTCCTAGAATCATTAATATTAAATTTTTATTCATTTGTTTCATAAAGTTCTAGTTTTACAATTCTTTTTTAAATTCAGTGAACTTTCTTTTCATTTTCTTTTATTTTTATAGCCCTGATTTCTAGACAAAATTTTGAGTTTTTCCCTAACCCTGAAGCATATTCTGATTCACTATTTTAAAATTTTCTATTACATTTATTTACGAATTTCTTTGTTCGTAAGAATTTGAAAAGAATATTAATATTGATTTATATCATAAAAAAAAAAATAAACTATTACCTGATTAAGATTCTTTTTAGATTTTACTGCTATATTAGAAGACAATTGATCCTCTTTGTATAGTCTTGGACTGCTGCCTTTTGCGCCGGAAACACCTTGAGATCTTCCCGGACTACTGAAATTTGGTGGTGGTGGGTCACGATACGGGGGTAATGTCCTCAAAGGCGGAGAACTGGGACCCGGTGGATCCCTATAAGGTGGTACTTCTCGAACCTTTTTCTGAGACATGTAAATGGCTGCAAAATAGAAAAAAAAACAATTTACAATCAACAATAAAATTATTTAATGTAATGACAATATTTTCAATTATTAATCAATTCGTTACTATTTCAAAATTAATATTTACATTCAGAGGCTGTTGTTCTCGTTGGAGATTGAGCAGTTTTTTGAGATATTTTCCGCATATTAAAGTCTTTTGACTTTAATTGCGGTGTAGGCTGAATTATGGCAACATTTTCCATTTGTACCTGAAAATAGTCGATTATTTAATTGTATTTATTGAAATTGTAGCCTAGTTAATTAATTATTATAATAGTTATTAAAACTCCAGCCTACTTAATTATTTATTACAATATTTATTGAAACTCTAGCCTAGTTAAAAATTGTATAAATAATATTTATTGAAACTCCAGTCTAGTTAATTATTTATTACAATATTTATTGAAACTCGAACCTAGTTAATTATTTATTAGAAAAATTAAATGTGAATTTAAAAAAAAATTTCAAAATTCACACAAGAATCATGAAATTGACATAGAAATCTTGTCGCGATAGAAAGTAAATAAAAGAAAATTGTTGACATAGAAAATAGCTAAAAATAGGAAAAATTGAAAGAAAAAATAGAAAAAAAAAGAAAACAATACCTCAGACGTGTTTTCCGACGTGTTTCCATGAAGGCCACTAAAGGTTAACGACTTTCTAATATCTCGATTTCTTTCTAGGCCGTCTTGTACATCGTCGAACTCTTGGACTGGATTAGTCGGGCTATATTTAGCATCTTCATAGGGATTGAGTGATTGATCTCCCAAGGAACTAGGTAATCCGCTTGGCCTACTTCCATGAACTAATCTTGTACCCGAAGGACCTGGTGCTTTATTCGATTCCGGGGTAGATCGCTTCAATATCAATTGAACCTCGGACGCATATTCTCCCCATTTCATCAAAATCTTTACGAAACCAAAAAAGAAAAAGGAAATTAGTAATTTGAGAAAACTGGACTATGTACTAAAACAATTACTATTCATCAATAATTAATTTTTAATTACTTTTTTTAAATTCCAAAGTTTCTTAAAACAGAGTTGCTACACTTTTGCTCTTTTCAAATTCCCTGACTTTTCCACATTAAAAAACGGAATTTTTCCAGGTTTTTAAAACGAAAATTATCCGAAAACATCAATAACTTCATTTTTAAATAAATATTTAATCATTATTTTTTTATAGAAATTAAGATAAATTCAAAAATTTTAAATTCAATAACATAAGAATATTATTATAAAATATTATTATAATTAAAACTTGCTACTTTGTTACTGTAACTTCTTCAAAAATTATTTTCATTGTTACGATTATTCATTTCTAGACTTTTCAACCGTAATATTTTTTTTAATAATTTTAGAAGAAGTTCTTTGTGAATTTTCAAATTCTTTGGTTTACAATTTAATTTTACGAAATTTCGATTATTCTGACATTCTTCAATTAAATATATTAGAAATTAAAAACTTCAAATAATTAAAAAAAATTCCATTAAACTTATTGAGAAAAATTAATTCTATAGAATTCTTAATTAAAAGTATGAAAAGTTCAAATTTTCAAAGATTTTAATTTGAAATTCATTTTCAAATCAATATTTATTTAGAAAATTCTACGAGAATTCAATTATTTAACTATAAAAATAAATATTTTATTAAACAATTGAATGTTTTTTAAAATTGAATTTTCATAAAGAATTATTTTATCAACAAATTTTTAAATAATTGAATTTTCTTGACAACTTTTAATAAATTTTTTAATAATAAATGCATTTTTCGAGAAATTTAATGAAAATTGTATTAAAAATAATTGAAATTCTGGCAAGAATTTTATTAAAAGTATTGAAAATAATTGAATTTCGTAGAAAAATTTTATTATTTATAAAGATAATTGAAATTTTGACGAGAATTTTTGTAAATTTTTAAACATAATTGGATTTCTGCGAAGAATTTTATTAAAATTATTTTGGAAAAAATTGAATTGTTGCGCAAAGAATTTCATTAAAATTTTTGAAAATAATTTTATTCTTTAAACAATTTAAATTAAAAATGTATTGAAAATAATACATAAATTTTAACAAATAAATTGTAAAAAGAACCTTCTTAAAATAATTGAATTTCTTTTATAAATTTTAATAAAATTTTTCAGAATAATTACATTTTTCGAGGAATTCCATTAAAATTGTATTAAAAATAATTGAAATTCAGCATTGAGTTTTATTACTTATGAAAATAATTGAATCTCTGTAAAAAATTTTATTATATTTATGAAAATAATTTGTAAATAATTTTTAATATTTATAAATATAATTGAATTTTTTTGGAAGAATTTATTAAAATTTTAGAAAATAATTGAATTCTTTTTGAAAAATTCTATAACGAATTAAGAAAAAAATTTAATTCTTTCGTGAAATTTTTTTAAATAATTGAATTTTTTAGAAAAGTATGTTTAAAAAAAATTAAACTCTTTAATGGAATTTTATAAAAATTGTATTGAAAATAATTGAATTTTTGGAAAGAATTTTACTATGTATTTATAAATATAATTAAATTTCTTTGAAGAATTCATTAAAATTTTAGAAAATAATTGAATTCTTTTGAAGAGTTTATAACGAATTAAGAAAAAGATTGAATTCCTTCGTGAAATTGTTTGAAAATAATTGAATTTTTGGAAAGAATTGTACTATTTAAAAAAATAATTGAATTGTTTCGAAGGATTTATTAAAACTTTAGAAAGTAATAGTATTCGTTCGTGAAATTTTATTAAAATTTTGTTCAAAAGTAATTGAAATTTTGCAAAAAATGTTACTACATATTTATAAATATAATTAATTTCTTACGAACAATGTTATTATTTATGAAAATAATTAAATGTTTGCGTAGAAATTTATGAAATTTTTTTTTAACTAATTGAATTCTTTTAGGAATTTTAATTAAAGTAACAGATATTAAAAATCATTGAATTGATGAAATTTTTGGAAAATAATTAAAATTTTGCCAAGAATTTTATGAAAATTTTTGATAATAATTGAATTTCTGAGAAGAATTTTACTACTTTTGAAAACAATTGAATTTCTGCAATCATTTGTAATTGCTTCAAAATTCAATTTGTTTTAGTAATAATTAAATTTATTTAAATTATTAACTATAATTAAATAATTATAGTTATAAATTTATATATTAAAAACGACAACGGTAATTAAAATCGATAATTATGAAAAGTATTAGTGATATTGGTTTATTAATGAAATTATTAATAAGTATTGAAATCGAGTTGTAATGAAACAATGACCAGTGAACCTTGTCATTTCGATAGTTTCCGATACAAAACGCCTATTATTATTTGTTGCTTAATAGAGTACTAAATAAGTACCTAGTTCCATAAATATTCTAATATATAGATAATTGCCCACCTTTAGAGGGTTTTCATAAGGAGCGAGAAGCCTTTCGCTCGTTCGCCAACGTTCAATCAAGGTGAACCGTCCAGTTTGTGCTGTTGCATGTGCAAGTGCATAAACAACATCCTGGAAAGAGATATTCCAAATAAACATCAAATAAACCTCATTTCCACATTTCTAATCGAACTATGTAACTCTTTTTCTCATAGTAATTATTTTTTAATTCATTCCAAAAATAATGACATTTTTTTTAAATTGAATAGAAGAATTAAAAAGGAGCAAAACTTTTTCGATTTTACACTAATTTACACGTATGACAAGATTAAAAATGAAAATATAAAAATTCCAATACTTTAAAGTCAAATGTTTTCGCTTTAATCAATAACTTATAATACATCTACTTCCCACTTTGAATAAAAACTGTTGAATGTCACTCGTGCCATATAGAAAATATACGATTGACAAACGTTTTAAACTTCGGAAATTCAAAAAAAAAAAAAATATTCTGTTTTTTGTTTTTAACAATTTGAAATAAATTTAATAATTTACCTGACAAGTCGTTGTTTCTGTGACACCACAAACAATACGTTGAATACCCTCAACCCACACCTTTAACTCCATTGCATCATAAATTCCTTGGCATGTCTTTTTCTACTAATGTTATTTTCTTATTGTCCTGTATCACGAGATACTTGTGAATTCTCTCTTATTGCAAATTTAACGTATAATTTCAATTAAATTTTCTATTTATTGTGATTCTTCTTTATGGTCATTTATAAATATACTTGATATACTTATATGTCATTTAATATAAATAATTTTTTACATACGTGATGAATTAATAAAATCACTGTGATTCAAAAGGATAGAAATATCAAGTGTTCTCAATATATTTTTATAATTTATGTGAGAAAAACTCTCACCTTATCACTATTTGCAGTTATTTTATTAAATTATCCTCCATATCGACAATCTTTAATTTTCTGTGTTCCATAACCTCTGCAAATGCAAAAAGGGGAAAATTTGTACAAAAAAATGGGCTGATTTTTATGAAAAATTGTTTGTTTTTGGAGCTTATGACGTGTTTACATGCGTTGAGAATCCATTTTGGTTACTATGGTAACGGGAGGAAGCTTATTTAATTTAATATTAATTAATTAATCGATGTAAATGAAAAATTTGGAATTTACGTTATTTCTAATTTTTAATTATTTTTCTTTCGGAATAAAATAGTCTAGACAACTGTTTTTTTTATATTTTTTGTTAAATTTTTACTTCTTGAAAATGAAAACGTATCTTTTGCGTAGAACGCAACAAATTATACTTTCTTGCTACCCAGCCCTAAACGAACATATGCAAAAGCAGTATGTTTCTCTCCCTGTCAATGATCACCGCAGATCACTGTCATTACTGTAAATTATGAATTTATTGTAAATTTAATTTTTTTATGCTAAAAATTGTATAAAATAATATTTTCCTTATTGTTTTTAAACAATAATATACTTACAAAATGGGTCGACGTTCAATAAATACCACGAAAAGTGGGAAATATATGAACCCCACTGATCAAGCACGTATGTATTTTTAATATTAATTTATTAATTATTAAAACTTGTTATAAAAATAAGTAAATGTTATATTACGTAGAAACATAGATTATAAGTAAAAGAGGACCTTTCTTTCAATTATAAGTTTATTTCTTTACTCGATAAATTTCAATCAAAATTCGATTTTTCGGAGCATAACAATTCATTTTAGAGGTTAGGTTCAGTGTTTTTATTTGTAAATTTAAAGTGTATTAGAATATTAATATAAATGTCACTAACAAAAATTTACAGGAAAAGAGGCTCGGAAGAAAGAATTAAAGAAAAATAAGAAGCAAAGACAATTAGTAAGAGCTGCTGTTCTTAAGGGAAAAGATCCCACTCAAATTATTGAAGAGATGGAGAAAATTGATCAAATGGGTTTGTAATATTATTGTTATTTAATAATTTTTCCATCTACTTCAATATAAAAATGCAGGGTTGCTACGCAACCTGGAAAACCTGGGAACGTCAGGGAATTTTATAAATCTTGAAAAAACCTGGAAAATTCAGGGAATTCAGATCGAAATCCTAGAAAATTGTTGTTTTCTAAAGTTATTCTGTTTATTCTTGAAATCTAATTTCACTGAAATATTTCAAAATTAATTTAATTTTAAAAGAGTTGCGTTTACAATTTTTATAAGTAGATGAATTTCAAAAGATTTTGATTTAAAATTTTGTAAAATTTTAATTTTAAATGAATTTAATTAGAAATATAAAAAAACTTAGATTTAAAAAAAAATTTTAAAACTAAAATTCTTGTGAAATTAGTTAAATTTTTTAATAATATATTTAATCGATTATTAAAAATAATAGATTTATAGAAGAATTTTAGTTAAAACCACTATAACAAATTGAATTTTAAAGCAATTACAAATTATTGCAGAAATTCAATTATTTTCAAAAGTAGTAAAATTCTTCTCAGAAATTAAATTTTATTTTAAAAAATTTTAATAAAATTCTTGGCAAAATTTTAATTATTTTCAAAAACGTTCCTCAATTCAATGATTTTTAATATCTACTACTTTAATAAAAATTCCTAAAAGAATTCAATTAGTTAAAAAATTTTTAATAAAATTCAACGCAAACATTTAATTATTTTCATAAATAATTGTTCGTAACATAAACTCTGTTCGTAAGAAATAATTTATATTTGTAAATAGTACAATTTTTTTCAAACTTTCAATTACTTTTAAACAAAATTTTAATAAAATTTCACGAACGAATACTATTATTTTCTAAAATTTTAACAAATCCTTCGAAATAATTCAATCAAAATTTTTTTAAATAATTTTTTTTAAATACATAGTAAAATTCTTTCAAAAAATTCAATTATTTTTAAAAAAATTCAACTAAAGAATTAACTTTTTTTCTTAATTCGTTATAAAATTTTTCAAAAGAATTGAATTATATTCTAAAAATTTAATAAATTCTTCGAAAAAATTCAATATAATTTTAATAAAATTTCATGAAAGAATTCAATTTTTTTTAACCATATATTTCGAAAAAATTCAATTATTTCTAAACAAATTTCACGAAAGAATTAAATTTTTTTCTTAATTCGTTATAAAATTCTTATCAAAAATTCAATTATTTTCTAAAATTTTAATAAATTCTTCGAAAAAATTCAATTATATTTACAAATATTAAAAATTATTTACAAATTATTTTCATAAATAATAACAGTTTTTACCTGGATTAAATTATTTTCGTAAATAAAAAAACTCAATGTTGAATTTCAATTATTTTTAAAACAATTTTAATGAAATTCCTCAAAAAATGTAATTATTCTTAAAAATTTTATTAAAATTTATCAAAGAAATTCAATTATTTTAAGAAGCTTTTCTACAATTTATTTATTAGAATTTAAGTATTACATTCAATTATTTAATAAAATATTTATTTTTACAGTTAAATAATTGAATTCTCGTAGAATTTTCTAATAAATATTGATTTAAAAATGAATTTCAAATTAAAATCTTTGAGAATTTGAACTTTTTATACTTTTAATTAAGAATTGTATAGAATTAATTTTTGTCATTAAGTTTAATGGAATTTTTTTAATGATTTGAAGTTTTTAATTTCTAATATATTTAATTGAAGAATGTCAGAATAATCGAAATTTCATAAAATTAAATTGTAAACAAAACAATTTGAAAATTCACAAAGAACTTCTTCAAAAATTATTTAATAAAACTTGACTTAAAAAAGAATAATTTTCGTTTTAAAAACCTGGAAAAATTCCTATTTTTATAACCTGGAAAAGTCAGGGAATTTGAAAAGAGTAAAAGCGTGGCAACCCTGAAAAATATAAAAATATTTGTCTTAATTCTTTTAATTCCACTGCTTGTAGAATATAACGTTATGCAGCCTCCTCCACTAAATGAAAAAGTATTAAAAGATAAGAGAAAAAAATTAAAGGAAACATTAGATCGTGTCTTGAAAATGTATGTAAGTATCTCAAAAATTGCAGCCACAAAATTGTTTTAAATATTTTACTATATTTACATTTTAGTAAATATATAAAATGTAAAAACATTTTACTATACATTTTATTTAATATTGTTTTCGAATATTTTAGACTATTAGTTTAACGAAAAGTGTAAAAGCAAAATTATTTTCTTTTCCAAGGCTAAGGATGATCAAGAAAAATGGACAGATCTGAAGGAACAATTAATTCAATATGAACGACGAAGAACGGATTTATTAACATATTTCGAAGCAGTTAGACACGCTCAACAAGTACAAGTTGATGAAATTCCTTTACCAACCGCTGTAAATGATATTTCTCGAATGTATCCGGGTAAATTTTTTTCATTACTGATGAATTTAATTGAATTATAAATTAAATAATTATTTACTTTTTCATTTTCAAAATGCGGAAATTGTAAATTTTAATTGAATTTAAAAGTAACGAAAGTTCGTTTTTCAGGTTCCTTGACGTCGCAAATTCCTTTACCGGATCTACCACAACCACCACCTCATTTATATTCAACTCATCCTCATTTAGTCATGACCCATCATCCATTAATGAATATTCCCGTACCCACGAGTATTTTGAAAAAAACAAGTGCGTACTCTTTAGCTCCAGTTATTCCCACTTTATCTCCCAATAAAGAAGCTCCAGGTGTTCCGCCTTATCCGCCCGTTGAACTCGACAGCGACGACGATGATATTCCCGAGAAGGTAGCATTTTGCAAATATTTTACTTTAATCAAAACTAATTTTGTTTGCTAAAGAAAAAATTAATAAGATTTTGGATAATCGACTTAGATTTTAGAATTTAGATCTTCTAATTAATAATTTTAGATAATTTACGATTTATATTAATCTACTATTAATAAAGAATTAAATTATAAAAGAAAGTAAAATAAAATCTCAAGAAGAAGAAAATTTTGCAATTTTCCAGACGAAGGAATCAAGTTACAAATCGAAGACAATTCGCTTTGCCGATGAGAGAGGAGGTAAATCGAAACACGATTACGAGAAGGATAAGGATCTTGATAAAGATGTGTCGAAAGTAAAGCCAACGAGCCTTCAGCAAAAAATGTTGGCAATGGCAGGACAAGATATTGATCAATTTATGAGGGAAATGGAGGTGGTTCACAAGAAACGGGAAACTGAACGGGCGCAAGATTTAAATGTTCGTCTATCATTGTTGAAGGATGGCGATTCAGAGAAAACGGGTAAAAATTCTGGAAATGCTGATAACGATCATGAATCCAGTGGTAAATCAACGGATCATTCGTCAGTATTAAATCATCCTGCAATGTCTCATCCAGCAATGCCACTTATGGGTCTACCGCCGCCGCCACCCTTACTATTCCGACCTCCCCCGCCGCCTATACATCTTAGAATGCCTCCACCTCCGCCACCTCGTCACGGACTTCGACTTCCGCCAGGTATTTTTATTTTTGTTTATTAAAAGTAAATTATTTTTATTTATTAAAAGGAAATTTTTTTTATTTATTAAAAGTAAATTCTTTTTATTTATTAAATTATTTTTATTTATTAAAAGTAAATTATTTTTATTTATTAAAAGTAAATTATTTCCATTTATTAAAACTAAATTATTTTTATTTATTAAAAGCAAATTATTTTTATTTATTAAAAGTAAAAATATATTTTTACTTAATTTTCATGTCCCCAAAAAATTTGAACGTTCAAGTGAACGAAATTAATTTTTTTTCGAATCAAAATTTTATTAGAATATTGCGTCGTGTATTAAAAGATTGTTTTTAAAGTTTGAAATTGTTAAATTTATGTTCTCGATTTTTATTGAAGTCAGTAATTTTTGAAATTTGAACGCTCGAAATTTTTTGAACCTTACGGTTTTCAATTATTTTCTACAATTTTTAACTACATAATCTCCTTCTCCAAATCAATTATTTTAAATAATTTTTCTAAACTTCTACGAAAATTCAATTATTTATACAATTATTAAATACAAAGATTCAATTTTATACAGTAAATGTTACAGTAATTCTTCATAGTTTTTCAAAGTTATTAGGGTTATTAAAAAAATATTTTTAAATAATTTCTGAAAGATAATTGATTTTTTAATATAAATATTCAAATAATTGATATTCAGTAAATTTTTTTTAAATAATTCCTTTTTCTAAAAGAATTTTTGTAAAATATTAAAAAATAATCAAGTTTTTGAAGAACTTTATTTACAAATATATAAAAATATAGGATTTTTCCAAAATTTTAATGATAAAGTCTAAAGGTTTAGATTTTTTAAAACGATTAATTTATTTTTTGAAATAATTGAATATTAAAAAAGTTAGGATAACAAAATTCTAAGTATAAGTTTTTTAAAAATATTATAATGTAATTTTTCGAAAATAATTGAATTTTTAAAAAGAATTCTTGGTCAGTTTTGAAAAAATAAGCAATTTTTTGAAGAATTATAATTGCAAATTTGAAAATACGTAGTTTTGCAAAATTTTAATAATAAAATCTAAGAATTCAGATTTTTCAATAAATTTTCCTTTTTTTAAAATAATTGAATTTTAAAAGAATTTTTATTGCAAACTTCTAGGAATAATTATTTTAAAACTGTTGTAATATAATTTTTCGAAAATAATTGAATTTCGTAAAAGAATTTTTGGACAATTTAAAGAAAAAATCAATTTTTTGAAGAATTATAATTACTAATCTGAGAATTTAGATTTTTCAACAAATTTACTTTTTTTTAAATAATTGAATTTTATAAGAATTTTGATTGCAAACTTCTAGGAATAATTATTTTAAAACTGTTGTAATGTAATTTTTTGAAAAGAATTGAATTTCGTAAATGAATTTTTAGACAATTTAAAAATATAATCAATTTTTTGAAGAATTATAATTGCAAATTTGAAAATACGTTATTTTGACAAAATTTTAATAATAAAATCTAAGAATTTAGATTTTTCAAACAGATAAATTTACTTTTTTTAAAATAATTGAATTTTAAAAAAATTATGATAACAAAATTCTAAGAATAAGTTTTTTAAAAATATTCTAATGTAATTTTTCGAAAACAATTGAATTTCTTAAAAGAATTTTTGAACAATTTGAAAAATAATCCATTTTTTTTTTGAAGAATTATAAAAATCACCTTCTTAGAAATACTTTAATGTTGTTATTTGTAAATATTTGGATTTTCGGAGATACTTAATTGAAAACGTTGAAAATAATTGAATTTTAAAAAAATTGTAATGTTGAAAAATTTAAGAATTTATTTTAAAATTATTCTAATACAATTTTGTTGAAGCTCATTTCCATTAATTTTTGTTTGCAAATTTTCATTGAAGATTTTTCATTAAAATTTTTGAGAATTCAATTATTTTTCAATTTTATTTTTAAATTTACAATTAAAATTATTCAAAATTTTAGAATCAAATATTTTAATTTTGTAAAATTTTATTCAAAATAATTGATTTTGTGAAACAAAATCAATTCTTTCGAATAAAATTTCACAAAATTTCAATTCTTTAAAATGTTTTTAATTAAATATTTTGAAAATTTAATTATCTTAAAAAAATGATTTAAAAATAATTTTTTAAAGATTTGACTATTGAAAAATAATTATTTTTAACACTATAAAAATTAAAATCAATCGCATTTTATCCCAAAAAAGTGGTATTTTTTGCAATATTTGGAAGAAAAGTGAAAAAAGTCTTATTTTTTAAAAATAAGTCCAAAAAAGTCGTCTATTTTGAAAAAATACAGTCGAACCTGTTTGAATGCAACGCTATTTTAAATTTTTTTGCAATCAATAATGTACAACAAGAATTATTTTCACTTAGTTCCAAAATATTGTAAAAATATTACAAAATTAAATTACAAAAAAAGTTGTCAAGAATTTAAAACTTAGTGATTCCATCCAGTAATTATTTTTGTATTATTTTTTAAGAATTGTTTACTGTAATAAAATTTTAAAAATCGAGTTGCATGTCGACAGGTTTTACTGTAGTAAAAAAAAAGTCCAAAAATTCGTTCTATCCGAGGCCTGAATTTCTAAAATAAGAGAACTCGGTTAATTAAATATAAATAATCCAAAAAAAATTTACCTTTAATTAGGACCACCGCCTGGTGTACCACGCTTATTACGACCTGGACCACCGAGTATGCCACGCATGCCACCTCCACCAATGCAAATGTCAAATTTGAGTGGAGTCGCTGGCAATCAATTGCAACAGCAAAACAATTCGAGTTCAGTGGCGTCAAAGACGCCAAATGTATTGTCCGCAGCGCCGCAATTGATAAATCGAAAGGATAAGGACGGCAAGAGTACAACGACAATAGAAGCCAAACCGCAAATACGAAATTTGGCTGCTGATGTCACAAGATTTTTGCCAACATCCTTGCGTGTCAAGCGTGACGACAAAAAGAAAGTCGTCACTGTGCTTAGGTTACCGGAGAAATTCCCCGAGATGCAACCATCAAAAATTGTACCGCCAAAAACCAAGGACGACGCTTATATGCAATTTATGCAAGAAATGGAAGGCTTACTTTAAAGACAATTTGCTTTTTATTTAAGTACATAGAATCCTTATGTACTTGTTGAATTTCAAAAAGAAAAGAACACTAGTTAAGTTATTATATATAAGAATGCAACACTTAAATAAACATTTTAAAAAACATTTCTCATATTCTCTTTCATTCTCACATTTATAAATTTTTAAAACAAAATCTCAACATTTAGTTAATAATTAAATTACCTATTATAAACATCTAGAATATTAATTTCTTTTCTTGATTACGAAAAACGGGCAGATACCATAAACTCGACCAATTCTGAATCTGAAATTGAAAAGATTTTTTATTATAATAATAACTGAATTAAATTAACATTATTGTTAATTAAACATTTTAGTAAATTAAATTTATAATAAATTTACAGAACAATTCACTCACCTAATAATATAAAAATAGAAAAATCTCGAAAATTGAAAATATATTTGGCACATTGTGGTCATGAATTATAATTATTTTCTCGTAATCGACATTTTGATGAGGAAAAATTGTTATTTTTTTTTTAAACTAATTTGATTCTATAAATGTTCAATTATATCATGATCATTTTTAAATGTAGGCTGCTTTAAATTCTTTTGATGGCGTTTTGTTTTTTGCAATTCCTTCGCGAAATATGCTATGGTTTTCTTTAGGCCAACAGTTAACGGTACTTTTGGCTCCCAATTTAAATATTTCTTTGCACGTGAAATATCCGGTTTTCGACGCTGGGGATCGTCTTCGAGTGCGGCAAGTTCAACAATTGTACTTGTACCTCCTATTAAATCCTTGATGAACACAGCAAATTCTAGAATAAAATTTAATCGATATTAATAATCGTTGTATTCCAGTAATCTGTTCGCAGTTTAAAGTTAGTTGTTGTTTGCTTTTTTGTTTCTTAACTTTTGAAATAATTTTTCTGTTTCAATTTTAAAATTAATGTTTTGAAAATCATCGAATTATTGCAAAGAATTTTATCAAAAAATTTGATAATACATAATTCAATTTCTTTCAAGAATTCTATTATTTAGGAAAATAATTATTGAATTTTATTAAAATTTTTAGAAAATAATTATTTATTAAAATTTTAGAAAATAATTAGATTTTCAAAGATTTAATAACGAATTATGTAGTTAAAAAAATTGAATTCTTTAATGGAATTTTATTAAAATTGTATTAAAAATAATTTAATCTTGGAAAAGAATTTTACTATTTATAAATATAATTAAATTTTTGCAAAGAATTTTACTATTTATAAATAATAATTGAATTGTTTCGAAGGATTTATTAAAATTATTGAAAATAATTAGATTTATAAAAATTTTATAACGAATTAAGAAAAAAATTGAATTCCTTCGTAAAAATTGTTTGAAAATAATTTAATTTTTGAAAAGAATTTTACTATTTATAAATATAATTGAATTTTTTCGAAGAATGTATTAAAATTTTTAAAAATAATTAAATTTTCTCGAAAAATATGTTTAAAAAAATTGAATTCTTTAATGGAATTTTATAAAAATTGTATTAAAAATAATTGAATTTTGGGAAAGAATTTTACTAAATTTATAAATATAATTGAAAAATTATGAAAAAAAGTTCATTGTTTCGTGAAATTTTTTTGAAAATAATTGAATTTTTTCAAAGATTTTATAACGAATTAAGAAAAAAATTGATTCCTTTCGTGAAATATGTTTGAAAATAATTGAATTTTTGCAAAGAATTTTACTATTTATAAATAGAATTTAATTTTTTCGAAGAATTTAATAAAATTCGAGAAAATAATTGAATTTTTGATAAGAATTTTATAACGAATTAAGAACCAAATTTAATTCTTTCGTGAAATTTGTATAAAAATAATTGAATTTTTTCGAAATATATGTTTAAAAAAAATTGAATTCTTTCATGGAATTTTATTAAAATTGTATTAAAAATAATTGAATTTTTGGAAACAATTTTACTATTTATGAATATAATTGAATTGTTTCGAAAGATTTATTAAAATTTTAGAAAATAATTGAATTCTTTTGAAAAATTTTATAACGAATTAAGAAAAAAATTGAATTCTTTCGTGAAATTTTTTTTAGTATAATTGATTTTTTGCAAAGATTTTACTATTTAAAAAAATAATTGAATTGTTTCGAAGGATTTATTAAAATTTTAGAAAATAATTGTATTCGTTCGTGAAATTTTATTAAAATTTTGTTAAAAAATAATTGAAAGTTTGCAAAAAATTTTACTATTTATAAATATAATTAATTTCTTACGAACAATGTTATTATTTTTAAAAATAATTGAATTCTTGCGTGGAAGTTTATTAAAATTTTTTGAAATTAATAAATATGAATAATTTATTAGTTAATATTTGAATTTTCTAAAGATTGAATCTGAAATTATTCAAAAATTCATATTTGAAATTTAAAAATTCTGTAATTTCCATAATAATAATAAATTGAACATCACGTTACGCGCGCGTAACATTTGCTAGTTTAATATAAATGATTAAATTAATAGATAAATAAAGAATAATGGAAATATTCATTTCTAAATAGAATTCAAATTTCTAATAAATGTTCACTTCAATTGAATCAGAATAAGTCAGAAGAAAAAAGGGGAGAAAAGTAATATAATCTGGAGGTAAAATTTTGTTTCTCGTTAGATTTGTCTTATTGTATCTTTTTGTGAATTGTTTTTTCCTTACCTTCTATTGTGTGTTCAACGGGATTTCCGAGATTAACGGGCAAACTGTAATTCGAGGCCATTAAAGCCATTAAACCATCGACCAAATCGGAGACATATTGAAACGATCTTGTTTGCTTTCCATTGCCATAAATTGTTATTGAATCATTTTGTAACGCTTGGAGTATAAAATTTGAAACGACTCTTCCGTCGTTCATGTGCATTCGTGGACCGAAAGTATTAAAAATTCGAGCAATTCGAATATCAACTCCTTCCTGTCTCATGTAAGCGTAACTCAATGTTTCCGCAATTCGCTTTCCTTCATCGTAACAAGCTCTGGGTCCTACAAAAAAAATATTAATAACAAAATTTGTCTGCTACTAATTTCACAAATATTTGAAATATTAAAAATATTAATTGAAATTTTAAACGATTTATTTGTTTATTGAAACAATTATTTCAAAAAAAAAAAAAATAATTAATTGAAAATTTAATTTCATCTACATAATTGAAAATTTTTAAAGTTTAAATTTTTAAAGTTAAAAAATTAGAATATTATGGAATAAAATATTACCAATGGGATTAACATTGCCCCAGTAGGTTTCCGTTTGAGGATGTTGAGTTGGATCGCCATAAACTTCAGAAGTGCTGGCTATTAAAACACGAGCACCAACTCTCTTCGCAAGACCTATTATGCGAAAATTAAATTAATTATTAATTAGGTAATATTAATCGATTATTAAAATTTATTTATTTACAGTTTTGATAATTTTTATTTTATTATATTTTGCAAATAACAATTACAAGGGTTGCCACATGTCTGGGAAATCATGTCTCCTAAGTTTTTAATGCTCAAATGAACAAAATTTATTTATTTCTTCTTCAAATTAAATTTTTATTACAATAAGTTTGTCTCATTATCAAAAAAGAAAATTAATTATAAAGTTTCTAAATGTAAAATTTAAGTTTTTAATTTTTACTGTAATCAGTAATTAATGAAAATATTTTTTATTACAAATATTTCGTTCAATTCTTGGGAATTATAATTGTATTTTTAAAAGAATTTTATTCAAACTTCTTAAAATAATAGAGAATTTAAACACAGTAATTAATTTTACTTTTAAAATAGAAGACATTCTTAAAGTTTTTAAATCAAATTTTTGTTTCTAAAACTCATCGTTTATTATAAATGAATTTATCTTGAATTTTTTTGTAATAGGTTTCAGAGAAAAGGTCCATTTTTCCATTTGGAAATCAGGGAAAACAAAGTCAAATTTGGTGGCAACTCTGAATTAATAAAATTAATAATAAATAACAAAATTCTCCACTCACCAAGCATATTAATTGTTCCTAAAGTATTAGTCTTAATTGTTTTCACGGGATTTCGCATATAATGAGGTGGACTAGCCGGACTAGCGAGATGATAAATTTCCTCAACCTCGAGATAAAGAGGCCTGATAATATCGTGATGCACCATTTCAAAATTTTCATGGCCTACCCAATGTTCAACGTTTCGTTTTCTACCGGTAAAAAAATTATCAACGACAATGACCTCATGTCCGGCAATCATTAGACGATCAACTAAATGTGATCCCACAAATCCAGCACCACCTGTTACCAGGACACGTTTACGATTCTTGTAATTCAAAAATTTAACTACTGGGAAACTTTTATGCACTTGATTATTAATCACAGTTTCCATTTCTTTTAATTTCTTCTCGAGAATTTTTATTTTCTCCTGTGCCGCTTGAAGCTCTTTAATATTTCCATTCGAAAAATCTCTCGTTTCGTATACGACATCTGATCTACGATTGGTATAAATTTTTTCATTGTTGCTCTGATTTTGATTACGAAATGGTGCGAAGAAACTTCTTTCATTCTCTGTAGTGACAATCGATTTGTACAGACCTAGAACTGAAAAAATAAATTATGGTTAATTAACAATTAATAAATAAATAATTAATTAATTAATAATCAATAAATTAACTATTAACTATATTTTTTGGAACAGAATTTACCATAGGAATTAAGAAATTCAAAGATTTCAAATTCAAACCTTTTTTAAATTAAACAACTTACAAAAGTATTTTGTTATAAAACATGAAGATATCGATTGCTCCGAGTCGAAGACTCGGAGTAATCGATTTCTTCATGTTTTATAATAATTAAAAATGACTGAGTGATAAAATAATTATTTTATATAAAAATATTGTACTTCTTCAAAATTATTTTCATCATTTCAATTCAATTATTATTTTTAAGAATTTTTAACTAAAACTCTTCTTTAGAGCAATTAATTTTCGAAAAAGTTCTTTCTCAATTTTAAAAACCATTTGTTTATAATATTCAATTTTACGAATTTCAATTATTCGTAAATTCTTCAATGAGAATATACATAAGAAAATAAAAACTTCAAAGAATATAAAAAAAATTCAATTAAACTTTTCCAAAAAAATTAATTTCAAAATTCAATTATTTCTAAAAATTCCCGCTATATTGCTTTTAAAATTTAATTATTATCTAAAATTTAAACTGAAATTCATTTTTAAATCTATTTTTATTAGAAAATTCTACGAGAATTCAATTATTTAAATATAAAAAAAATTTATTAAATAATTGAATGCTTCGTAAAATTTAATTCTCATAAAGAATTTTATTAACAAATTTTTAAATAATTAAATTCTCTCGAAGAATTTTAATAAAATTTTTAAGAATAATTAGATTCTTCGAGAAATTCGATTAAAAATCTATTAAAAATAATTAAAATTTTGCGATGAGTTTCACTAATTTGTGAAAATAGTTGAAATTTGTTATAAAATTGTATTAAAAATATTTGAAATTCTGCGAACAGTTTTATTATTTGTGAAAATAATTGAATCCCTAAGAAGAATTTTATTATTTTTGAACATAATTAAATTTCTGCAATAATTTGTAATGCAAAAAAATAATTTATTGAATAATTGAATGTTTCTTAAAATTCAAATTTCATAAATAGTTTTATCAACAAATTTTTAAATAAATTAATTTTTTCGACGAATTTTAATAAAATTTTTAAGAATAATTACATTTTTCGAGGAATTTGCTTAAAATTGTATATTAAAAATAATTGAAATTCTGCAATGAGTTTTGTTATTTATGAACATAATTGAATTCCTAAAATGCATTTTATTATTTTCGAAAATAATTGAATCCCTGTAAAAATTTTATTATTTATGAAAATAATTGAATTATTGCGAAGAAATTTATAAAAAAATTTGTAAAAAATTGAATTTCTGAAATTTTTATTATTCTACCTATTTAAATAATTAAATGTTTTTTTAATTAAATAATTAAAATTTTTGAAAATAATTGAATTTCGGAGAAGAATTTTATTATTTCTAAAAATAATTGAAATTTTGACGAGAATTTTTTTAAATTTTTGAACAGAATTGAATTTTTGCGAAGAATTTTTATATTTCAGCCAAACATTTAAACAGAAAAAAAATTTTTTCTAATGAATCTTTTATTATAAACATTGTGAACTTCACCTACATTAATTTTTTTCGATTTTTGTTAGTCAGATTAAAAAGTTGAATAGTTTTATAATCTTTAAAAATAAAATACACGTGGAAATTTGCAGCGATGACACCGTGAATCGATTATTTTTATTATGTTGCATAAAAAATTCAATTTAATGTTAATCTAAAAATAGTGCAAATTCATGCGATTTAAAACTGTAGTATTTTCGCGCTATATATTCCATTACATTATGTGAATTTAAATAACTTCATTTGCGAAAGTAGTAATTACTTTTTATAATTTATCACAAAAAGTTAAAAATATTTACTTGAAAACATATGTCATGATTTTTCACAATATAAAAATATTAAATACTTTTTATAATTTGAAATTCATGTTTATTCATTTAATAATGATTAAGTAATAAATTTAAATTATTTTGCAGAAACAATATATATGTACCTATAGTTACAAAGGTGACGATAATAATAAATAGACAAACAATAATGAGACTTTTAAATCGGTAAACATTTATTTAAAAATGTAAAATACTCACTCAATATTAAGCATATTATAAATATTGCTATTTGTCTCATTCTGCGTTGAGTCATAACCATTCTTTCTTATATTTCATCTTTCTCTTAAAATCGAGTAATTACTTTATTATAATTTTTTTTAAACGTAGAATAAAACTTATACTATGTATCAGTCAATGTCAGTGACAGTCAGTGATCCCGAAAACATAACCTCTTTATTCTCTCCCCCCACTCTTTTTACGCGCACTACGCGCATTATCAGGGTTGGGTTACTTTTTTCTTCTAATTTTTACACCGTTTTACCTAAATTTACATGCATTCATCACATAGGGACGCGGCTTTAAATCGGAAAGTGATTTTAGTTCCTAGTTTCGCCACTAGTTGAACATAAACCTCGTGGATGTCAATATAACCTATAAATAGTTAATTTTTTTGAGTTTTAATCGTTTTAATAATTTTTTAAACACTAATAAGTGTTACATCAGTGTTTACTAGAATAATTGTTGAAAGTTGTTTGCTAATTGTGTTGAGATTTAGTATAGAGAATAATAAATATAGGCAAATATGTAAATATGTTTTAAGGAAGAGTGCAAATTTCATATACAAGATTTACAAATGTGACATAATTTGTTGGGAAATTAGATAATATTAAACAAATTCCATTATTTGTTGTAATACTGTAACTATAACTTTGAAAATGGCTTCCCCTTGTACGGAAATTATTGACGATATTGAAGATTTAATATCGTCGCAGGATATTACTCCAAAAGAGAGATACAGTTCTCGAAAGAAAGTAACTGTTCGTGCAAAACGAAAACAGGACCAAGATGTTATACCAGAACCGCCAATTTATTCGAGTATTATTCCAGGTATGATTGGGAAAAAGACAAAAAGTTATTAGTATTATTTGTAGTATTAATTGCTCGTGTTGTTATTATTATTATTATTATTATTATTATTGTAGTTCTTTAATTTCTTTGTATTTTTAGGTACTCAAACTATTTTTGTAAAAACTTGGGGATGTACACATAACAGTTCAGACAGTGAATATATGGCTGGACAACTTGCTGCCTATGGTTATAAATTAACGGAAGATAAAAATATTGCCGATTTATGGCTTTTGAATTCGTGTACTGTTAAAAATCCAGCGGAGGATCACTTTAAAAATGAGATCGACGCGGGAAGAAAACTCGGAAAACATGTCGTAGTCGCTGGGTAAATTGTTTTTTATTGGAGAATCTTTTTGCTTTTTTTCATCTTTTTTTGAAGTACTAATTATTTAATTAACTTATTACAAGCTTCGCACTCAGGTTTTAGTAAAAATTTATAATATACTCCTTTTTTTTCCTATTTGATACCATTAGGAAAAATTTTCAAATAATTTTCAGAAATAATTCGACTTTAAAAGGTTTTTAAATTGACATCTTTCAAAATATTAATTTTTAAAACATAATGAATTTAATTCTTTTTAAAATTAAATAATTAACGAATATAATTTAATTTTCTTTAACAAGTCAGTTTTTTTTAATCTGTAATGAAATTCTTTAACAAATTTAACTATTTTGAATTCGATTTCACAAAACTTCAATTAATTTGACAATTCTATATTAAATTCTTTTAAAGGATTTAAATATCTTTGGAAACATAAATTCTAATTACTCAAGAAAGTATTTTTTTCAAAATTAAAAAAAAAACTTATTCATAACTTAACTTTTTTAATAAATTTAATTATTATTAATTTCTTAATTGCAATTGAAATTTTCGAAAAATTTAGTTAAAAAGATTCTGCAATTCAATTATTTCTGAAAATTGCAACAGTTTTTAATTACAATCTTATTTAAATTAATTACATAATTCATAACTTTCAAAATGTTTTCTAAAAGTTAATTATTTTAAATAAATTTTGTTATTTACAGAAATAAGAAAAATTAAGGTATTTTTTTGAAATTCATTATAATTGAAAAGTTTTTAAAGTAAAAAAAATTCAAGGAGAATTTACCTACAGTTTTTAAGTCTTTCAAAAATATTTTTATAAACACCAATGACCAGAATTTTCGGAGTAACTCTAGAAATTTGATATTTTTCTAGTGCTTTTGAGAAAATTCTTTGAAATATTTATTGTCAAAATAAAAAATAAAAGTAAAAAATTTATTTAAAAATTTTTCAAATATATTTTAACACTAAAAACAAATTTTTTTGAAGTAATTCTAAAAATTATAAAATTATGTTCAAAAATTTAAAAAAATTCTCGTCAAAATTTCAATTATTTTTAGAAATAATAAAATTCTTCTCCGAAATTCAATTATTTTCAAAAATTTTAATTATTTAATTTAAAAGACATTTAATTATTTTTATAAAATAATAAAAGTTTCAGAAATTCAATTATTTACAAATTTTCTATAAATTTCTTCGCAATAATTCAATTATTTTCATAAATAATAAAATTTTTACAGAGATTAAATTATTTTCGTAAATAATAAAATGCTTTTTAGGAATTCAATTATGTTCATAAATAACAAAACTCATTGCAGAATTTCATTTATTTTTAATATACAATTTTTAAGCAAACTCTTTGAAAAATCTAATTATTCTTAAAAATTTTATTAAAATTCGTCGAGAGAATTTAATTATTTAAAAATTTGTTTGATAAAATTCTTTATGAGAATTAAATTTTAAGAAACATTCAACTATTCAATAAATTCTTTTTATACTTAAATAATTGAATTCTCGTAGAATTTTCTAATAAAAATCGATTTTCATTTCATAAAAATGAATTTCAGTTAAAATTTTAGATAATAATTGAATTTTAAAAGCAATATAGCGGGAATGTTTAGAAATAATCGAATTATGAAAATAATTTTTTCGAAAAAGTTTAATTGAATTTTTTTATATTCTTTGAAGTTTTTATTTTCTAGTGTATATTTTCATTGAAGAATTTAAGAATAATTGAAATTCGTAAAATTGAGTATTATAAACAAATGGTTTTTAAAATTGAGAAAGAACTTTTTCGAAAATTAATTGCTTTAAAGAAGAATTTTAGTTGAAAATTCTTAAAAATAATAATTGAATTGAAATGATGAAAATTAATTTTGAAGAAGTACAATATTCTTATAATATAAAATAATGATTTTATCACTCAGTCATGTTTTATAGTTATGATGAAATTTAATTTTTAGTTTTAAGTAAAATGTTTTCTTATATTTGACTCGGACTGGTTAAATTTTTGTCAGAAATTGGTCCGTAATTTTTCATTTTTGGTCCGTAAAAGTCTGTATTTTTAAATTCTTTTACTGGTTCGAGCCCTGTAGTTATTTTTTTGCTACTTCTTTTTAGTTTTAAAGATTCCTTTTGCTACTCTTTTTTTTATTAATTAACGAGTGCGAAATCTGTTACTAATTTTTTTCTGAAAAAAAAGAAGAAATTACATACAATAAATTTAACTTATAATAAATACAACTTGAAATTAATTTCGTCTTTTTCTTCTTCTTAAATGACTTTTGGCTCAGCCAACTGTCAGAACAAAGAAATTAATTTAATTAATTGATTAATTCGTTTTGAATAATTATTTAACATTGTAATTATTTTCTTTCAGTTGTGTACCACAAGGAGCGCCAAAATCAAGTTTCATTCAGGGATTGAGTATGATTGGAGTTCAGCAAATTGATCGAGTCGTTGAGGTCGTTGAGGAAACGTTAAAAGGAAACAGTGTCCGATTTTTGGGACAAAAGAAGGAGTCGGGTAAAAAAATTGGAGGTGCTTCTCTCGATCTCCCGAAGGTACGCCGTAATCCATTAATCGAAATAATTGCCATAAATACGGGCTGTTTAAATCAGTGTACTTACTGCAAAACGAAACACGCGAGAGGTGAACTTGGTAGTTATTCGCCTCAGCAAATTGTCGAGAGGGCAAGACAAGCGTTCGATGAAGGCGTTTGCGAATTGTGGTTAACATCCGAAGACACTGGTGCCTATGGCAAAGATATTGGCACAAGTCTTCCGGAATTACTCTGGAAATTAGTTGAAGTTATTCCCAAGGGTTGTATGATGAGAATCGGTATGACAAATCCTCCCTACATTCTCGAGCATCTTGAGGAAATTGCTAAAATTCTACAGCATCCACGTGTCTATAGTTTTCTCCACGTTCCCGTGCAATCGGGCAGCGATCAAGTTTTATCGGACATGAAACGTGAATACACGAGGGCCGATTTCGAGCATGTTGTCGATTTTCTACGTCTCAAAGTTCCCGGTGTGACGATTGCTACAGATATTATTTGTGGTTTCCCAACGGAAACTGAGGAAGATTTTAATGATTCGATGACACTTTGTGAGAAGTACAAATTTCCGAGTTTATTTATTAATCAATTTTTCCCGAGACCGGGAACACCAGCGGCAAGAATGACGAAAGTACCGACACAGGACGTGAAGAAGAGAACAAAACGTTTGTCGGAATTTTTTCAGTCTTACGAGCCATATGGTCATGAAGTTGATGCGGTGCAAGAAGTTCTTGTCACTGAAGTGTCACACGATAAGAAGCATTTTGTCGCGCACAATAAATTTTATGAGCAAGTTTTAGTGCCGATGAGAGAGGAATTTATGGGGAAAATGGTTACTGTTCAAATTACGGAGGCAACGAAACATTCAATGAAAGGGGAACCACTTAACGAAGGTGTCTCGCCAGCTTTGAAGCCGTCTTTGCCAAAGGGAATTGTTTCCGGTGTTCCTGTTGAAATGCAACCTTCGAAATTTCGCATCATTGCAATGGTTGGATTGTTTCTTGCACTTTTTGCTAAGATTTTGTGGAAACTTTTTACAATAAATTAATATTCAAATGCTATTTCATTTCGTTGATAAGTCTTGAGAAAAAGAATCTGAAAATATTATTTTCTTTATTTTTGTTTCATTTTTAGTCTTATTTTTAATTTTAATATTTCAATTTCTTAATATTAAATTGAAATTGAAATACCTAATTTAGATAATTACATACTTCACATTTCTTTCTATTAATTTATTTCTCTTTGATAAATTCAACTTTTTATATTATTATTTTCTATAACTACTATTATTATTTTAATATTGCATAGAATTTTATTAAAATTTTTGAAAAGAATTCAATTTTTTCGAAGAATTTTATTAAAAACTTTTGAAAATAATTAAATTTCTTCAAGGAATTTTATTAAAATGTTTTAAAATAATTTAATCAGGGTGGCCACATGTCAGTAAAGTTAGGGAAAAGTCAGGAAAACTAATTTTTGGCAGTAAAGTCAGGGAAATTAAGAAAATTGAGACTTTTTTCGACTTTTCTTTTAAACATTGCAATAAAATAAATACTACAATTTTTAGTAAAAAAGTGCAACTTATTTTGATTTTTATAAATGCAAAAAATAATTATAAACAAATTTTTCAAAAATTTTTTAAAATAATTTTTTAACATAATTATATTTTTTAAATATATCTATAATAAAAATCTTTTTGAATAGTTAACATTTTTTAAAATTTAATTGAAAATAATATTTATTTTAAGTATGTATTTATTTACAATTTTTAAAAATCAATTTTTTAAGAGTTTTATTGCAAATTTTGAAAATAATTGGAATATCAAAAATTTTGATGAAAAATCTTTAAAGGTAAATTTAAAAATGAAAATTAATGAAAATTAGTTTCTAAGTTTTTAAAATTCAATATTTTCAGTATTTTCATTTACATACAAAAATAATAAGATTTTAGAATTATTTAATATTTTTAACATTTTGGAGAAAACAATCATGTTCAAAATTTTTAATTAAAATTTATCAAAAAATGATTTTTTTTTAAATAATACAAAAATTCTTTTAAGAAATTCAATTATTTTCGAGAAATGTAAATAAAAATTTATGAAAATTTTCTTTTTGGACTTATTAAAATTTTTGAGAAATCATGGTCCTGTTTATAATTAAAATTCTTCAAAAATTTGATTATTTTTATTTATATTTTTCAAAAATTTTAATTGTTTGCAATTTTTTTAAAATTGAAAAACTATTATTTTGTAAAAATATAAATTTAATTTTTTCGAAAAAAAATTTTAATTCCTTTGGGAATTTTAATTTTATCAAAATTATTGAAAATAATAATTGAATTTTATTATAATTTTAAACAATAATTGAATTCCATCAAGAGTATTTATTGAAATTGTATTGAAAATAATTGAATTTATTTGACGAATTTTATTATTTATAAAAATGATTTTGCTAAGGATAATATTAAAATGTTTGAAAATAATTGAATTTTTGAGAAGAATTTTATTATTTAAAAATAAATGAAATGAAAATAAAAATAAATGAATTTTTGCGATAAATTTTATTATTTATGAAAAATTATTTAATTTTTGCAAAGAATTCTATAAAAATTTTTGAAAATAATTGAGTTTTTTGAAAAATTTTATTATTTATAAATAAAATTGATTTTTTGTGAAGAATTCTATTGAAATTTCTATAAAAATAGTTTGAATTGTTTGAAGAATTTTACTAAAATTAATGAAAATTATTGAATTCTTCTGGAGAATGTTAGCAAAATTTTTAAAGATACTTTAATTATTTCAAGGAATTTTATAGAAAAATTGTTAAAATAATTTAACTCCACCAAGAAATTTATTGAAATTGTATTGAAAATAATTGAATTTCGTCGATGAATTTTATTATTTATGAGAATATTTGAATTCTTGACAAGAATTTATTATTGTACCTATTACATTTTTTTAAAAATATTTTAATTGTATCAAAGAATTTTATTATTTTTGAAAATAATTGAATTGTGCGAAGAATTTTTTTATTTATGAAAATAATTGGTTTCTTGCTAAAAATATTATTATTTATGAAAATAATTTAATTTCTTCGAAGAATTTTATTAATATTTTTGAAAATAATAATTAATTAGTTAATATAGTGAATTTTTTTTAAATTTTGAATCTGAGAACATTAAAAAATAGAAGTTGATATTTGAAAATAAAAAAAATTTGAATTTTCCATAATAATAAATGAAATACGTTCAACACTTTTCGTTTATGAACAGAAAAATAAAAAAGAAATTTTTCCTCATGTGATGAGAACAACAGGGACTTCTTAAATTCTAAAATAAAAAATACAGTTTTTTTTTCAAAATATTTGAAAATTTACTAAAGATAAACTCATTGATACACAAATTGATCTTAGCCGTGAAATTAATTACATCACGAATAACATTAAATTGAGCATTTTTTTTTTATAAATGTATCATTTTCGTACTCTTGCATACTAACATAAATTGTTACAATAGTAATTTTTTCATAAGTCATTTAGAAAAATATTAATATTTTTCCTAAACTTATTGCGTTTTTTTTTTTTTGCTTTATTTGGTATCACCTTTTTTTTAAATACTTAGAAATTTCTCTTTTTAAATAAACTTACACCTAAAAAGAATGCAGTATAAAATGTTTTCTAAATTTTTTTTGAGTATTTATTTTTTAAAACGAGGTATTTATTGTAAATTTGAACTAAAATTTCTTTAAATAGAATAATTATAATTAGAGAAAGAGAGAGAAATTAAATTTCGAAAATTTCCTTTCCTCTTCTATTTATCTTACAATAAAAATGATTTCTTTTTTTGAATGCCATGTATGAGAATTATAAAAAGAAAATCATCAAATAGATTTTCTCTTTTTTTTAATATAAATTTTCCCTGTTTGAAATTGCAATTTTTTTTCAATAACGATAAAAAAGTATTTTTGAATTTAAAAAAGTATTTCTTATAATTAACACATTTTTTAAAAAATATTTTTTGCAAACTGAAAATATTTCAATTAGCAAAAAATTTACAATAAATTTCAAATCGTTATAAAATATTGTTTCGTCGCGAATTTTTGATAGTGAACAAGTCGCAGCGGCGTTTGCTTTCAATTATATTAAGGGAATGAAATGTCTGGTCCCGTATATAAGAAAGAAACCGGATCTGAACTTGAATCCTTAGCATAAATCACATGACCAGATACAGAGAGCATAACTTAATAAAAGGAATGGCGAACAAATGCGCGCAATACTGAAAATTTACTTTTTCCTTTTTCTTTCTTTTTTTTTGGCAAATAGACCTCAAAATATTTGAGCAAATCAATTTTTTTTAATTAAGTGAAGAAATGCCAAATTTACAATCGAAAATAAATCCCTCATCCTTTCATTTCTTAAACTCGTCTTTCACTATTATTTTTTTTTTCAATCAAACCGAAAACAAAGTGTACATTATTTATTTGGTGTTTTAAGTTTTTTTTTTACTCTTTCACTAATTTTTAATTTAGTATTATAATTTAAATCAATCACAATATATTCTAAAACGAATTTTTATCACCAATATAATATAAATAGAAACTTAGAAAAATAGGGAATGTTTAAGTCACTTTGTTTTCTTTTGATTTTTCTTTTTTTTTCTTTGCTTTTGGTCACTTAGATTAATAAGGCACTCAAGAATATTTTTTTACTGGGATATTTTCCACACACAATTTCATACATTTAATGAACTTAAATATTCTCACAAAAAAATTAATTACTCGCATTCATAAAGATATGTATCTACGGGCTTATATCCTAGAGATCTAGGGCGAACTGTAGTACAAAAATATTTATGGCAAATGTTAATCTCAGAAAGAAGTCGATTTTTTTTCTCTCGATAAATTGACAATGTTTCAATTCTAATTATTGTACTGTGAAAATTTTCGGAATTTTTATTTAATTTCATTTCCATTTTATCGAAATTTTTGAAAACTAATAGTCGAAATAATATTTGTTTACTACTAAAATTCAAAATTTTATTATCTGATATTTACCAGAATTCTTAAATTTGAATATTTCTATTTGCTTTTTCGAGATAAAATGAAAAGAATTTTCAATAGAAATTCTTCTATTTTCTCAAATTTTAAACTAGATCGTAATTTTCTTTTTACAAAATATTTACATGCATTTTGTGCTTCGCTTATTAATTAATAGTTACAATAATCACTTGAGAACTGATTCCTAAACTAAAATCTGGTAAAATAAATTGCTTTCCATATAAACATCAATGCCATTTGAAACGAATTCTTTTTTTTTACAAATCTTTCTCACTTATTATCGATGTCGTGGCAAAAGTATTTTTAAATTAATTTACATTCATTACATTCATTAAGTGGTCCAAAATTACAAGTAGACTTACAAAAAAGAATACAAATTAATAATCTTTTCTGCAAAGCCTTGAGGCGCGACGATATTGATTTATATTGAAAATTTAAATTCTAGAAAATCTAAAACTTATTACGACGGTTTTCTAAAATGTAATAAAAGCGGTCAGTCCAAATTAGTAAAAAAATTAAATTTGTTCTAAATTTTCCTCCTTTTTTTTAATTAAAATTTTTTCGTTAAATTAGACAAAAATAATTATTTTATGACTAAAATTTTTTTTTCAGATGTAAATTACACGATTAGAAGCGAACTTCAAAAGTACTTTTTGCATGCGCTCTAAGTGAATTTTGAAGTTTTTCTCATTAAAACGTTGAACGTTCAAAATGTTTAATTAAACTGACCGCGAAAATAAAACATGCTTTTGTGTATTTGCAATTTTTTTCTGAAGAAAAAAGTGCAAAAGAAATGAAGTAAAAATAATTTAACAGCTCAACGAATAAAAATTTTAACACGAATATTTTTAGAGGACGAAAAATTATTTTGTCTTAAATTAAAAACGGAACTTTGAACAATTGGAGTTAAAAACAAAAATGTTTACAATTACGCAGAGAATTCGATTTTTCCCATTTAATAATTACAATATAGTTTTATTTTTATAGGCAACTCGTGTTTTTTGTACCAAAAAATTCTGTATGGCAATTATCATGGCTAAAGAGAAAAATGGCACGATATTCATTTGCATGTACATTGAGATGTTTGTTTTTTTAAAGAAAAAAAAAATTGCTTTCACCAGAAAAATCTAATGGAACGGACAAATTTAAGACAATTTTTATTCAAGATTATTTTTTCTCTGGAAAATTTATTTTATTCATTTTAAAAATTTATTCTATTAAAATTTAGAAATTAAATTTTTCCCTCTTTTCAAATGCCATAGATTTTTCTGAGATTTTTTTTTCAAACTTTAGATTCATGTTTATGTGAAATAATACTTTCGAGCGACTAACGACATAGAAAATTGTCCTCGGACGCGACTAGTAAAAAATAAAATGGACGAGACTTCGAAACGTTACTTTTGGAAAATAATTTTTTTTTTACATTCACATACACATAGTTCCAGTAAAGAAACGTTTCAATGAATCGACAATTTTCCACTCTTATACATTAATAATTACATTATTATTATAATCTACATTTCACTTGCCATATAATTTATAAACAAATGGTCATTCGCCTTCATTTTTTCTTCAAGACATAAATTTTCGAAAGACTTCTTAGTATATCAATGAAATTCAGTGATATTTATCTAGTAGAGATATTTTCTTTTTTTTTCTATAATAATTACACAATTTTTTTTATAGAATTATGTAGAATTACATTCAATTTAAATTAATTAATAATTACTATTAAATGATAACTAGGTCAATATTTAAATTTTTCACAATATTTCAATTTTCTTTTAATATTTTTTGTTCAATTTTAATTTCATTATTTTAATTTTATAATTTCGATTTTTAATTTTAATTTCTTTATAATTCTTCGTATTACAATAATTACTAATTAAGAATAATTATTATTATAATAATTACTAATTAAAAAGTAATTATTACTATAATAACCATTAAAAATTATTCACTTTTTCATTTTTCGATTTTAATATTTAAATTTCTTAATATTAAATTTAAATCGCAATATAATTTAGATAATTATTTAAAATTCGTTATAATTTTTCTTTTATTTATTCTTCTTGGATAAATTCAACTAATTTATTGCATTCTTTGAAGTCTTAACGGTCACAAAATCACAAATCTTGGCTGCATCCCTTTTTCCGCGAAATCTTTGAAGTTACTTTATCGTTCTTATTATCTCAAAGCGATAAAATAGCGAAACAATTTCAAGGACGGTCGTCGATTTTCTCATCCGGTAAATATTTTTTTTTATGAAATCTGGGAAATTTTTTCGAAATTTTTCCAAAAATAGGATAAAATGAGCAAAAATATTCGCAAAATTTGAATAAAATTTACATAAAATCAAATATTTGAAGAATTTTTTTTTCTAGTTGGGATTTAAAATACGGAAACGGAATTTAATTTTCAAATTGAATACATAGGGAGTTAATATTTAAATGTTCTATTTTTAATTTGCAAATTCAAATTTAGGTTCGATTAGATATTCCACTAAATTCAAATCAAATCGTAAAGTTTAATCTAGTTTAATTTCTAAAGTTAGATTAGAACATTTTAATTTAAATTCAGTTCAATTTATAATTTGATTGAATTCAATTGAAGAAAATGGAAATTAAGTTTCGATTTTTGTTTTTTTTTATCTCTTAAAATAAAAAAAATTCGATTGTAACTTAAATGTTGTGCAACATAACTTGAATTTTAAATAAATAAAATAACCAAATTTTAAAACAAAATAGTCGATTTGCAAAAAAAAATGTACAATTTGGATAAAAATCAAAGTTCGTTTCACTCTAAAATTTTTTTAAATTTTTCTTCAAAATTTCCACGAAGATTTTATTTATTTCCTAAAGTTTTGAACATTCAAATGAACGACGATATTTTGATGCTTCTTTTAATTTCTTTTTATTAAAAAAATTATTTAAAAAAAATATGTGTATTAAAATTATTTTGTTCTTAGAAAAAATATTCCTCTACAGTAAAAATATTATTTTTTGGAATAAATGTTACATTTTAATTATTATTCTCGTTTGTACGATCATTTTTAAAAGAATAGTTAAACAGAAAAAAATTTCGTTCATTTGAACGTGGAAAATTTTGAAAAAATAGATTTTTAAACACAGTGTGACTATAAATAATTTTTTTTTCTTAAAAATTTTTAAAATCTTATTTCAAAATTTTTGCGAATATTTTTAACAACATTTTTTGATAAATATTTAAATAATTTGCTTCCGTGACGACGAAAATATTTGTAGCACGCACACAGAGTTTGGGCGCGTAACTAAAAAGTAGTTTTACCAGGATGACAAGTACCAACGAACCGTTTCGGTGAAGGATTGCAACCGATACTTAAGACTGAAATATTTACGGTGACTCTGGAGATTTTTTTATGGGCAGACGCTTTTGCCCTACCCACTTTTTTTCTCTTTTCTCTTTTTTTTTTTACTCTTTTTCCCCAAACTGCGTTTGGTACATGCGAAATTCTTCGAGAGGCTGCCTCGACATTGTGAAGTTTCTAATATTTTTGTGTTTTACAAAAAAGAGAACTTTTTTTTTGCAAAAAGAGACTTTTTACAAAAAGAGAACTATTTTTTTGCAAATAGAGAAGTTTTTTTGGAAATAGAAAAGTTTTTTACAAAAACAGAAATTTTTTTTACCCCAACAAAAAAAAAAATTTGTTCAATCATTTAACATAAAATGTTAATAAAAATTAGTGCCCGGAAAAAAATGCTCAATTAAAATAAAAATATTGTTTCCTTCTGTTTTGTATAAAAACAAAATTAATGAAATGCAACAATAATTCGACTCTTTAAAAAAACAGAAAGAGTTGAAAAATTTTTTCTTCTAGAAAGTCAATTTCGATAAAAAAAAAGAATTTGAACTTTCAAAACAAATTTGTGTGTGTATGTATATAAATTAACATGAAAACGAAAAATAAACAGTAAAAAACTGTGGAACAAAAACGAAACTCAGAAACTTCTCAATATAAATGAAAGAGAGAAACCATTATGTTTTGGAAATTTGATCAGCTAATTTCTTTCTTCTTTTTCTTCTTTTTTTTTCGCTTAAAAATTTAAGGCTTTCTGGCATTGCTATAAGCGACGTAAATTCCTCTTGCTCTGCCTGGAACCGACGACGAGGGGCTTGTTCCTCTTCTTGGTTGGTGTGGCGAGTAATGGCGTTTTGCATGGTCCATTGTGAAAACTCGACGAGCACATTGCGCAGAATTCAAAGCAACAACTTTGCCTCGAACACTTGCCCACATTTTTTTCAATGTCCACGTGACACGGGAATGTGCATCTTGGACACGGCAGGAGATGCTCCCAGGGTGCGAGGGTTCGACTTGCCTGAAACAAAAGAGAAAAATTATTATTTATTTATTTTTATTTATATTCACTTATTTTTTTAATAATTTTCAATTCATTCATTTTATTCTATTTTTTTAAACCAATGAAAATTTTATAGATAAAGTAATATACAAATATTGCAAAAGAATATAAACTAGTTTTTCTGGAAAATAATTTTTGATTTTTTATTCTAAATTTATTTTCTATACATATTTTTTTGCTATCTTAATTAAGTTCAATTTTTTCGACACATTTTTTAAATATCTTTTGCCTACAAAGTTCAATTATTGTTTCAAAATAATTTTTTTCTAACGAAATTCCATTTCCCAATAATTTTTGTCTTATAAAATTCAAATTCCAAATATTTTCCCAAATAAAATTCAATTTCTAAACAATTTTTCTTGAATAAAATTTGATTTCTAAACATCTTTTTTTCAAAAATAAAAGTTGAATTTCTAAATAACTTTCTTCTAAGAGTAAAATTCAATTTTTAAACATAATATTTTAAACTGAAATTTTCAAGTAAATTTTTTAGATAAAATTCTGTTTCCAAATATTTTTTTTCCTCATCAAATTAAAATTAAAAAAGTTTTTTTAAAAATAAAGTTTAATTTTTGTACATGTTTTGCCTAATGAAGTTGAATTTCCAATTAATTTTTCCTAATAAAGTTCAATTATTTACAAATAATTTGTTTGAAATAAAATTCAAATTCCAAACATTTTTCAAAATAAAATTCTAATAAAGTTCAATTTTCAAATAATTTTTATCTATAATAAAATTCAATTTTTAAACATATTTTTTTTAATAAAATTTTATTTTTAAACAAGTTTTGTCTAAAATTTCCAAATAATTTTTTTACATAAAATTAAAATTACAAAAACTTTTTTAATAATATAATTTAATTTCTTAATATATTTTAGCTAAAATAGTTCAATTTTCAAATATTTTTTAAATAATAAAGGTGAATTTGAAAATAATTTTCTTCTAATAAAATTTAATTTCTAAATAATTTTTTTCTAATAAAATTCCAATTCTAAATTATTTTTTTCTAATAAAATTCCAATTCTAAATTATTTTTTTCTAATAAAATTCAAATTACAAGTATTTTTCTTAATAAAATTTAATTTCTAATATTTTTTTCAATAAAACTCAATTTTTAAATAAATTTTCCCAAAGAAAATCCAATTTCCAAATAATTTTTTTCTAATAAATTTTTAATACTAAAATTAAATACATTTTTTAAAAATAAAATTCAATTTCTTTGCACATTTTACCTAAGAAAGTTCTATTTCCAAATAATTTTCTCCTAACGAAATTTAATTTTCAAATAATTGCTGTCGAATAAAAATTCAATTCCCAAATAGTTTTTTTCTAATAAAATTAATTTTCTAATAATTTATTTTTTATTTTTTAATAAAATTCAATTTCTAAAAACGTTTTAGCCAAATAAAATTCAAAAATATTTTTTCCAATAAAATTCAATTGTCAAATTACATTTTTTTCAAAAAGTTCAATTTTTAAATAATTGTTTTCTAATAAAATTCAATTTCCAAATAATTTTTGTCTATTAAATTCAATTTATTTCTAAAAACATTTTTAGATTTTCTTTCCATAAAAATATTGTTCTTCGTTTAAATTATCAAAAGTGATTCTAAAGATCTAAACGTTCAAATGAATGAAATTTTTTTTCTCTTCTTCAAATTAAATTTTTATTTTTATTAATTAATTTTTATTAATTAAATTAAACATTTTTAATTCTCGTTGCAATCAGTAATTTTTAAAAATATTTTGTTCATTTGAACGTTCATAATTTGAAAATTATCGTTCGAAACATAAACTTCGAAAAATATATTTTAGAAATCAAAACTTGTTACTAGAAAAATATTTTTAAGGAAATTTCTTTAGAAAAAGATTTTTTTTTGGAAAAAAGGATTAGAAAAATATTCTTTTTTTTAAAAAAAGGATTAGAAATAATTTTTTTTTAGAAAATATGGATTAGAAACAATTTTTTTTGGAAAATGTAAAATCTATTTTGGAAAAAATGGTTTAGAAAAAAAGTTTTGTACCGAAAAAAATGCATTATCGAAAAAAGAATATTTTTGTACAAAAAAAAATTCAGTTTGCAATGAAAAAAATTCTGCAAATACTATTAGTGGTAAAAATATTTTGCCAAAAAAACAAAATAAAAAAAAAATACTTCTCGTTCATCATTAATTGTCATTGGAAATTATTCATTCCACAAAGCAATCCGGTCAAGACTAAAAAAATTCTCAGTCAAAAAAATACCGTGACACTATTTGAGTACATATTGTGGTCAAATTAAATTTTTTCCTTTCCAATCAATTTCACATTTTTTTTTTTTTATTTATTTTATTTTTTCTTCCTTTTTTGCCGAAATAATAATTTTTTTTCCAAATTCGGTTGCCATATAGGTAGAGTGTGGTGTACAAAAAGGAAAGAATCATTGTGTGTTGTAACGGTAGTGTTGTCAAAATTTCACGTTTGGGTATATATATCGAACGCCGTTTTAACGCACCGCTGAAAACGTTCACCGAACTCGCACGGTTGCACACATTATTTTGGATTCAAATTTCACTCTTTAAATATAGACAGCAAAGGAACTTAAAACCATTTTACGCTGATGATCAAAGATCAAGATCATAGGACACATAGAGATAGAGAAGAGTTGCTTTTTCACCAAAAAAAAATTTCCATCTTTTCATTAATAATCATTAGTGACATTTTTCACTCATTGATTTTAAATTCAAATTTTAATTTCTAGAAAAAAAATTTTAAGTAGAAAATAAAAAAAATTGTTATTTATAAAAAAAATTTTCTTCCAGCAAACAAATGTTCCGTTCAACATAAGGAAATTTATTTATTTCTTCTTCCTATTAAAATTTCATTACTAATAAAGTTCAAATTCCAAATAATTTTCTTCTAACAAAATTTAATTTCAAAATAATTTTTATTTAATAAAATTCGAAATTATATTTTTTTAATAAAATTCACATTCCAAATATTTTTTCTAATAAAATTTAATTTCTGAATAATTTTTTTTCCAACAAAATTTAATTTCTAAACTAATAAAAATCAATTTACAATTAATTTTCTTCTTACAAAATTTAATTCCCAAATAATTTTTTTCCAATAATATTCTAATTCCTAATTATTTTTTTCGATTTTTTCTAATAAAATTCAAATTTCAAATATTTTTTCTAATAAAATTTAATTTCTAAAACATTTTTTTTTCCCAACAAAATTGAATTTCCAAATATATTTTGCCTTTTAAAAATCAATTTCCAAATAATTTTCTTTCAAAATTTAATTCCCAAATAATTTTTTTCTAATAATATTCAAATTCCTAATTATTTTTTTCTAATAAAATTCAAATTCCAAATATTTTTCCTAATAAAATTCAATTTCTAACATTTTTTTCCTCAACAAAATTAAATTTCCAAACCTATGTTGCCTAATAAAAATCAATTTTCAAATAATTTTTTGTATTTAAGTTCAATTGAATAAAATTTATTTACTACTAATTTCATTGATGATTATCATATAAAAATGTCAAATTATCATTGAACTAAAATATTTTTTTTCGAGCAAGAAATAAAAAAATTATCACCGACCAAAAAGCACGAATTTATAAAAATCATATTAATAAATAATTATTTATTAGGTCACAAATGAAATGTTATTGACGTACAGTTTTAAAATGAATATGATTCGTCATTTAAAATGAGAAATGAATCATAATGAATTCTTCTGAAATGTTTTAAAAATCAGAAGTTACCTAATGAAACGGCTTGAGACTCGAAAACTATATCTCTTAAAGTATTAAGTTTCTTTTTAACATTTTATATATCTTTTTTTTAAGGTTGATTTGATTTACGCCAAAGGTTCATTAACGAAACGTCACCAAGTAATTTAAATATTATTCCCTAATATACCCCGGGGCGTAAATAATATTGATTTTACGTTCTAATTAATGGACACACTGCAATTTTTTCTTAATTAACTGACTCGACTTTTTTTCTTATTCAAATTTTTTTCAAGATTTATAAACCAAAAAAAGAACTTTTATTATAGTGAAGAAAACTTAATTCCTTTTTCTTGAATTTATATCTCTATAAAAAAATTTTTAAAAAAATAAATAAATAAATAATAATAATAATAATAATATAAACTATAATAATAATTTTATTATCACTTTAATAATTTTTTCGAACTCATTTGGATAATTAATTTTTTAAACTTATGAGAAACGATTTATATGTCTACATGTAAAAATTTTGTTTCACTATTCTGTGTGTTTGCTGCAATCTATCAGGACTTTTGAAGAAAAAAACAAATTTTTTTTGGCAATTTAATATTCGGTGTTGGAATGTCAAAATAAATGACTATTAAAAAAATTATACTGATGTCTTGCGATAATAGATAACTAGATAGAAGGAGAGATATTTCGAATTATATATTTTTTTTAAAGCTGTAATAAAAAAGAAAGGTGCGCTCTGAGAATCGTTTCTCGAGGTCCTGTTAAATTAAAAAAAAAAAGAAAGATATAAATGTCTCTTGAAAAATTTATGCGTGGCAAAAATCTATTGTGCAATTTTTGGTTTTGATTATTTTTTTTTACTATTTTTTAAAGCAAATATTTGTTGAGCGTTATTGTAATTGGTGTTTGATTAACTATTTCTATTTGAGGAGTTAATTAATATTTATTAATTATTAATTTAATTTTAATATTTAATTATTTTTGCATTTATTGAATATTTATTAATTATTTTTATTCCTGTTATTTATTTAATATTAATTAATTAATAATTGTCAAACAGAAAAATTGTAACTGTATCGAAATATTTTTCTCTACTTCTAACAGTTACTTTAGTTGTAATTTATTTATAATTTATTTTCTCTGCTTAAAAATCATTTTTCCCGAGTTCCTAAAATTTCATTTCAATAAAGATACTTTTACTTTCGTAATTCGATACAGAAT